TTTCTTTTCTTTTACCTACCAGTAAAAAAAAATTTATTAGTATTTTTCATTATAGTTGTATATAGATATTGATTTGGGATTAAGGGCAAGGGTCGGAGATTTAGTGATAACTTGATTTTTTTTTTTTTTTTTTTTTTACTTGATTTTTTTTTTTTTTTTTTTTGAGCATCTAGTTATAAGAAATCTTTATTTATAAAATTAGGGACTGAAAGGATTAGGTACTAAGGATTGAATTGAATTTTTATTTTGAGACCACTTCAATTATATAAAATAGAATCAAGTAATATTAAGAAATAATATTACAAGTAGTTTATGCGACAAAGTCTAATATAAATTAAATTAATGTTATTATTTTAATCTAAACAAAAACTTATGCTTTAATATTATATAGAATAAAAAAAAATTAAAAAGAAGTTTATTTATTTTAATCTAAACAAAAACTTATGCTTTAATATTATATAGATAAAAAAAATTAAAAGAGTATAAAAAATGAAAATATAATGAGTATTATCAACGTGCAACACAAGTCATATAAAAGATTAGTGGTATTTAAAAATAAGAACTACTTCCTGCTATATAGACACAATGTTATTCCAATCTATTTGCTTTTCAAAAATAAAAGATATAAAAGACTATTAAGTAATTTATTTTTTAATTTTACCTTCATCTATATTAAATAAAGTAAATGTTGCTTATAATTTTTTAAAATCTATTTTATCAACTCTCTTTTTCTCTTAAATAGCATATGAAAGAGGAGAAAATTATTGAAGTTGGTCATTAGACTAATTAGAAGAGATAAATGACAATTTAATTACATTAAGGAATATTTTATTATAATTTGGATGATTTAATTGCTTTTATAATTATCATGCAAAAATCTTAATCTATAGATAAAAGTAGATAGAGAGAGTAATGTAATTAAAAATGAAATAATTTTATTATACTATAAATAGGTTGAGCATTCCATTAACCGAGTCAAATCAAATTGTATTAGTTCAGTGTCAATCTAGTTGAATGTACTTTTTTGGTAACTGAATCCGGACCAGAATGGTACAAAAATCAATCCAAATCAAATTGGATCGGTGTGATTCAGTTCGAATTTTATTATTCCAAACTATATTAGCTATTTTGGATTTAAAATAAATCAATATGGTTAGTTGTACATGATAATTGAAATAAAACTGAAAACCAAATATATTATTAACTATTTTGGATTTAAAATAAATCAATATGGTTAGTTTTATATGATAATTGAAATAAAACTGAAAACCAAATATATGAGTAACTGAATTTCTAAAATCACTATTTGAATTCGATTGAAATGAGTAGATTTGGTTCGATATGAAATCTTTTTTTTTTTTTTGGAAACATGAGTGGTCTAACGGGCTATAATAATATTATGAGTTACACAATAAATGTAATCCTTATTTATGGTGAAAATAATTCGAACTTAGACCTTCTATTCTCGTATCTTCTAAAAATATGCAAAAAGACTAATTAGATCACGTCTGATAAATAGAAATTGAACATTATCCACCTCCAACTATAAAAAAGACAATTCTTTTTTTGCAGGGATTGACATAATATAATTAAAGGACTTCAAATCTACGGCATTCACACAGATTTAGTAAAACTCTTATGCAGGACGAATTAAATCTCTATCACACAACACTTAAATGTGGAATTCATTGTATTTAAACTTTTATTCCATTGAACTATGGATTGTGGCTTAGTTGACAACATAAGCTAAATATGTGGGAAGAGCTATCGAGTCAATTTTCACTAAATGTATCTGTAGGGAGGGGCGAAGAGCCTTAAGACAGTCTCTTGTAATAGGGTCCAGACACCAGTGGTTTATATAAAAAATTTTTTTTTTTGACTTCCATTGATCAAACTTGTCTTGGCTATTAAGTATTAGTATAAATTTTAGATTTTACGAATTTTATTACTCCCTCTATCCATTAAATTTGCCGATATTTAAATTTTTATAAGAATTAAAAAAATGATTGAATCATTTTACTGTTAAAAAATAAAAATAAGGATAATTGACTAATTTACCTATTAATTAATGCTCATTTAATGAAAACAAATTTTAGTGTACATATCTAAGCAATAGTAAACTAATGCTATTTTGATTTCCTAAAAGTATCGTCTAAATAAAAAAATAAAAAAATTAAAACCAATAAATTTAATGAAAGGAAGGGAATAAAAGCGTAATGTTTGATAGTACATGAAATCAAATAATATTAATTTTCAATGAATTTTTATTTATATTTATAGTAAAAGTGACAAAATGGATTGGCGTGTCGAGTTTGACACGAATTCACCTAACACACAATACTATTAAGGTCAATATGCACACAATTCATTTAATGATCTCGTGTCAGATTTTTCAACACGAACACGACATATATAACCCATTTGATTAAATGGTTTGCTACGAGTCAAAAATTCAACACGACACACGTAACATATTTAATTCAAATATCACTTAAAAATGCCTTTTCATGTATAAAATGCATAAATTTTTTGAGATTCAAAATTAAAAGTAGTAAAAAAAAATTAATACAACAATAAAGTTTAAATTGGTCACAAATGGATAAGAGTTCTAATTAAACAATAGACACAATTTAAATTTTCTAAATAAATATATATGAAAAATCTAAATTACAAGCATGGGCTAATCTAAAAAATAAAGAAAATATAATACCAATCACTAATGTGAGGAAAATTTTTTTACTCTTATTAAACAAGTTTCTGGCCTAACACGCGTGTTAACCCTAATATAATATGTTTATATTTCATCTACTTATGACAAAAGCTTTTTAATATCAACCTTGATCCATTTATTTTTCATATTAGACGGATTGTGTTAGCATATGATGACTCGTTTTGATACTTATATAAATCATAGACTTAATTTTTGTTACAAAATAAATTCTAATTAAAATACGAAAAAAAAAAAAAAAACAAAACGCAGAACTCAACAATTTAGGAAAATTGATACTAGTGTCTTGGTAATTGTGAGTTGACGTATCTTATCTTTTATGACATATTTATGAATGGCTTTAGACCTTTAGTCTATAATGACAAGAAACAAGGTAGAGCTAGCTACTGAGAATTAAAGTGGAGTTTGGCAGGACGATCACACATTGCTTGTCTCCCAACTTTAACTTTGGGGGAGGAAAGTGCGGGTGTGCGACCCAACAAGTCGGTGGGAAATGCCGATCTACAGCGAACTACCTTTCTTTCTTCCTTTCTTCTTTTCTTTTTTTTTTTTCCTAAAAAAAAAAAAAACTTTCCTTCCTATCTTTTTCTTTTTTTTTTTTTTTCCTAAAAAAAAAAAAAAAAGAAACAGCAAAAGTCTCACTAAACACAGAGTAGGTGGGCTGCGAAACGTCTAAATTTTTTTTTTTTTTCTAAAAAAAAAAAAAAGAAACAGCAAAGTCCACTAAACACAAACTCTAAAATAAGGTATACCATATAAAATGATGGAAAAACGGATCATTATGACCGTCAAACATATTTTCAAGAATAGCGAACCACTTTATTTGGCAGTTAATTTGCAAAAGAGAGAATGATATTTTTAGATTCGGTTTATAAGTCTATCCATAAAATAAATTTATGAAAAATATTTATTTTGAAAATGAGGATTTTTTTATCATTTAGTCACAAAAAAATGTAAAATAAAAAATAAATTTTACAAAATCTTTATTATAATTGATTTTGGCCATCCATAGACGGATTTATGTACGTTTTATCTTAAGATAGAAGTAAGGATGCTCGACTAATTCTAATGCTTATTATAGGTTCAGGTAATCATAAACGAATGTAGAATATGTATGTGTGTATAACAAACTTACTATTTATAATGAGTTAAGATAGAGTACATATTTAAGTTTCTATATAATCAATTACTAGTATCTATTATATTAAACGGATTTAGTTCGGCATCTACAGATATCTTATGTATTACTAGTAAAAGGAATATTTTAAACGTATTCAGCATTTTACCTTTTAAGAGTACTTTAAATCGGTTTGTATTGATACTACAGATAGATACAATACATTCTATTCCGTTTCACTAAAAAAAAAAAAACTTTTAGTGTAATTTTTTTCAAAAAAAATATTTTACTTTGGCCCACATTACGCAAAATTATGTTTTGGCATCCCTAAATTGCGATAAGGAATTTAGGGATTGAAACAAAGAGAGAGATGAGAGGAGCAACTCGATCATTGGGGGAAAAAAATTGAAGGTTTTCCTTTCAGTCGACACAGCATCGTTTTCTCTTAAGGGCAGCAGCTGAGATATAACTGCAAAACGACATTGTTTGCATTTATAGTAAGGTGTGGGCCTATTAACTGCAAGGTCAATATTTTTTTGAAAATTGAAACATTTTAATTAGTCCTTAGTATTAATAAAAAAAATTTTAAAAAAATCAGTTAAAATTACAAAATTGACTAAATATGCATGTCTGTTTTCATATTTAAGTCTACAATTTAAACTCCTTTCTCTTTTACATACCAAAAAATTGTCCAATGATAAATGATGTTTTATCAAATAATAGATCCAATTTGAATACTCTACTTCAATGCTACAAAAAATAATTTTTCTTTTGGTAAATAAAAAAAATACTCCATTCGTCTCATTTTATTTGTATGATTTGATAAAACATGCATATTAAGAATTTAGTCGACAAAAATTAGTTTGTCTTTCTTTATTCTTAATAACTTATTAAGATATTAATAAAAATTTTTTATTTAATGAACAATTATAAAAGTTATTATAAAAAAAGTAATTTTTTATATATGTAAATTTATAAATTTTATAAATTTTTTGAAAAATATAACAAGTAAATAAAATGGGACCGAAGAAGTATATAATTAAAAAAAAAAAAAAAAAGGGAAAAAAATACATTTCCGAGTGGCGCAGCATTTTATTTATTTTTCGGCGTTGCCTTAAATTTCCTCAAACTGTATATAAATAGAAAATCGCGCTTACGATGTTTCTGGATTCTACTGCACTCCTCTCGTAAGGAACTCTCCTTATGAGCCCTCTTCTCCTTTTCTTCTCTCTTGGACTAGAAGCACAAAACTAAAACAAAAGTCCAATTACTTCATCTCAAATGGATCCCGAAACAGCGCTAGAGTATGTGAAACAAGGAGCCACGCTGCTCCTCCTCGACGTTCCTCAGTACACTCTTGTTGGAATTGACACTCAGGTAACCTGCTTTTCTTTTTCTATTTGGTTGCCGAGAAAATCTAGGAAAAATAAAACTTATTTTCTTCAATTTTGAGTATTATAATACACTTATGGCTGTTTTTGCCATATTTACTTTTATCAGGACTGCAGTTTCCTTATTTTATTCTTTTTTTTTTTTTTGCAGTTGTTCACGGTTGGTCCTGCTTTTAAGGGCATTAAGATGATTCCTCCTGGCCCGCATTTTGTGTTTTATAGTTCATCTAGCAGGTTTGTTTGTGTAGTTATCAGTCAAGGGAATTTGAAATTGTTGATTACTGAGTTTAACTTTACTGGTTTATTTGCTTCAATAACTTTGAATTGTATGAAGTTTGTTTAGTTTTTGAGTTTCTTTTGAAATTTGGTTCTTTGTTTTTTGAATATTCTTGTGATTTCCTGAATTTGTTGTAAGATTTAAAAATGTTAAGTGAAGGACTATTAAATTTGATAGGGGACACTAACACTATGGGAATTGAAAATGGCTTATGATTCAAGTGTGCCATATTTATGCGGCTGTGATATTTAGTTAAATTGTTACTTCTTCTAAATGAAGCAGAAAAACTAATAGAAAGATAAACATGAACATCGTTATGTTTAAGTGTTATGGAATTTAAGAAGTTGAACGTTTGTCGTGCTGATGATATCTTGCTATAAAGCTTTTGATTTTAGTCAATCACGTCTAATGTAATATTGACACTGATTACTTTTACCAATTGCGTAATGTGTGATGTTCCTAGTGTTAGGAATATAGCCTTTTTATGTGATGTCATCTGTAAATCTATTTTATGCAGGGATGGGAAGGAGTTCTCACCAATTATTGGCTTCTTTATTGATGCTGGCCCCTCTGAGGTCTCAAACATATACAAGTTTCTTCTATTTCAGTATAGTTTCATGCTTTTGATGTAATTATTGATATTGGATTGCTCACCATTTTCATATATATAAGTATAGTTTCATGCTTTTGATGTAATTATTGATATTGGATTGGCTCACCATTTTCAATATATACTATATATATATATATATATATATATATATATATATATATATATATTTGTGAAGAAATATATATATTTGTGAAGAACAGTTTTGGTGCCTATCATCTATGGCTAAATAGTTGGCTACTTTTTACAATCACTGAAAAGTGTCTCATGGAATGGGTTTTCTGGGCATAGGATGACTGGCTATTTTGAACTTTTGTGGATTGACAGTACAACTAATAATCCATGTGGGAAATAACAAATGCAAAGTAATGCATAATATGGATATGGTATGTATAATCTGGTGTTTGAAATGAGTCTTTGACTTGTGAAGACCACATTCTTGTTTTGAGGAGATGTCTTACAACAAATGAATTCATGAAATGTTGGACTGTGACATATTGTAGAGATAAAGTAATCAGGAAGAAAATACACAAGATGCTTTAGGCAGAACATGGGTTGGGAACTATATTTTCGGTGGAAATGTGATATTAAGTGATTTATATCTAATCTAGAGTTGAAAATAGAATTATTTATTTATTTTGTGTGGGACAGAGGTAGTTTGATACTGAGGAATACTGAGGAAAACGGAGGAAAAATGTATCATCTTTTGGGGTTGAAATCAATGCTTTTTGTTGATGAATGCACAGTGTTGCTGTCAGATATATCATGTCATTTCGAAGAAAGTTTTTTATTAATCTTCTGCAGTGGCCTCATGCTTAATCCATTAGCACCTTCTTACTAAAATGTGAATGGACCTTATGAAAATATTTTTTATTGTTTCCAAGTATGTATTAATTTATGCTGCAACCTGGTTATTGCCTTACTGAATTTTTTATAAAATCTGCAAACTTTGTAATTTTAATTGTTCATTGGTCTTGAAGTTCAGTGCTAATTTTTTCATTTCTTTCACTGGCTGGAATAGGTGATTGTTCGTAAGTGGAATCTAGAAGAGGAACGGCTGGTGAAAGTATCTGAGGAAGAGGTATGCTTACTTCCCAGTTGTCACGTTCCTCTTTCTTATTTTTAACTGGGAAAAGAAAAATTCAAGAGTTGAATTTTAAAAAAATAATTACCTGAGAATAAATAATAGTAATAGGTTTACTTTCAGTCTAACTGATATACTCCTTATGGTTGACCTTGCACTCAACTTTGGACATTTGAGGTAGCAAGGACTTATCCTGTCATATTTAGTACTGGACTTTACTCTGAACCAACACTGCTAATGCACTTCTGAAGTTAAAGGGAACAAGAAAAGGCTGCTGAATGCTGCTTGTAGGAGATATCAATTAGGATATCTTATGTTTCCTTAATCATGTGTCTCAAAATTTATAACTTTCTATCCAACTCAGATGAGTGGCATTACCAATGGTGAAGTCAGATGAATAACAAATGGCTCTGTTGCTAATATTACTAAAGTGTTTCTATCAGTTGTGGGCATCAGTTTCCATCGTTGAGTAACATTTATTTGGTTTTCTCTTGCTTAATACTTCTTGGAACAATTTAATCTGTTAATTGTTGAGAAGATTCAAAAGTTAAAGGAGTAACGGCCTGAGATTCTTCTGATAGTTTAATTTCTATCATATAAAGCTCCTATTTGCTTTTACCTACTGCTTTGTCCCTGATACCTACTATATATACTTTTATCCTACTGCTTTGTCCCTGTACCTACTATATATATATATATTATATATTATATATAATATATATATATATAATATATATTATAATATATTTTTTTTTTTTTTTGGCAATGCAAAAATGCACATTCATGTATGGCCTTACCATTTTTTCAACTCAATCTTTGAACTTTAGGTAAAGAAATCCATTTAGAGAAAAAATGATTTGCCAAATCAAATCTGTCAATAAATTTGCGAATTTTTGTGTAAGTTTCTTTTGTGAGGAAAAATACTCTGGTGGCTTAAAAATCTATGTTTATTTCTAGTTACAAGCAGTCCATTGACTTATTTTATTTTTTTTTTTGGCATGCAAAAATGCACATTCATGGTATGCCTTACATTTTTCAACTCAATCTTTGACTTTAGGTAAAGAAACTCCATTTAGAGAAAAATGATTTGCCAAATCAATCTGTCAATAAATTTGCGATTTTGTAAGTTCTTTGTGAGGAAAAATATACTCTGGTGGCTTATAAATCTATGTTTATTCCTAGTTACAATGCAGTCCATTGACTTATTTTATTTATTTATTTTTTTCCTTACTTTTCCTACCAAGGAAGAGAGATTTTATCAAGCAGTTAAAAGCTTAGAGTTTGACAGACATCTTGGTCCTTATAATCTCAGTCAGTATGGAGAATGGAAGCGCTTGTCTAATTACCTCACGAAGAATGTCATCGAACGAATTGGTATTTAGCAGCTCCAATTGCTTTTCAATTTTGCAGTTAGTTGTTACGAGGAGTCTGTTCATCATTGCTTTTTGAAGATTGGAGGCTTGATTATTTTAGTCTTTTGTTTTCGATTCAATGAATGGATTGTGCAGCCCTGTGAAAGGATATCCCACGTCTTCCATTCAATGACCGGAACAAATGTTAGCATGTGGGTCTCTTAGGATTTTTGTTGCTTGTAACATGGGCTTTTATCTTTGTTACCAAAATTTGTCAATACTTCATTTGGCTTCTATATTGAATCCATATGACAAATGTTTAACCATCCTGGTTCTTTTGAGATCACAATGTACAATTGCCAAAAGTGATTTCTTTGCAACTTCTTCAATTTAAGTTATTCACTAAATTTGCAGAACCCATCGGAGGTGAAATTACAGTTGTCAATGAATCTGGGATGGTTACACGTGCTCCTAAAACAACAATGGAAAAGGCTTTAGATGACCAATTAAAGACCAGTAAATTCTCAGCATCTGCATCTGTTGACAAGATAAAGAAGAGAGGATGTTATTACACATCAATTCCTCATGTTATTAAACGCAGAGGAATGAATAGAGAAGAACTTACAGCTTTGAATCTTGACAAGGTACAAATGGCAATCATAATTAGTACACGGCAGTGTCTCTCTAAAAGTTTTGTATTTGTTTGTTGATATTTTATATATTTATTGACCTATCTAGACAGAATTATTAGAAAGCCTTTTGATAAAAGACTATGGAGGTTCTGAAGACTTGCTTCTTGGAGAGCTGCAATTTGCCTATATTGCATTCTTGGTATGCTTAGCCCAGTTTGGCATGTTTACACTGAGAATAATATTATGAGGTACTTACAAAGTTGAAAAATGTACAGATGGGCCAATCACTTGATGCATTTTTACAGTGGAAATCTTTGGTTAGCCTTTTATTGGGTTGTACTGAAGCTGTAAGTAAATAAATGTTTTAGTTTTTTCTTCTCTTTCTTTTTGTGCGAATAATTTATCTATCTTATCTCCTGTTATGGGAACTTTTTGTTTGCCTTGTTTCTTTGCATCTTGCCGTGGACTTTGTTTATGACATTCTTGCTTCTCTTGGAAAACTATATTTTTGTTGGCTATATTGATTACCATTTTTCTTTTTTATAGAACTAGGAAGGTTTTTTTTTATTCTTTTGAAAAAAAATCTAATTCAAGCTTTTCAGAAGCCATTTTTGGTCTATTCTTACTATTATGAATTAATTATTGTATCACCTTGTCTTGTAAGATTTTAAACTCTAATGTTGGTGTTGCATGTCATAAAGCAATACACGACGCACATGATAGCACATCACGTCAAATGAAATTGAAAGCAACTTTTTCACCTATATTATATATTTAAACAGTGGTCAGCTCATTGCAGACTTCCCATTCATTGCATTATTATTCGTATCCATTCTAGTAATAGATAGGCTCCTTATAGAAAACAGTTATTGGTGTTACATGGTTAGTTCTTTTTTTTCTTTCAGTAATCATTTTTTGATTTCATGTAGTATATAGCATTCACATCTCTGTGATTTTACGTGGTATCAAATAGAGACTAAAGTTTATCATATTTTTATTTTGATTTGATGCATCTTTTTCCCTTTTCCAGCCATTCCACACGAGGAGTCAGCTATTTACAAAGGTAATGTTTTGATTGCACAACCAGTTAATTGTTTCTTAGTGCTCTGTTGAGCACGGCACAGTCATGATGGTTTTGAAATATGATAGTTATCTTATTGACAGATTTACTCTAATTACTTTGGTCTTATTCAGGCACATTTTTTTTCTTTATTTTCGTTGACTTTGACCATTTCATTTCTTATATCCCACAGGATTTCATGCCCCCATGCACCCTTGATTTTTAAGATTTATCTCATAAACTTGATCTGTTATATTATTTTATTTAGTTTTGGGAAAAGAAAAAGCTGATCTATTGGTTTGTGGTTATATTTTTCTAACGGCATTACATGTTTGATCCATGAAAAGACCTATTTAATTTATCCCCTTATAAAAAATTCTTCCTCATCTCTTTTTCAAGACCATCATTGTTATAATTAAGACAGTGGGGAATTTGAATATGACAATACTTACAAGACCTGAAGATGGCAATCATTACTGGAAAACCTGAATTCAAAACAATTTGAATATATCTAAACTAAAAATGGCATAATATGGATCATGTAATAATTAATTGTTAATAATTTTAATATGACTTCTGCCATGACTAAGTTTGCAATTTGAAATGCCATCCATCCGCATATACTTTTACTGCTATTATAAATGCATTCTCATCCACATATACTTTTACTGCTGTTATAAATACATGTAAGGATCTTAACCAACTAGTTATCCTTTCTGCATTATCAGATCAGTACTCTTGGTCAGTGTACCACGTTCTATGGAACATGAATATTTTCAACATAATACCTGCAAATGATACTATGAACATTGGTCCAATGAAAAATGGAAATAAAGGGGCTGAAATGTTTGAGTTGCTTTTCCTTTTTTTCCCTCTTCATTAATTTGGAACTGTACTTCATGGGTGAGCTAGTTTGAAAATAGAAAATAGTTAAAAAATAGTTTAGCAATATCTGGAGCTTCTATGCTCTAGGTATTTCCTTGCAGGTACTCGATCACAAATCTGAAGTCACATTTAGTTCTAGCTACTAATTACTAATTTTCAGAAACAAAATTTCCTGCCATAAATATTGATTTTTTTATTGTTCAATTTCTTTCTTTTCTTTGCTTAGCTGCAAGTCAATACGCACATCTATAGCACTATTCATTTATTCTTCCTGATATTTGTCATTTTATAAACTTCATGCAGTTCATAAAGGTCCTATACCATCAACTGAAATATGGACTTCAGAAAGATAGAGCAGAAACTAATGGTGCAGGGATAGGGATATCGACACTGTTGGATGAGTCCTGGTTTTCTACTGATAGCTTTTTACACCGACTTTGTAAGGTAGCTTTTTGCCTAATAGTTTTCCAATCTTTGTTTCTGCTGACATGCAGAGGAGGCTGTTTTGCATAAGTGAGTTGTATTCAAATCTTGTTAATCTGTTTCTGAAGTCCTAGATATTTCATTGATCTAGTGAATTGACTGCAAGTTATTATTGGCCATCTTTTTTCCAAGAGGCCAAAAGGGGTGGAGAAAAATGGAGAAAAAGGGGTGCAAGGAAAAAATAGAAAAATGGAAAGAACTCAAATCTATAGTAATGTTGACACTTATTACATCACACGTCTTAAGACATTTATATTTAAGGAAAAACTTATATATTAAAGGTTGATTGGAATTGCAGGATTTCTTTATGTTGCTGCAAGATGCCTCAGTGGTTGATGGAGACCTTTTGACATGGGTATGCATGTTAAACTTGACTATCCATGTTAAGATTTTTCTGTTCTGATAGACAACATTTACATTGATGACTCAGTTCTATTTTGCCAGCTTTGTCTTCATAAGCTTTTGATAGTCTGATCATGATTATCATCTGCGCTGCACTCACTCTCTCCTATGCATATTGTTTATCTTTCAACAGTTTTATCTCTCTTATAAAATCATTCAGTTCATTGCAAATTTATTTCCATTTGTTGATTTTATCTATTTATTCGTTCATATATTTTTGCATTTTTGGAATAACAAGTTATGTTTAATTATTTGAAGACATTTTGATGAAATTCATTTGCAAATTAACTTCCATTCTTGGATACTATAAAATTCATTTAAATGTGAAATTATACTAGTTTGTAATTAAAATTCATTAGCTTCAGTAACTTCAGCTCATGTTAAGTTTAGAGTTCATTTGCAAATTTTGTTAATTTTGATAGTATTTTGTTCTAGTAGCCAGTTGTATTGAATTAAGAATATGGAATGTTAAAATCAATTTTCATTTATATACCGAACATGAGGATATAGATTTGTTAATGAACTGTATAAAATTTTAATGGAATTTATTTCTAATGAAACAAGCTCTTAGAATAATTATTACATACTCTAAAGGTTTAAATTTCATAACTGATCCTTTGCTCAGAAATCAATTTCCATCAATCTCTGTTTCATTTAATTTTTTCATTAAACTTCAGTGGTTAAGAACGCTAACTTAATTTGGGTTTCATCAATGGCTGCTGGCTGAATTAAGAGATGATTTTACCATTTTCTGTTCCAATTGTTGCAGACCAGGAAACTCAAAGAACTGCTCGAGACCAGTTTAGGATGGAAGTTCCAACAGAACAATGCAGTAGATGGAATATTCTTTGAAGATGACGACGAGGTGTGTGATTACACGTGTATAAACTTTCTTATAAGATCAATCTCTCTTTCTCTCTGATGCCGTTTTTATGCAGTATGCTCCTGTAGTAAAGATGTTGGATGACACCACCTATAATGAAGCTGGAGCAGCATAGACCGGAAAAACAGACCTCTCCTTTTACCGTCCCTTGTCGGTATCAACATCAGATGAGATGCTTCTAGGGCATGTCTCCAGTTCCTACGATACCACTAGATTTTACAACAGAAGTTAATTCCAATGCGAATCTTTCATCTGATTAAACTTTGCAGATCATAGTATTGTACATAAGTTTGTTAGTATTACTTTTTCTTTTTTACAATGTTTGATCTCCCTTTGAGTTGTATAGGCACTTACGTGGTTTGCTGATTTTAGATTCTAATCAGGTTGGTAATGTTTGAATTAATTCATGAAATTTATTAAACATTATTGAATTATCAATCAAGGTTCATTAAAAGTTTCTTCGTACTAAACATAGCTTGATGATTTGAAAGCTGGAAAGTAGAAACATAAATGACTAAAGAGGTATGAATAGAAACCCATAGGACTCTCTCTTTTCGCAATTGAAATTCATGAAAAAAAAAAAAAAAAAAAGTATGTTTGAATTAATTCATGAATTTATTAAACCGTATTATTGAATACAAATCAAACGGTTCATTAAAAAAAGTTTTTCCTTCGTACCTAAACATAAGGCTGAATGATTTGAAAAGCCGTGGAAAGTAGAAACATAAATGAACTTAAAAGAAGGGTATGAATAGAGAACCCAACAAAGTTAGGACTCCCTCTCCTTTTCGCAATTGAAAATATCATGAAAAAAAAAAAAAAAAGAAAAAGAAGAGAAGGAAGACGCGGGATGAGGATAGAATGGGGTCCGTACAGTTCGGTTTTGGATCAAAAATCAAAAAATTCTGTGACGTTATTAATTTTAATATTTCTTCCCGCTAAAACTTTCTGAACAACGGACTGTAAAAGTAGAAACCCGTCCATTAATTGTAGTATTACAGAGTTTAAAAAACACATTAATTATAGTGTTATGTATAGAGTTTGAAAAAATCATTAATTGTAGTATTACAGAGTTTAAAAAACACATTAATTATAGTGTTATGTATAGAGTTTGAAAAAATCATTAATTGTAGTATTACAGAGTTTAAAAAACACATTAATTATAGTGTTATGTCGTATAAAATATCTATATTTTTTTAAAATTGTCTTATTTAAAAAAAAAATTTCTAGAATTTAAAATCATTGTATAAAGAAAAAGTAAATATCTCTTAAAATTGTCTTCTTTAAATAAAAAATTCTAGAATTTAAAATCATTATATAAAGAAAAAGTAAATACCTCTTAAGTCGAATGGATAAACATTTTAAAACATAAAAAAAATGAAAATATGGATACATACTATGGGACAAAGGACAAAGGGAATATCAGATTTTTGGAAGGATAAAAATTCTGAGGACAAAGGGGTATTGGATTTTTGTGAGGATAAAAATTCGGATGATCTCAGACAATTAGTTGGGATTTCTGCGCTCCTTTGCACACCCTTGCTAACAAGTTAGACACGCTGCACAACGTGTTACAACTCATTTTTAATACTAGCTCTGTTCATCCAATTTGCTGCATTTGAAATTTTATGTTTTTCAAAAAATTTATTAAATTTATTTAAATTATAATATGTTATTGAATAAATTATTATATTCCTCTTAATTTAATATTAATTTTTTAAAAAAATCACTAAATTGAAATAATAATCATTAATCGTGTATAAAGAGTAAATATGAAAAAAAATATTTATTATTTTTTAAAATCAGTGATAAATATTTTGAAATAAACTATTATTTTCAAATGCGACAATACGTGAAGGAGATAGTAAGTAATATGATTTTTCAAAAAAAAAATTGAAATTTGAAAATTATTCACGAGTTTAATTACAAGTTCATAAAGAAAACGGTAACACAAAAGTACGTTAACCTGTCGATTGGAGGCCGATTGCGCTGGCACAGAGAGCAAATAAATGGCCACTCGACTTAGTTCCCGCCTTTCCTTCCTTCCTTCACTCCTCAAAATATTAAAGCTCCGATCTTTGCATTCATCTTCAAGGTCTTACTCTTCTCACAAACATAAACCTATTTGTATCTCTTTTCGTATGATTTTACTTTGAATAATCTTTTTAGTTGCGAGTTCTGAAAAGCTCCATTCTTTCTATCTTTCAGATTAGAAGCTCTTTCTCGTTCTGTTGTAAATTCTTCAAGGAATCACTTTTATGCTGGGTTTGGTCCAAATTTTCAAGGTTGGTTTCATTCTTCTTTTCAAGTTCGATATCCATAATTTATTTTGTGTGAGCGTAAATATGTATTTTTTTGTGAATGGGTGTTTTCGTGTTTTCATTTATTTTCTTCCAATTAATTGTTGCTTAGATGAACTTTAGAAAGTGCACTACATGTGAAGGATAATTTACAGTTCGTAATCTTCTAATTAACGGATATCTTGGTAATGTAATCTATGTATTCGTTAAAAGTCCTCTTAGAAGGCATTTATTGGTTGCTTGAAATGAGCCCATTTGATTTTCTTTATTTTCTGTGCTGCAAGACTTCGGTTTTGTGCCTGAATCTTCATTTGGCGATTCGTGTGTTTGGCTATTAGTTTTTGTTACTAAATCCTGTTGAAATCATGGGAAAACTAATTTCTGGTTGAATTTGCCTTAATGGAGTCATTTTGAATTTCTGTTCCTGTCAACTTCAGTTGTCCCTAGATTATCCTTCCTTAAAAATGCTATTATGAGAATGCGAACGAGTGGCACCTCGAACTCATTTGGAGCAACGTGTGGGCAGTATTATTGGCTACCTTTTTTTTTTTTTCTTTATTAGCCGGCCCAAGATAGATGAAAAAAACTATAAAGATGACTTATTTTTATCTAGTACAAAAAGACTTCAGTAATTGAGAATCCAACAAGTCTGCATGCTATTGCTCATCTTTTTTGTTATGATATTACAACCAACCACTTTAATGCCTTGCTACGCTACATTCTCAAATAACTGAGGTTGGCTGCTATTGCTTATTTTTGAACATGATGCATAGTATGTTGGATATTTTTGCAGCATCACGATCATATGCTCGCTCTAAGGGCAAGCATTATGATCTGTTTGGCACTGTGAAACCAGGTGATAAAGAATTCAAGAATGCATGGAAGAAAGAGATGGAAGAAGATGCTTGCCTATGGACAGGAAGTGAAGATGAAAGTGAGGAGGAAAATGATTCTGAAAAAGGTAAAAATCATCTAGAGAAGGAGATTCGGAAAGTAAGACAGCAGGCAAAGGAGCACTCGCATCTTATTAATGCTGATGATAGTGATGAGTTGTGGAGTGTATGGTCTGGGAGTGATGAGGAGAAGACTTTGTGGACAGGTAGCGAAGGTGATGATGATGATGATATTCCTACAGAAGCATACCCAAATGAAGCTAGTGATAAATATTTAGATAAATTGTTTGAGTTTGATGAAAAACCTAAATATCGCACAATCTCAGAACTTTTGAAAGCAGAAAATGAACCTGAAGAGTTATCCCCAGGAAAGCAAGCTAGGAAACTTGCAGTGGAGAATGCCTTAAAAAAATTGAAGAAAGGGCCAGATGGGCGTTATATCAATGTCTGGGAAGTCATGAGTGACATAGACATTCTTATTGGAGCCTTTGAAAATATTGTTTCTGGACCGGAGTATGAGGAGCTTAGACAGGGAGGACCTAAAAAATTGAATATGCAGTTTTTCAAGGATATACAAGCGCGCATGAGAGATCCAAACTACAAGTTTTCACCTGAGCTAAAGTTGAAACCAAAAAGTAAACTAGTTCCAAGAAAAAAATGGCAGAAGGCACAATCTAGAAGAAGGAAGGCACAAAAACGCTAGGTTATACTCTTTTCTATTAAAAAATGAAACAAGTTACATGTACATTTCTTAACCCTTGGAAGTCCTTTTTTTTTTTTTTTCCTCTTAATCTGTGTTCTTCACATATTTGCCTTCCTAAGGATCACTAGGATAGTATGATATATTAGATCAAAATGGATATAATTGTAATTCATTGTTTGCCTTGAAAAACTTGCATACTAATTTAATCACGGCATTTTCATTATTTTTTGTTATATATTTCTTTATTTCTTTGGAGTTTTTCTTCTGTCTGTTCCCTGGTATATATTTTGCAAACACATGGCATAAATAATGAAAAACTATTTTCTTTTTGTTTGGTTGCTTATATCTTTATTCATTGTACGTTGAAATCTTTTTCTGATATATTTCTTAAGTTCTTTCCTAATGATTAATTGGAGTGTAGTATTTGCTTGGGAACCTGGTTTTTCTGCTGTTGATCTATTGTTGAAGAAGAGCATTGCCTTCAATAAGAATGATCTAATTTTCTCTTGGAGTAAGATAGCATTTTTAGTAGGGAAGCCATGATTCTAGATAAGCAGTTTGAATAGATCATGGAAACCCTTACGTCCTTTAGTTTTTCTGGTAATTCAAATCTTATTTAAAGCAGAGGCACAGAAATTCAATGCAAACTGTTAATTGCAGCTCACAATATAGACAAAGGGATATGAAAATGTATTTAAATCATGACAATTAGAATTGTTTGGTAGGAACTTCAATATTCATGGAGTTAGGTATGTTACAAATCAAATTTGTTTTTTTTAGCATCACTGTACTTGGTCCACATTCTGTCTAGTCAAACATCCATGCTAGAACTAGAAATTTCTCATGAAATTTTTGGCCCTGTAGTTTAGCCCTAGTAAATCCACTTGCCAATTACTCTAAGCCTCGGCGGCTTGAGATTGCATGAGCTGCTACGTCAATTTGGAAACTATTAGGCCCTGTTCATTTGTGGGAAAAAGAGTCAATTTTCTTGAAAATTTTTCCACGAAAACAGTTTTCATGGAAAACAGGTTCAGATTTGGTTTTTTCTATTATTTTCTAAGAAAATGCAATTTTTTAGAGACTTTTTTTTTTTTTTCCCCTTTTACTATTTCTCCAAAATTTTTCCATACATCAAAGTAAAGAAAAATTTTAATTAAACTCTGATATATCAAAAACACAGCCAGTAACAAAAGGAACAAAATGTTGAAAGAACAATTACTGACTGTCATAAAAGAAATCAATGATAATATTAAATATCTAGGCTAACATTTATAACAATCTAGCTTCCTCAAAGTGCTCTAACCTCTCTGTGTCTCCCTCTCGTCTTCAAGCGTATCTTATTAATAGACTAATAGTAAGAGTGAGGCACTGCGTGAAAGTTAGATCCAGTATTTGGAGACATTGAAAATGCATCACTTATCGCATGAGACTGATGCATGTCAAAATCTTTTATCATGTTATTGTTCGCATGCCCGTCTTGCATGTGAATAAAATTATTCTGCATAGATGGGTAGCTGTAGTGATGCCCCTGCTTCCTGTTAGCCATTATCTGGGGTGGTACTGGTGGATGATTATGGTTATAACTTGGCATCCCTTGAAATTCTTGCCTTCCTAATCTAAGAAAACCAGTGCCATTTTCCTGATAATCACCATGATCTATCAATGGTGCCATATCATCTTCCAATCTGCTATCACCAATAAAAATATCATCATACATATAGTTATTTCCCATTCTTTTTGCTACCACCGGATCGTGATTATCAACAGCCTTCATTTTGATATTCTGGCTAGGAAATTTTTCAAAGCTCCCTTTATCTTCAATTTCATTGATAAAGGATTTAGGAAACATGTAGTGGTTCTTGGAGGCATTGGAGTCATTAGCTAGAAACTGCTTGGGGTTGATGTTGGCTTGTTCTTCATTCAGTTTGTATTTAGAAACAGGAGACCAGACCTCTGCCTTCTTCCCAGATTTGATCAATTTCTTGATTAAGATAGAAGAATCTACACAGCCTGACACTTTCACCATCTGTTGTTCTGTGTCTATGTCCACTGAGTACACACCTGAATACAAAGCACCGAAAAATGCCATAAACCTTACCAAAAAATTAAAAAATGAACAAAACTGAATATATGAAGAGAGCTTAGCGATATTGGAATTGTCTCTAGGATTGTTAGACTTCAAGTTCAAATCCAGCTAAATTAACCAAAGAAAAATGTATATATGAAATCTATAAAACCATAACTAAAAAAGCTAAGAACAAATTTGAAAGGGTGAGAGTAAGTGGTGTAAAAATAATAATTACCTTCAATTTTTTTGAGGAGTTTTCTTACTTTTTCCTTACAACCTTCACAATTGATGTGTACTTTGAGAACATGCGTCTATACAAGAATGGAGTGAAACAAACTCAGGTCAAAGAAAGCAAATCTGGAGGCAACTAAGATAAAAACAAAACATTTTAAAAAAGCAATAAACAAATAGTTCTTAGAGAGAAAGAAACTGTTGGATGAGAGAAGTAAAATAGGCAGACCTCAATCTTTAAGATTCCATGACCATTTCTCAACATTTTCCGACTGTTTGAGAAATAAAGAATGCACCAATAGTTTCTTTCTGCTATCTTGTTTCTTTTACTGTGTTTCTTTGGGTTTTCCCTTTAAATACTATCTGTACATGGCAGAGAGAGAGAGACAGAGGTAGAAAGAGAGAAGAGAGGCCTGAAAAGTATGATTTGACTATGCTGATAGAATTTGACAGGCAGAATCTGTGTGCCAATTTTCTTGTAATCTCAGGCAGAGAATACACCATGTTCTCGTGATAGTGTTGGCCCCCTACTTGATTAGTTTGGTCATACAACAGACTTGACTAACCAGCTTATGGAAAATTCTGTTTAAAGATTGCAGATTGCTACTAGAGATTTTAGAAGGAAGCTAATTTAGTGTGCATGATATATCAACCGTTGGATTATCTTTGTTCATTTCATCAAGCGACTGATAATTTGGTTTGCATGTCAGGAATGAAAATAGCATGTGATTGTACTAACTTAATAGTATCTCCAATTTTATAGGCCAAATATATGCAGATTGCAAGATTGCAGAATCATGTGTGATTGATTCTATGACAATAACTTTGCATTCTGTAATCAATGCCAATGGTCCTGTACTTTGTGATCTGGAAACTGCAATCAGATTCCTTTGCAGAAAGTTCTTGATAAAAGAGATTTTCTTTTCATTTTTCTTGGTCATATTGGTTTCTTTTATTTTGATCTTTTCTAGAAAAATAACTTCCCTGAAACTGAAAAGTGCATTTTTCTGGAAGTTCCCCTCGATGTAGGCCATTTTGAACCAAAGAAGGCTTAAAGTCTAACCGTGAATGCCTGTCTATTTTGAAATGTTCAATGGCGAATGTGAATTGGAAATTTTGAAATCTTAAAGCTAATAATTGAGCTCAATTATACTAAATTTGGAATTAGTGCTAAATAATTTTGGAATCATGGAAAAAATTGATAGTGTGTTACTGATGATAATTATTAATAGATAATACTTTAATTGAAATAATTTACGAGTTTTATAAGATAAAAGTGATAAACACTTTCCTAATGTGATCAATAATAACTATATTAGGATGGCTGATGGGCATGGTGGTACTCGTAACTATGACCATTAATTAAACTCATGCTAATTCTATGTATGGAATAAATTCATGTGCAACTTATTTCTTTTTCAAGTTAAATTTAATAAAATATTGACTTTAACCTATAAAAATAATCCGAGGTTTACAAGTTGTTGCAATAATATTCTAAACTGATCTTAGTTTTTTTGGTACTCCGATTTAGAAATTTAGATATATTGTTACCCTAAAATTAAAATCGGCTAGAGTTTTAAATAAAATAATATTAAAATGGGTCCCATTAAACCAATTTATGTTAAGTTAACCTAAGCCACTGAAAGTTATCAAAACTCACCGTTTATACACTTCTTTCTAAGATGTTCATGTATTTGGTTTCATTTAAAGAGGATGCGGAGTCGATGCAAAAGCCTCCGCCATGGAAATTGACCAAGATAGGGAGTTGATGTTTCTGGTTTGGTTCGGTTAGGTTTGGAAGGTAAAGTCTTGCTGAAATTGGAGGGTCTTTTGAGATGATGATGTCTTTGGACGAGGCTCCGGTTTCTCGATCCTGAAATGGAGGCACTATTAGTAGCTCCATGGATTTATCCTTGAAAACCCGAATGAAACGTACTACTTCAGCAGCCACTTCCTTTAGTTCCTTGCCGGTGGAATCCATTTATAAGCTTTTATGTTTGACTTGATTATACAATTCATTTTTGATATATTAGTTTAACTAGGCTAAATTAGAAATGTTTTTTTTTTTTTTATTCCATTCGATATTATATACGATGAATCTATTTGGATAGTTACAATAATTCACAACTCATTCACAACTCATGAGAGATAGTACAATTCATTACAAAGTCCATTAGAGACAATAAAATCCACTTAAGGAAGAAATACAAATTGAAATTAAATGTTATAATACGAAGGATTGAACCTCCCAGGAATCACTCCTATCACCAGGGTAAGGGATCATTTGCAATTTGCAATTAGAAATATATTAGTTTTGGTAGATTGTAGTCTTTTTATATATTATAAAATTATGTATATCTGCTAATTTTAATCCAAATATAATGTATAAAAATATAAATTTCATAAAAATATTAAAACTGAATTTGTAAATATATGAGATTCAATAATGCAAAACAAGCTCTTATTTAATTTTACCGAACAGATAAAGAGAGAAAGAAATTAAAAGACCAAAAAGAATCTCATACACGGACTGATTTTTCTCTTGTCAAATTTCAATTCCTTTGGTATGTTTGCCATTTGCACGACACAGAGTCAAGCAATTGCAAATAGCAAAGTTCGTTAACATGCTCAGTGCCGAAGAAAAATGACTAAATGAGGAAGCAAAAGTTAACAATGGAGCTTTTGGTTGTGGGGAAATTCAGAGAAAGAAGGATCCATCAAGCATTACATTCTTTGTAAAGCTTTACTTGGACATGATGATAGCTGGACTTCAATCCCATCAAATGAAAAGGCAATCATGTCTTACTTGTATTGGCTAATATAATTATTCTTTATGCTTTATTTTAAATCACTAGACAACCATAAATTATTTATATACTATGTTTGCACTTTCGGTGTACATTGCTTTAATGACAATGAGGATAATTTGGTACAAAATTTTTTAATTTCAATCATAAAATTGTTGAACTATTTGTGTAATATATATTATCAAATTATGTAGCATTTTTTTTTTTTTTTTGAAAGAACAGATAATATATTGTGTGATGAAATGGCTCTTTTTTATCCCTCATTAAATGAGTTGTATAATAAGTAGTTAATTTTACTTATCCAAAAAAACTAATTTTTATCGAAAAATTTCAGAAGTATTCTCAGAGCAATTTATATAATTAATTCAGAAATTTTAAAAAAAAATTCATACTTGATTTTTACATTTAGAAATTATCTCTTAATTCTGATTAAGAAGTATACCATTCCATGTATAAACATTTCACTTTTTACGGAAAACAAAGGTAATTTTATTAAATTATCTCTTAAATTTCTAATTAAGCCTTAATGTGGGCGATAAAACTAGCACATCTTGTTACTATTGTCTTTAACAAGGGTCAGGGTATTGGGTTTGGTGCTGTTTTCAAAAACTCAGATGGAAGAGCGACGACGGCTTAATTAATGTTATATATGTCGTAAGGTGCAGAATTACACTTTAAAATCTTAAAAAGTAAATATAAAATTTTTTAAAAGTTAGGGGATCAAAGTGAAGAAAAAAAATTTTTTTTATACTAAACAATAAAATAAAATTTTAAAAAATTCTAGAGCTTGGGGGACTGCCCTTAGTCCACCCTTCCCTCCGCCCTTGTAAGTCATCCCCTCCTATGACAGAGGCTATAGACTTGATGGAAGTGTTTATTACAAATTAAAAGAGTAGAGGTGAATTGAGAGAAGTTATAATCTATGAGTTGAAATATCTGTTATGGGCTTACTTGTCTTGGGTCAACCATTGTTAATAGGTTAGTACTAATCAAATTAGCTAGTTAGCTTGTTACCCTCACTCAAGTGCAATCGGGACTGAACTTCTGGTTGACACTTGAAACTTGAAATTCTCCTCCCCCTCCCCCCGAAATTGAACCGAGCTTTTTCTTTGCCTTGAAATTGAATGGACCTCATTGAGATTGCATATCCAGACGAGAGCTCGAATTGAAATGCAGCGATAACACCGGTAAACTGAGGAATTAATTGAATCAGACCAGACTTGCTCTGATACCATATTACAAATTGAAAGGGTACAGGAGAATTGGGTAGAAGATTAGAATTCATGATGTGAAAATGCATCAATCATTGCTAAAAGATTAATTCTAACCAATTAGCTAATTAGCTTGCAACCCTTATATACACTTTATGAATATAATATTTAGTCGATGTGAGATTTTTAACGGTAGGGGCCTAGATCACACATCAAAGCTTCAATAATGTATAAGTCCAGTTGATGCAAAGGAAGTGTGGCTTGCTGTTAATTCTTCCCTCGGAGATCTCTCAGCATAGAGTCTAATTATTCAGAATTCTAAAGAATTGATATCTCAAAATAATCATCTAGCTTTGAATTAGGGTAAAAACTTTATACATTCTCCTTCTAATGAGTTGTTGTCCTTTTATTTTTTTTTTCTTTCTTTTATTTTTTTTTTCTTTGAGTTTTGCTCCTCCATTAAAAAAAGGGTGTAATTTTATTAATTAGATAAACATTTCATTATCATCTTTATCGTTTCTTTAGCAAACTCCAAATTGGTCTTTTCTTGACAAGACTCTAAAGTATCATCTAATAATGTAGACTTTTAGTCAAATGCAGGATCTTCTGATTATATTGACTTGTGGTCAATTTAATTCCTCATAATAACCGATCGGATGGTGATGATTCAACATTCCTCCAATTATCCAAAGAACAATCATTCCTTTTCATTATAATCCAAAGGTCTAAAGCTTTTAGTTAATCAGTGGATGTAATAATAAATAATATCATGTCCAAAATGGTAAGAGTTGAAGGATATATGTGTGTATATATATATATATATATATAGGGTTTTAAATCTTTTGAGAGCCAAACCCTAATAAAGAAAGAAGTATTTCTATTATTTTATTTATTTATCTGGTAATTATGTCTATTTTTTATCGAATAAAAATTTGAAATTATAATGATAATGATATATATTTTTAACTTAATAGTAATTGAAAAATGAAAAGGGAAAACATTGCACTATAATAGGATGTAGAGGCAATCGGTTACCGAAATTCAGCATTCCCATGAAAATTCTCTGAGAAAATAAGATGATTAAGTTTATTTAAATTATGGGAAAGTATTAAAAATATATATAATTATAGATTACATTCATACCCTTAAATTAAATATTTTTTTGCAAAAATACCATAAATGCATATAAAAATACTAATATAATAAAGTTTTTATAGTAAAAAATTAACATAAAATATTAACATTAGTTAAAAATCATCTATAAATATAATTTACCAATGGATCCATATATATGAACTCTTAAAATAAAGTAACACAAAAGATCATATTTGAGTAAATATTTATGATTAAGATATTAATATTAGCTTTTTATTTTTTAAATAAAATTCAAGAATTAGATTTTCTTAAAAATATAAAACTTTATATTAACCAAACATTAAATTTTTATTTTTTTAATCATTTTCTCGTGACATTTCAATAATAAAACACCTCCATATATAATTTATGGGAGAATGTATATGGATACGAGGGGCCTACAAAAAAAAATTTATATAGAGAAAGTGCGTGAGAGAGAGAGAGAGAGAGATTAATGAGTGGGTGCAACTATAGAAAAGCAAAAATTTTCTTTATTGAGATTGGAAAGAAAGGTTGAAAATGCCTTAAAAAGTTGATGGAGAAGCTTCTTTTATTATTAAAAAAAGTGAAGAAAAGATAAATCCTACCAAGGTTGGTGCTTCCAATAATCATTACATCCTGATATTAGGTATATATTATGAATTTAAGTATTAATTGTGTCATTTTCACGATGATTATATTATAATTAGCGGCGACAAGCGGCTGAACAAGGAAGATAATGCCTTATTAAGTTTATTATTATAAGGTTTTATTTTAATCATATTAATGAAGTGGGAGAATTATCTATATCTACATATGGCGGTAATTATTAATTATTAACACGAAATCGAGGTTAAAAGGTTGTTAGTCCTTGTCTCATGATCTGGTAATTATTAATTAATCAACATGTAAACAAGAATTTTTGCAAGTTATGACTTACGAAATATGAATGTGATCTCCTCTGTCTCTCTCTTTTACGTCATTCCACTAAATTTAAAGCCAAATTTTGAGGGATTGTGTTGAAAATTTAGGACTGCTAATATTGTTTTTATATATTTTTATTATTCAAGGGATTCCTATTTAGATAAATCACAAAACAAATTAATTTTTTTCAAGAAATTATAATACGTGGACTTCTTACAGTTATGATATTTGAGCTTAATTCAGTTTAAATGATCTTTTAAACGTGAAACAATCAGCAAGTTAGACCATGTGTCTATTCCGTAATATTAATTATTTAGTAACTGTTAGCGTTTTTAGTATCCGTTATCCGTTCTATCATCCGTTAGTTGTTAGCTATTAATTTTTAGTTGTTTATATTACGATTTAAATTAAAGGTATTCGGTAAAAAAATAATTGTTTAATTAGTTATTTAATTTAAAACGATAAAAATGCATTACTTATTTAATTAGTTAAATCTGGAGGGAAAACAATGGATATAATTGTCAAAAAATTTTAATTAAAAACTAAATGCTAAATGCTTAAAATGACAATAAAAGACATTAGTTGTTTAATTAGTATTTAACGTTTTATAAAAAGCTATATTAATTTCTAAAAGTTACTATAAAAGTTATGTTACTAAATGCTAGAATTAACAAAGATAAAATTTTGATTTGGTCAAAATGCTAAAAGTTAATTCAAAAGCTATTTTCGAATAGGTTCTACTTTTTTTATAGTCATATTCTGCGTGTATTCCTAAAATTTTGATGTAATATTATAGTATTTTATATTGTAGAAATTAAATTTCTTCTTTTGGTTACAATTGCAATTAAATAGCAAGTACAGGGTATAAATGGTTATAAGGCAAAACTTTTTTGTTTTGCATTATTATCATTTTTTCTAAGAAAGATCAAGATCATTATTTTTTAGAATGATGTTTATGATGATTACTATCACTATTATTTAGAAAGTATTTTTCTTTTTTAACAGTTAAGGTTATTATTTTATGATGATCAAAAAGAACTTTTATCTTTGTTAATTGTAAATCGAGCACACATACTTACGATTCTTAAAACCGTAAATATATGCAAATATGACTTAATTAACCAATCTTAATTAACTTAATTTAGATTAACTTTTTGTGGCTATATCTAGATTTAGTTAGAGTTAATGATTCCATATTGAACATATACAAATAAAAAAAAGGATAAAAGCTTTTTTTTTTTTTTGAAATATTTCATTAGATATATGAACATTCTAAGTAAATATATAAATTATATTAATTTTTACAATTAATGTACGGATGTACGGCATTAGGTAGAATTACATGTAAAAATTTTCATTATAATTGAGAATACTACCTCTTTTTTTATATATAATTGGATATTAATTATAATAGCAAAATGCATCTATAAGGGAACTCTATATAATTATTTAATAAACAATGATTCAAATTGATATGATTCCATCTAATTTGGAGTCGTAGATATCATTTAAATTGAGTTATTCTTCTATTTATGGTTGGCAAAAGAGATCCTTATTCTTCAACTCTCTAATCTTACAAATTATGTCTCCCCTTTGAATATGTCACCACCAAGTGAATACCAAAAAAAAAACATAAGCAAAATCCTCTTTTTGACCCTCTTGAAGCCTCTAAAATGGAAATTTAAAAAAAAAAAAAAAAAAAAAAAAAAAAAAATAATAATAAGTCACCCCCAAGCGTGAAATACCACAACAAAAAAATATAAGCAAAATCCTCTTTTTGCCTCTTGAGCTTCTAAAATCGGAAAAATTTAAAAAAAAAAAAAAAGAAAAAAACAAAAAAAAAAACTCAAAGAAAACCTTTATTCAATTCTTTGCAACCACCAACAGATGGGAAGGACAGCATTTCTTCTTTTTTCTTCTTTGCTGCATCAAAAATTTTAGGCAAAATAATCGATTTCTTTGATGCTAATAAGGTTTTTCGACTGAACCGTAAATGTATGAGTATTGAAGTTTTAAATAATGCCCGTTTAACCAACTGTTTGAATCTCATATTTCTACCTCTGCCAAGTTTAAAACATTGAATTACTAAAAAATAAACTCAATGAAACGCTAATATATTTTTTTAATCAAACTTTTCGAGTTGTTCAGTAAAATTAATTGTTTTTGATTAAATTTTGTTATATACTTTTACCTTAATGTTAGTTAAATTAACTGTTGAAACTATAACCTTTTCATAAAAATAGTCACAAAAAAAAAAAAAAAAAAAAAAAAAAAAAAAAACTCAAAGAAAACCTAATTCAATTCTTTGCAACCACCAACAATGGGAAGGAAGCATTTCTCTTTTTTCTTCTTTTGTGCATCAAAAATTTTAGAAAATAATCGATTTTGTAATAATTTTCGAAACCGTAAAGTTATGAGTTTGAAGTTTTAAATAATGCCCGTTTAACCAATGTTTGAATCTCATATTTTCTACTCTGCAAGATAAACATTGAATTACTAAAAAATTAACTCAATGAAAACGCTATATATTTTTAATCAAACTTCGGGTTTGTTCAGTAAAATTAATTGTTTTGATAATTGTTAGTTATTTTACTAATGTTTAGTTATTAACTGTTTGAATAACTTTTCATAAAAAGTCAAAAGCTAAACGTTATATGAGTTAACATTATGTTACCAAACACTATAAAAAATAGTGTCTAGTCAAAACGCTAAAAACTACTTAAACAGCCGTTACCGAACACAATTTTCATATGAGAGAGATATATAATACGGGGGATAAAAGTATAAACTAATACATTAATAGGGATAGATATATAAATATATTATAAGAAGGTCTTGCTTGAAAAAAGGAAAGCAACCCATTTTAACAATAGTTTAAGAAACTAAATTAGAAAAGATTAATCAATTACATAATAGAGCAAGCATGGACGTTATCATCGCTAAAGATAGAGGCAATGTTGTCCTCAGGCGCAGTAGAGGCAGGAAAAGCTTGCACAACATTTCGAACATAGCCCGCGGGTGCCCTTTTGTCATAGGCACCAGATGCATATGGATAGTGCACTAAATGTTGAGGTATATATGGCCAAAATTCAGCTCTCTTGCCTGTGCTCTTCACTCTCTTTAACACCTTGTTTGGATCAACATATCCACTTACTACTACCCTGCTTTGTTTTCTGTTCACTTCCACTGTCTTTACTCCTGCAAGCGTACACGTTTATATTATAAACATGTGAGTTTATATTATTACTAGTGCTTAATAATTATATTTATATATGAGAAAAATTTACCTAGATCGGGTTCATAGTCCTACCTATGGACTAAACCAATAAAATTAATGATTTTTATTGAAACGTAAGCACTTGCAAAGAAAAATAGAATATTTTTAAAAAATCTTTAATTTCATTTGTTTGGTCCATAAGTTGGGTCATGGATCCATGTAAGTAAGTTTTTTCCATTTACATATAGTGCATGATGCGAAAATAGGATATATACAATAAATTACTAATTTTATTATTGTAATTATCAAATTCAAGTTTATATACAACAAATTAATTAACAAATTGTCATAAAGTAAAAAAGACCTGAAATTTTATGAAGAAGTCTCAGATTCCAAACTATATGAGATTTAGCATAAAGTTAAATTTTTTTATTTATTTACATATCTTTTTTAGAATATAATTTTTTTATTATTAGGTAAAATTCCTCATAAAAAAGAGAGAATTATATGTGGCAGAAGCAGAGATTGGTCTTATATATATAATTTAAAATTAAGGCTTTCTTTCTTTTTTTTTTTTTTTAATTTTTTATTTGCTTCCATTTTAGGTTTGTTTGTAGTTCCCTCCATGATTGAATTGTCAGTAGTCATATTGACAAAGAAAATAAATATTTTTTAAGCTAAAAGAACAGAGGAGACGTTTTTCTTTTAAGGGTCATAATAGATTCATTTGTTTCCATTTTAGATAATTTGTAGATATCAAACTAAAAGAAGTTTTTGTTTTTTCTTAGAAATGCTGATATGTCTTTTCTTTTAGCAATTACTTTGCCTCTTAGATAGGTCACTGCAAATATACATATAAATATATGATTCAAAAACATAAACTCAAATGGAAAAACAACAAAAGACAAATTAAGAAAGAAAGAAAGAAAGAGAAAGCTTGATGGCAGAACCTCTCATGGAGGAAACAGCATTCTTAACTCTTCTTTCACATCCATCACAGTCCATCTTCACTTTGATTTCAACTGTCTGAGATTAACAAAACAAAACCAAACCCATTATTTATCTTTTAGAGAAAAGGGTAAAGTAATTGAAGAATACATATAAAGTAAGAAAAACAAAGTGAAAAGGGTTCTAAATATATATATAATTAAGATGGCTAATGAGTAATGAGTAGGTACCTGCATTGGTTTGCGTTTGCTTCTTGTGCTGGTGACAGTGCAAAAGTTGGAGAGATAATCAATAGCACCCATTTTTGCTTCTCTTTACCAGAAAGAAAGCTAAACAGACACAGAGAAACAGAGAATAGGATATAGAGAAGCGAGAGTGAGGGACTCGGTCTTTTATATAGGAAAGTTGCTTCTTGGGTATAGTACATCCAAATATTGTTTCCGTTTGCTTCTTGTCGTCTGGGGTGACAGTCGGCCATTAAAAGCTTTGGCAGAGAACAATCCACATAGACACACCATTTTTGCCTTCTCTTTACCAGAAAAGAAAGCTGAAAAACCAGACACAGAGAAACAGAGAATAGATATACGGAAGCGAGAGTGAGGGACTCGGTCTTTTATATAGGAAAGTTGCTTCTTGGTATAGTACATCCAAAATATAATATATATATATATATATTAATATATATTATATTATATAATACGAATATAATTATACTAATTTATCCTATAGATCACTCTTACCAACTTTACCGAGTGAGCCAAGCAACTTGCGCAACCTTTTTCATTAAGATTAAGAACACTATCCTTAGCCCACAGTCGAAATATATTATCTTATTAAAAATATATGGAGAAAATGGTCTAAATTGCCCATCTTTTAAAATTTAAAACTCCTTATTAATTTGCTATAAAAACACCTAATAAATATGGACAAACGAAAAAAAAAATAAATTAATAATATTAACTTCTCAAAATCTTTATATACACTCTTCCACTTTACGAGCAACATTTGATTTTTCATAAGATTAAGAAAGCAGTCGAAATATATTTATCTTTTAAAAATATATGGAGAAATGTCTAAATTGCCATTTTTAAAATTAAAAACTCCTTATTAATTTTTGCTATAAAACACCTAATAAATATGGACAAAACTGAAAAAATAATAATTAATATACTCTCAAAATCTTAAATGAGAACTCAAAGTGAAACAAGTAAAATGCACAATTGTTACTATTAAGGTGGAACAGAGAGAATATATACTAATTTAATTCATTAAAGTTCAATTTTTGAGTGCAGTCATAAATGAGTTTTTTTTTTTTTTAATTATAAATCTCTTAAGAACAATATATATGGATCAAATTAATAATAATAAAGATTTTTTAAAAATTGTTTTTAAGTGAATGATCAAAAATATCTTCATTTCTAAATAAAAAAAAAAGAAAAATATTTTTTATTAGTTTGATCTATTATGCACCCATAAATCGAATTTAGATAATTCTTTCTCTATTTGAATATTACCACTTCTCAAGTGTAAACACGTATGTAAACAAAAGAATATAGGGTGAGTAAAAAATTTCTAAAAGAATATATGAACAATAAATATTAAATATTTTATAAAGAAATATCATATTAATTTACAATAATTATTCCAGATGAAATGAGAAAAGATTCATGAAATAAAGGAGAGTTATTTCTTATTGTATATATAATGTAATGAGAAAAGAAAAATCAATTAAATGAAATATAATTGTTTTATTCAAATAAATAATTAAATAAAGAGTGTGCAATTATTTATTAGGTACAAGGAGAAAAAAAAAAGTGCCAACAAGCCATGCTAAAATGTCTAGAATTTGTTGATTTTTTATTGTTAGTAGGGAAGTCTTTTGTGTTAGCTTTGATTTTTGTTCAATGGGTGTGGCTTTGCTTTTTAGTTCTCTCTTTTAATAATCTCCAATAATTGATAACATTGGTTGAATTTTATTATTCTTTTTTTCTTTTATGAGCCACACAAAGAGTATTCTTTTCCTATTCTTAACTTTTAAATCAAATTTTTTAGAATTTGATATGAAATTGCTAAGAAGAATCTTCAATTTTTGTTGTTGGATTGACCCAAAAAGGAATTTTAAATTCCATTTTAATTACTTTTGGGTTTTTATTCCATCAACAATTGTCCACATTATACTAAATTCTTAAAATTGTCATATTCATTCCAAAAGCAATTTTCAAAGTAGACTTTCATTCAAAATTTATCAAAACTTCATTTCAACAAAAATAATGATTATATATAATATATAATATTTTTATACACGCGTGTTTTCGTGTTTCGACTGAGAGTAATATTCAAATAAAATCATTTTAATAGTGATAATTTTAAATTTTGAACCCCAAAAAAATAATATACCGCTCAAATTGAAACTTATTTTCCAAACTAAGAAAGTTCAATTTGAATTTCTGATTTATTATATATATTTTTTATTTGTATGCAAATTAGAAAATGAAAAACTTTTGAGAAAATTGTTTTAATAATTAGCTTTTAAAATTTTCATAATATTCTCTACCTTTCACTATCTTTTTTAGAATTTGAAAAGTCTTTAACGGTAAATATTTCATCTCTTTTTGTTTTAAATGTGCACTGGGCATTGGCCTATTGGCAAAAGTGATTCCAATTTTATAATTTATCCCACAACTTTACAATTTTATTTTTATTTTTTATCATTTGTAAATTTACCTCTTAAATTCTTAGACGGTTCCTAAAACAATGTTAAAATCACCGGTTTTTTTTTCCTAGTTTGGAACCAAAATTTAACAACTTTTTCAATTTTTTTTAAATTGGATTATAATAATTTGAGTAAAATAATAATAATTAATAGTAACATTGAAAGATTAAATAAATTTAATAAACAATATTTAAATTTATTTAAAAATTTAATAAAAAATAAATTAAAATTTCAATTTTGACCAATTCCATTTTATTTTGATTTTAGTTTAGAACGAAACTATGATCATCTATAATTCAACTGATAACAATTTTCATAAATGTCAGATAATAATCAACATATAAAAACTTCAACGCTTATCGGGAAGGTATCAACCATTGGCTTTTTTTCTTTTTTTTTTTTTGGGTAGTATTATTCTTTTATTTTGAGATTGGATGAGCATTGGCTTATGATTGATGCATCCAATTAAAGAAGTAAAGAAGAAAAGTTGGATAAAGGCTTCTCATAAGATGAAAAGAAGACAAACCAGAAAGAAAACTGCTGGAAGCAAGGAATTAAGCCCATTCGACCAGACTGGGACTAGTTTCCGAATCTTATCCGCCAAACATACATACATACACACACCTAGAAAAGGTTCCACATGCGTAAAGCATTTGAATTTCCATTTATGGGGATATTTTTATTATGTGCTCATCAAAATAATAATGGATGTGAAGAATTCAATTGTAACGCTATATTTAAATTTTGAAGATTGAGAACGCGTTTGGTTCAATTGATTCATATGATAAAGAATTTAATTGGCATTTAATAATTGATAGAAGTTTTAATCAATTACAATTATATTTTAGAGTTTTTTTCATGTAAGTAGTTGATTCGTTTTTATGTTGTATTTGAACTTCATTAATAGTGTAGGAGGCAAAAAAATCAACATTCTTTTTTTTTTTTTTTTTTGAAACTATCAGTATTTGGACCTCATTATCAAAGACTGCCTAATCCGGCTCGAGATTTAGTCACAGTTAAGGTTTCTCGTCCTTTTCTGCAAATGTATTTAGTGGGGATCGAACTTGAAAACCCTTCTCAGATGCCCAATTTATATTGCCAACTGTGTCACAGCATATAAGTTTATGTAACATTCATTAACTAATCGTTATTGCTAGTATGGATAGTTGAACCAAAAGACACTAAGTACATAAATATTGGGATACTTAGTGGTAAAATTAGCACCTTTCACATGGAATAACTAAACAGTTTTATAGAGCTAGTCCTCATGGATGAAGCGGTAACAATATGGACGGATTAATAATTTTGATTAAACTTAGAGACAAAATAGTAATTCTCCCCATAATTTAAAAGATAGACATGCTACCACCAATGAATTATTATTTTATAAATATTAAATAAATACTAAGACTATAGTTTTATAGAAGTTGTCCTCATTACAATGCATTCCACTATGATGGATGGTCTGTTCAGTGTTCAAATATTCATAATGCATCTGTATTTGATTAAATCGAGCAGTGTAAAGGTTCTTTGTACATAATAAACGGATAACATCAAATTAGCACTCTTTTTTCTGGGACTAATTTGGATTTTACAATTAGTTGCATACAACTTCAATAATAACAATTCTCTTAACCAACCGAATCCCTAATTTTCCCATGTTTTATGGAATGCTGGATATGAGTATTTCTTAAGTTTGAGCAGATTAATCTTTGGATTGTTCTTAAGTAGTTAGCTACGTATGTAGTTATTTCAGTCTAAATCATTTTGTAATAATGAATAAACAGGTTTATATAAAAAAAAAGACGCTATAAATATTCCGAAAAAAGCTATACTGATTGAAAAGTGATACAAATTCATACCAATCCACTTGTTCTTTTTGGTTTTGGCACAAAAAGTTTAAAGATGTAACTTTTGACAAAATATCTTACTGCATTCCTTCTTCGTTAAATTGATTGAAGGGAATTCATGTGGCTGTCATGGGAATAGGAAAAAACCCTTTGAGTATTAAAATTTGTAATAGTAATAAAAGGCCACGTCATATATATTCTTAAATTACCACCAATTTTGTAGAGTGTTTCACATCCTTAAGTAATCTAGCCTTAAAGCTCCGGACCTCCTGTGCTCGAGAGAGAGCTGTCCATGAAAAAAATTTGCAAAGAACAATTAATTTTGAATATTCATATTTTCTGATCTAAAAAGAAAAAAAAGGTGTTGCTATGAGGTTTTCTCTATCTTCTTCTCCACATCCAAAGTTACCTGCTCCTCCCCCAAATTTTATTTGCTTTAGTTTGTACCTTACCATCATTCTCTTCAAGATTAACTTCATTCTTAGCATCTTTAAAAGTTATTTCTGCTCCAAACTCCTCTTTCTTCTCATCTTCCATAATCACACGTCCTATTAGCCAAACCCTAACATAAAATTCAGGGATTTCGTGATGGCTCTATACTGATGAAGCACTCGATGGTCCAATAAAATAATAGTTACATGCAAAAATAACTACAATGGAACCGTTTTCATGTCATGAAAGATGAAGTTATCTAATTGTGGGTTAGTATAATGTTACGCACTTAGAGATGTAAACGAATGGAGCCAAATTGAGCTTCAAGTTGTTTATGTTTGATTTGCCAAGTGCTGTTAAGAGATCAAGCTCAATTCAAGGTTTGAAATTGTGCTCCACTCATTTAGAAAATATTAAGCTCAAGCTTAATTTGAATTCAACTTGTTTAAAGTTGGTTTAAATTGATTCGAGTTTAAGCTCATTTTAGATAACCATATTAATTTATTTGATTCCGTTTGATTTAAGAAAATTGAAAGATTAGTTTTCAATTTTTGTGGTTCGGTATTTCAGTTTAGTTTGAGAACCAACCGACTAATTTCACACCCTAAAAGTAATTGTAAAAAATGAGGATACTTCATGTTTAAGAATATGCATAGATAGAAAAGTGAGAGATCTAGCATTTTCCTAAGGATTTTAAAAGTTTATTCGGCAATATTAGTGATTTTAGTAGTTGTTAATTACTGTTTCAGTTGCTGTTAATTATTTATACAGCGATTTAAGCTAGAAGAATTCATCAAAAATAATTGTTTAACTTAAAATGATAAAAAAAAATTAACTTTTTAATTAGATGATTTTGGAGAAAAGAAACAATGATTATGACCCTAAAAAAAAAAACTGATCTCTGACGAAACACTAAAATAGCCTTGTTATTATGAAAACTATCTTAACAAATGGTATAAATACAGAGATAGAGATTTGCCTCAGATGGAAACTTCAAAAGCCAACTTTATGACCAAGGCCTACAGAAAGGAGCATGCTGAATCAAGTGAATACCCGACAACTCAATCAAATACAATATAGACAAGACATTCGATTTCAATTTCTTATCTGCTAATTGATATGCAGCTGCCACATGCGAGATACTGTCCTTCCTTGACGGGTTCTCCGTTTACAACCAAATTCTCATACCCTTGGAAGATATTTCTAAAACCGCCTTTTGATGCCATAATTATATCAGAGCCATGAAAGTCAATTTAACGACATGTCGAGGACTTCAGAAAGGTGGTGCTTCCTTGATTCAGTTGCTAATTTTTGGAATTGGTTAAGTAGTGTCGTAGCATTTCCTCTAATTCCCAATTTTTTATAACTGCTTCCACCACTTCAAATATAAAAATGTTTCTTACCTTTATCTTAATATTTTAGTAGTTGTCTCTCTAAACATGTCCAGTCATAAATATAGAAAGAAAATTAATATTTTTCAATCTATTCCAAACATCAAATAATAATAATAATAATAATAATAATAGTAATTTCCAATTATTTTTAACATCTCAACCAAACAATAAAAATAAGCCATTTCTTATAAAAAATTTTCCTCAAAATATTTTTCAGACAGTAATTTTCCATGAAACAGAGCCAAAGAATCAAAAAAATTTCCCTATCCAGAACTCTGCTTACTAATTATGCAGCCATCTAGTGAAATGCTTCATCTGCTACAATTTCTTCAGCTTTTGACCTCGTAAACCATTCCAAAAGGAAGCTGCGGTTACCACCTTCTTGCCAGGAAGCTGAACTTCCAATACCTATTCAAAAAGCATCAAATGTTCATTGACAGTTCAACTGTTAAAATATATATATCTATTCGAGTAGAAATTTGTTTCGATTATTTCAGAAACCATTTATAAGTCCAAAACTTTATATTCTGAATGCCATCAACATAGCTACACCAAGATTCTTTGACAATAACTACGTTATGGCTCAACTGACCTCAAGTGCAGTGGACCTTCCACACGGAATCACCAATGAACCCTTTAAAAAAGTGATGTCATCCTTTTCGTTGTCGTTGGTGATGCCATTTTGGCAAACTTTTGTAGTAATGATTTTAAGTTCTATTATACTTTGCTGACTATTTTGACTGCCAACAACGGCTACTTTAGCTCGTGTTCCTGGCCACCCTGCAAATGCACGAACCTAAAATGGTTGCATATAGTCATTGCATGGTCATCTCAGGAAGAAAAAGTAAGGGTTTACCTTATTATGTAGGACTAAAGCTTCTTCATCCAAGGATAGCCATGACTCCTCAACAGTTATCTGCATAAAGCAGAGAAATTTGAGTATTTGTTTATTCATTCAATGCCAGTAGAATAAGAAAAAAATTTGTATTTAGACTCAACATAAATAGCCAGCCATCAATGAAGACTAGATTTTGGCAGTAGTTCTATCAAGTGATAAATCTATCTTTTCCCATAATTATCAAACGGCATTTTATCAAATTCCCATGTTCATACTAAAATACCAACTCTTATAACAGAAGTAAAATATGACAGTATATTTTCACAAAATTAATACTTATAGTAGTTCAATATCCAAGAAGTCGTCATCATCTTATCTTCTTTCTGACAGGCCTACAAAATCAAGCATATTAGAAGAATGATCCTAGCAATCATTTCTCTCGACAACACAGTATATCTTATTAGAGATTTTGGAACTGTGCTGAGCATAGTTCAAGAAATCAACAAAAGATGTCAGTATCTCATTCAAGTGAATGTCTCAAAAGAACAACGGGAAATAAAAAATCAAATAAGCAGAAGCCATTGAAGTGCAGCTATAAAAGAAAAGAATGAATGCCCCCAAAACTAGGGCATAGAAGAATGCATGTTTTACAATGCGTCAGTTCATCAGGTTATGCCTGACAACTGACAAGACCTCAACTAAGATCAAAATCACGCTGCCTACTAAAATAGTTTTGCCTCAACACAAACCTCATTCTGCTCTTTAAAACCAGGCTATGAGTACACAAATGGATACAAATACTACTGTCATGTCCTTTGTGATGCAGTCAATTATATCAAGAGGAATTTATTGCCAGTTCCATTCTCAAAACACAAAGAAAGAAAGAAGAAGAGTGAAAGAGAGAGGTTACTTTTGGAGCCAAAGTAGCTTTAGAATCATCTTGTGGTCGTGCCTTTTCCTCAGCCGATCCATCAAAAATAGAGGGAAGCTCATGAACAAGAAGCTTGGATCCTGCTAAGTTACAAGTAGATCATCCATCAATGGAACTGCCTGGAGCAAAAAATATAATCAATTGGACAAAAGAATACTACATCACAAATCCACCTGAAACTATGTTATGATGAAAAGATCATTTTGGAAAAAGATACACTGGAAAAAAGGTTACCGAACAAGATTAGTCACCAATGTTCAAAACATGGCAAAAGCAATAACAGACATACCTTTATAAAATAGCAACTCAAGTAAATCAGGCGCCTGCAACAGTAATCAGTATAAACAGTAGTCAAAATTATCTTGAAACTGGTGATTGCATATTAGGAAAAAATCATATCAAAATGAAAAATACCAGTTAAATCCTCGTGATAATCTAATTTAATATGCTAAGAGTCGAGTAAATAGAGACTGCTGCTGTATGAATCCATCCACAAGTGACATAGAGAAAGTATAAAATTAGTAAATGCAATGATAAAAAAATGTGCAATTATGAGGGAACTTATATCTTGCGCAATTGTAAAGTACTGTGCTAACATGTGCAAGTGCTCAGGTTAGAACCTGAAAGTTAGCCATGTTGTGCCATAGGGATGAACAAGAAACTGTTTAATTTAGTTGAATTATGTTAGACCAAACCAACCATCTCGAGTTGAGAAAATACTAAACCAAAGTCCAAAACCAACCAAGATATAAGAGAAACCAACGTTCCTGATTTACCGATTATCGGTTTCGGGTTAGTTCCGAATCAGCATATAAGGCTTGGGCAGCCCACTAAGACCACTTATTAGAGTAAAAGAGCCATGCTAGCTATATGATTTAAGAAAGAGTCAACGGCTTCATTTTACATAGGGGAAGTACAACCTCTATTTTATAACTAGGCAATGTGGGCTTGCTTCCAATATAGCTGTTAATATGTGGGATGCATCACATCAAAAATTTTAGAATAATATATCAGTGCCCCCAATAAAATGAGGACACTGTGTGGTATTTGTTTAAGTGTTCAGTAGCCTTTTGCCTAATCCTTAATTATATAAAATTCAAGAGGTTGGGCTAAAGGTTTTACCAAGTCGCAGATCAATCAAATAGCATTCACGTAAAACATGAATTTATTTATTTATTTATTTATGGGTAGGTTTCACTCAGTTTGGCAGAGTGAAATCCAAAAACCAAGCCGAACAACTAGTTTTTGTTGAAATTACAAAAAAAATACTGAGTTTCAAAGATAACCCATAAAATTTGGGTTGATTTGGGTTGGTTGGGCAGGTTCAGGGGTTTGGTCGGGTTGATGTACTGCACTCCATGCAACACACTAAAGACAGGAAACAGGATACCCTTCCCATAACCTGCTTGGCAGGACTAACTAGATATCAACTACCAAGGCATATTATTGCTAAATGGTTTGATCCAATCCATCATGTCAATTGAATCGGTTCAGAAACACTGTAGAATAGCTGAACCCAAAACTTGCCGCTGTTAAACAGACAAGAATAATTTGTACCTTAATTTGATCATCAACATCCAGTCTTTCACAGGCAATGACAGGTCCAGCATCTAGAGCACGAACAGTGAAGGCCAAGGATACTCCAGTTTCTTTAGCGCCATCCTAGTGCAGAGACTTATCAATGCAATTGCATAATATGGATAGCATAAGCATTTATATGACTAACAAAAACAACCTATGAAAATAACGAACCTGTAATGCTCTTTGAACAGGAGCAGCTCCACGATAAAGCGGCAAGAGACTTGGATGTATATTGACTGTTCCTGAGAAGATCAAATTTGAAGTTGAGGAACATTTGAAGGGGGGAAAAAAATCAGTTCAATGTCAAAGCACAATACCACTTCATCGTTCTGCTTTTACAGATGATTTATACAATGTCAATCACAATTAAAATAAATATATTTTACAAATTTTTTTTGACCGACATATGCATGCACTAGTAGTGATTAAAGTGTATTTTTTTAATCATCTCAGCACAAGAATGGTGTTACAAGGAGCAACATTAGCTTTTGCTGTCAGTTGCAGGATCTGGGCTAGTAATTGGTTGGAAAAGCTTGAAGTTGATGACTAGATCAATTGCCAAATGCTTTCAATGAGAATTGAGGACTTTATTGATCAATGCGAGCTTGATAAGGATTAATCTTCAGTACTTTATTTTTATCATATTATTGCTTGGAGTGGAGATGCGCAGTGACGGAGCAAGAAATCAAAGTTTTTTTTTTTTTTTTTTTTGCTGTCCAGTTTGCAGATCTGGGCTTAGTAATTGGTCTGGGAAAAAGCTTGAAGTGACTGACTACGCATTCAATGCCGCAAATGCTTTTCAATTGAGAATTGAGGACTGTTATTGATCAATGCGAGCTGATCAAGGATTAATCTACAGTTACTTTATTTTTATTCATATTATTGCATATTGGAAGTGGCGAGCATGCGCAAAGCTGACAGCGAAGAAATCAAAGTTTCTTTTTTTTTTTTTTTTTTTTGGGGGCGGGGCGGGGGGAGGGGAGGGAGGAATTAAAAACAAATTACTAAGGTAATGGGGTTTTTAAAATCAAAACAATTTTATTATTTAGAGGTAAATATTAACAACAAAAAAAATCTGGCGTTGAGAAGGGGGGGCAAGGGCCTACCCCCTTGCCCACCCCGTGAGACCATTGCCCCCCCTCCCTCCGTCAATGGAAGTATGCGGGCGTGGGGGGGGGGGGGGGGAGGGAGGGAGGAATTAAAAAAATTTTACTAATTTAATGGGTAAAATCAAAAAATTTTATTATTTTATGAGGTAAATATTAAAAAAAAAAATTGGGTTGGAAGGGGGGGGCAAGGGCTACCCCTTGCACCCCGTAGCCCTTGCCCCCCCTCCCTCCGTCAATGGAGATGCGGGGTATCAGTCCCCAAACCTCTAGCATGGAGAGCTAATGTTTCTTGAGAATAGTGCAGATTTAGCTATAAACAGAGTATAATGGAGGCAAATGATTCATATAGCCGGCCCCAACTAATTTTGGATTAAGTCTTAGTTGTTTGTCTATTTGTAATTGCTTGAAGTGGAGCAAAATAGACCAATCATAATTTCTTTTTTAAATGCATAATGCACAAGAAGACCAATAATCACGGTGCAGAGATAAAATAATATGATTGGCTCATCACTAATTTTTCCTATAACTTCTCTAAGAATATCTACTTTCTTCCTTGTTTTTCCTTTTCGGTATGTCAAAATTCTTAAAAGGTGAAAAAGGTTGCCAGGAGTTGAACTCCTGACTTCCTGCACTGTGAGTAGGGGGGCCTAATCCAGTTTATGATTATGTTTGACAACAGCTTTTTAAGTAACTTTGTCAAACAGCTAAACGCTATTTTTTATAGTGTTCGGTAACATAGCATTTGAACAAACTTTTAGAAGTTAAGGTAGGATTATATAAAAAGTTAACACATGTAACGTTTAGCTTTTAACGTTTTATAAAAAGCTACTAAAACAGCTAATAACTAAACGCTACTAAAACAACTAACTACTAAAACAACAAATTTTGCCGAGAAGACCCTCTATAAACAGTTCACACATGGAAAAGGGATGTCTCGAACCCCACTCCTAGACACTTCCCAAAAGACAGAAGTCTTGCACTGATAATTAGGAAGCCACTCAGCCACTTCACCCTGATTTTATTATGTTTCTTTTAATCTATTTTTGATTTTTGATTCCTTAGTTGTAGGATGGTGATGGTGCACCTCCACTTTTCCCATTTTCCTAAAGTTAACAAGGTTGTTTATTCTCCACTAATATATTGCAGTTGTTTTGTTCAATAAAAATCAAGCAGAATTTACACAAAGTTGAGTACTTTCTTACTCAGAGATTTGAGTTCTCTCTTTAATTGAATTCAAGCTGCAACCATAGGTAGAAGAAGCAAAAACCCTAAACCACACTCAACCATACCTTCACCAGAATCTAACCCTTCAGCCTCTAGAACCACAACGAGATCCTATGCTAAGGCCCATAACAGGGCCAAAGACCGATTCCAATCCAAACCAGCAGTTCTGGTTTATGACACCCCTGACTCTGGTACAGTTCAACCAGGTTACGGCAGCAATTTAAAAAAAATAAAATAAAATGGTTTGGAACTGGTTGATTCTTGTCAGTTCTTTGAGGGGCAATAAAGCCAGTTCTGGTCCAAACCAGTTCCCAGCAGGTCCAATTCCAGGGCTTGGTCTAACTACGAAGCACACACTGACCATTGTTGGTAGTGATCCACCATTGGACTAGGCCAAGCTAACCTACTTTCTTATAAGAATAAATGGCACATTAAAAAAACCTCAAATGAGCATGTTAATAAACTCAAGACAAAGCATGAGTAGCAAAAAATGGGATAAAATAAAAAATAAAAGCCATGTGAATGAATCCTCACAAAGAACAGTTCTAGGGTAATGGCTTACAATGCCATCACAAGCACAACCGTCATTTTTACCCTGCTCTTTCCAGTATGCATCTATCTATGGTCATTCAGATTAATTAACCCCAACCATAATCTATTAAATCAGAGTCCTGGGGTAGAGAATTTAAGGACAAAGCTTGCCTCAAACATTTTTCAATGGCGCAGCTGCACGCAACACTAGACCCTATGTTACATTGAGCCCAAGACTTTTACCCCTAACTACTAAGGGCTAGAATTGCAGACTTAGAGCCAAAATAATATGAAGCTCATTTGTGGCTAAGTTATAAGCAGCTAGTTTATGAGTTCAATATACTCATGCTGCCAATGAACAAAGGAGCCAGTACTGTAACAATTAAAAAATAGACATGCATACATATTTTCTGGGATTTAGAAGTTCACATTTAATATAAAACTTGTTAAATCATTCAATTTCAACATTTGTTATGATAAGCAAGAAGACAGCACCACCACATTATAAAAGCAACCACCTTCTCTTTCACAAATGTGATATCCTACGGACCATGATAAGTGGCTAAACTGTACATGGCCTAACTATTCTGAGCTATATTTGAATTCTTTAAATTCAATTCATATTCTGAAATTATTTAGAGCCAAAACGAAATTAAGCCCTAGCACGTTGGTTGGTACTGAGACAACTTCAAGCTTAAAAGATAAAGCTTGATCAAGCTCAATACTAGCCATGCCTATAAAAATCGAACCCCAGCTTAGCTATTGCAGTCTTACTTCCTATCTAACAAGTTTAAACTTTAAAATTGTAACATATTCCTCCAATGACATATAGTCCAATGTTGTCTAACAAACAAGCATAGGACAGTTAATCATCTAGTCAGACACATGGTTTGCCCACTTCAAAAGTAGCAGAGAAACAAAATTCTCAATTTTGTTAGAAGAAGTACATTTGACTAACCTATTAGTGGAATTTTGAGAAACTTGGTAGGTAAAATGTTCCCATATGCTGCTGTAATGCAGAGTTCAGGCTGCAATGCTCTTAGACTGTACAAAAAGGCATCCTGCATTGCAACAGAAGGAAAACGAATTCTCCTCACAAAAATAAGAAATGTAACTTACTGAGAAGAAACCCCATTAACCATCAATTACCTCTCCAGCTCGTTCAGGCGTAAAAATGAGGTCAGTTGGAAAGCCTCTGTCAAGTGCATGCTGAGCAACTGGTGAAGGCATCAGCTTTTTACCCCTACCTTTTCTTGTAGGTGGCTGAGTAACAATTGCTCCAACCTAAAATATAACAAATTGCTAATCCTTAAAACAAAGAAGATGAAAATTTCAGGCAGAAAAATTCTAAATTCCAAAATGGAGTACCTCAAAGATAGAATTGGGTGCTGAAGATGCATTGAAAAGCGCGTCAAGAACAGTTGTAGAAACCTAATAAGAAGAAAATGTCAGGTCTCCATCAATAATTAAACTATACAAATGAATTTATAATGAATGTTCACCTGAGGGGAGCCGAGAAAGACGAGGGACTTCTTCTTAGGAGAAGAAGAAGCTACTGCTGATGGCGTTGCGTTGAAACAGAAGAAACGACGTAGCATCAACGAAGAATTCATTCCTTTCTTTTTCCTTCAAGAATGGCTACTGCTGGTTATCCGCCGGGAGTGGAGCTTACAGTTTAATGGGCCCTTGAGACGATGCTAAAGCCCACATTTGTAAAAAAAAAAAAAAAAAAAGAATTCCTATAATGAATGTTACACCATGAGCGGGAGCCCGCAGAGAAGACGAGGGACTTCTTCTTGAGGAGAAGAAAGAAGCCTACTGCTGATGGCGTGTGCGTGTGCAAACAGAAGAAAGCACGTGAGCATCATACTGAAGAATCTTCAATTCCTTTCTTTCCTTCAAATATGGGCTCGGACTGCTGGTTATCCGCCGGTGAGTGGAAGCTTACAGGTTTTTAAATGGGCCCTTGAGGACGATTGCTAGAAGCCCACGATTATGTAAAAAATAAGAAAAAAAAAAAAAAGCTCCACATCCACCTTGTTAGTTTTCTCATTACTGACAAGGATCGCTCCAGAAAAATAAGGTTAAAATACGACTTTCCCAATACGCTCGAATCTTACGATTGTTACAATCACATTCTAAAATGAAATTTAATCTCTCAAATACCCGTAGAGTTTCAAAATGATATAACACTTTTTAAAAAAAAAAAAAAAAAAGTCCAATCACCTTGTTAGTTGTTCTCATTACTGACAAGATGCTCAGAAAAATAAGGTTAAAATCATTTCCAATACCTCAATCTTTACGATTGTTACAATCACATTCTAAAATGAATTTAATCTCTCAAATACCCTAATTTCAAATATATAACACAATTGCATCCTAAAAGTCAAATTAATTGAAATTTATGAGACCCACACTGATTAGCTAACATAACATGAGTTAGCTTTATAGGAAATCAACGATCATTTTGAAAACTTTTGACATCAAAAAACAAGAACTTTTGACAAATATCGATTAATATTTATTCACGTACTCTCTCTGTTTTAAATTGATAAACATATCTTTTCTTTTAGTTTGTCCCGAATTATAGTTATTTACCGTTGTAATAGGTTAGTTAATATATAGGTTAATTTCACCGGTGATTTTTCAACTTAGAACCCCTGCACTTAATTATACATACACTTCAATTTGTAATTTAAAAATGTTTCAACTTTAATTTTGTAATACTGAAAATGTCTTTATCTGTTTTAATTAATTTTTGGATTGCCAAGTGGCTTACACATGGCATACAAAAAAATAAAATATTGTCTAGTGGCATATTATAATTTTTTTAAAAAAAAATACTTTTAAGTAATAAAAAATTAAAACAAATCACTTAAGTATTTTTAAAACAAAAACATAAATTACTTAATTTACATTACTTACTTGAAATTAAATAATGATTAAAAATTAAATTATATTTTTTGGTAAATCTAAAAATTTATTAATGGCTTTAAGAAATATATTATTAATTTATTTAGGTTTTAACCTGTAAATTTATAATAATAGAAAGCTTTTGCAATTTACTCAGATTAACTTAATTTTATTTCTTGTCCTTTACTATGTTTCTTCAATAGACCATGACAAATTTGTTTTGTAATGAGAGAGCACAAGTAGCTCTTTTCAAGAATTTAGTTTGTTTTTATATTTGGAGTGTTAGCTTAGTAAATTTGTCAAGCATAGCATTCTCATGCAATTAGAGTGCTTTAAATAATTACTTGTTGGAAATCATCTCAGTTACAATGCCTTAGCTATTGTTTGTTGGAATACAAATATTTGAATGACGGTAATTTTTAAGAATTTCAACACTTACACTTACTTGTGGTGAATTTTCTTTTACATATAAGTTTTAGTATGAAGTTTATTTTAATTTATCTCATCTTTTTAATTGTGCTCTGTAATTCTTTTATTATTATACTTATTGTTAATTATATTTTTAAATTAAATTTTGAAACCACAATCAATTAATTAAAAGAACTCAAATTGATAACAATTGGTACATATTTGTACTAAGATGAATATATTTTGTATTAAGTATTAGCTAAAGCCTACGAGGATTTGCTTACCTAGAGCATATCCATTGCTCACTCATGGACCCTTAAAATGAGGGTATTTTTCACTGTATATTAGGAAAAAAAAGGACAAAATAAAAATAATTATTAAAAAACATTTTTATTTCCATGGGTTTAGTTTGCGGAATCATGAATCCAGTCTAGATAAGTGCCTATATATTTAGGCTCTTTTAATTCTTCTCAGTTTTTGATTTGTTGTTATCATTACCTTGTTGGGTTAACATATAGCTTTTTTTTTTTTTTTTTTTTTTTTTTTTTGGTTAATATAATGATATTTTAACTACAATAGGATAATATTATCATTATATATTGTTACAAATATCTTTAAAAATCACTTGTAGTCAAAACTTTCTCAAAGTTTTCTATTACTGAATCCAAAATCATTAGATTCCTTGAGTTTTTTATATCACCTCGCCTCTCTGTCTCGTAAAAATACCAAACAAGTCGTTAGACATTATTGGCCTCTGTCCAAATTACTCATATTAAATAGGGCACGTCAACACAGCCAAACGTGCTTCCGAAATACTACCAGATTTTTTTTTTTTTTTTTTGGTATAAATATAAGATATTTTAAACTACAAATAATAATAATTATCATTATATTTTGGTACAAAATCTTTAAATCACTTGTAGATCAAAATCTTTCTCAAAGTTTTCTTCTGAATCAAAATCATTAGATTCTTTAGAGTTTTATTATCACCCTCGCCTCTCTGTCTCGTATAAAATACCAAAATGGTTAAAGACATTAATTTGCCTCTCAAATTACTCATATGTAAATAGGGACGTCAACCAGCCAAAGTAAGCTCGAATCTACCAGATTGAATACTCGATTTAATAAAATTTAGCTCGGTTCAAAATTTCATAAGTCTGAAAATTTTATGAGTTTAAACCTCAACTTCTCGAGTTCAATTTTAAATTGGATGCTCGAATAAGTTTAATATATATATATATATATATATAAAGCTCAAAAAAGGTCAATGAGTTTTCAAACTAACACATTACGCTTGAGCTCAATCCGAGCCAAGTTATTTTGAACGTTTCTCAAATCAAGCTCAAACAGTTTTTGAGTTGGCCCTATTCATTTGCACCTCTATATAAATAGAACTTGCCTACACCATAGATCCATCTATGAATGAAACTAATAGAAGTAAAATTTTTTTTAAAAGTTGCTCTCACTTTGCCTTTCAGCAAATAATTAAAAATATCATTTAAAAAATCATTTTTTATTGATTTGATTAAGCGAAAGATCGAATCTGAATAAGTTATTCTCTTACTCGTAGCAAGTAGCCAATATAATTTTAAATTAATTCTGTTTTTTTTTTTAATAAAACTAAATGATGATGTCCCCACTAGATCCAGATATATATTTTTAATAAAATAATATTAATAATTAATAATAAAACCTAATTATTACTTATTATTATAGATATGAATTGTGTATATTATGTATGGAACCATTTTTACCAAATCCATCAATGAAAGATTTTCTAAAAATTATTACTCTTTTATTTTTTTTTATTTTAGTGAATAGTCAAGCATACTCTTATTTAAACTAAACATAATTTTTAATTGGTTTATCCATTAATCGTCAGTAAATCCTTCCCATGCAACTATAATTTTTTTGAGGAGTACCAACACAAATTGTGGGCGTTGTTGATTTTTTTTTATTTACTTTTTTTTTTTGAAAGAATGATTTTTTTTAAAAAATTTCAATGTTTTTAGAATTAAAATAAAGGGATTACATTTTATTATTATTCTATTTAATTCTAGCCTTTGTAGTGTGATATGACAATCATCAATTTTGGTTTTGTCGGCCACTTACTGCAGTAATTGACCATTATTTTGGTTCTAAATTTTAATTAAAAAGCTTTTAAAATTATGGAGTTTTACAAATGTCATAATATACGTATATTTAGCAAATTATTAGTATTTTATCTGAAAATACCGTATTATATATTTTTTTTGAAATGAACATACCGTATTATAATTAAAGTTAATGATTTTGTTCGTATAATTTCCATCACAACATTGTTCGTGTGGCGTTGCTTAATATAAACACCACATTAGTATAAATAAACCATAAAAATTAAAAAGTGAATGTCCAGAAAATAATAATAATAATAATAATAATAATAATAATACATAGGAACTCTGTTGCAAAATTCATACTTCAAATTGAAAAGGCAGAGAGGCCATAAAACTCTGTAAGAGTTGCAGAATTGGTAATGGCTCGCCAGCCATCAGATGGACAGAGAAGAAGGCCTGGCCGACCACCAAAGGAATGGAGAGAAGGACCTTGCCAGGAGTCAAAAGCTCCGGCAGTGGAGAGCCCACCTGGCCACCATTTCTTTAGAGTAATCCTTCAAAAGATAATTGAAGACAAGAAACTGGTAACAAATTATTCCTTACTTACGTGCATATATAATGCTAACAAGAAAATGGTTCATCTTAATCTCTAGCATTTTAATTTGCTTCTGTATCCATTTCTTGAATTCTTGATGATATTTTCTTTAATTTCTTGATTTTCCAGAGGATTCCCTTAAGGCTAGTTAACAGATCAGTAGGATCAGCTCAACTTTCTGATATGGCAAGACTTTGTGTTCTAATGGAAATGAATGGCAAGTAAAGGTAAACAATGATGGAGAATACATTTGGTTTATTGATGGATGGTCCAAATTTGTGAAGGAAAATTCATTCGCAATCACTATCTTTTAAGTTTTGAATACAAGGGAAACTCTCGTTTTAATGTTATTATCTTTGATCCGTCTAATTCTGAGATAACTGAGTATGGAAAAAATGAAGAAGAAACCAGGCATGAAAATCAGGAGACAGAATGTGATGATTTTGGAGAGGAAACAAAATTGTATCAAACAAAAGGGACTGAAATACCCAGTACATGCAAGAACGACAGTAAGTTAAAAACTAGGTCTTGTAAGTTAATTTCTTTTGTTTAGATTATATGAATTTTCACTGGAAAATTAATGTGCTGGAATAAAAATGTAGATAATAAAAGGAAGGTGGAAGTCTTTTGCTGTTTGCAATACCGGAGATTATCTGAAATGAAATCACTGTCTAAAGGTAGCAAGAAAGCAATTCTTGCTGCTGATTTGTTTGAGCCCACATATCCTGCTTTTAAGGTTCTCTTGCGACCATATAATTTTACACCCGGTGCTTCGGTAAGCTCAGAATTCTCTGCTTTATCTGTAATTCCGAACACCTGATATTACAGATAAAGATTGTTTAGAGATATAGTCCATTTCTACTAATTCAACCGCTTTTAACTTATAATAATTATATAACTTGGTTGATCTACATATATGCAGTATGTGCCAAGTAGTTTCGTCGAAAGGTACATGAAGAGGGTTCATGAAGAAGTTAGACTGGAGTCTCCGGATGGAAAGAGATGGAGCGTTCGGGTCACTGACAATGGTTATGGTTTGAATTTCAGTTACGGATGGAAAAGCTTTTCCAATTATATTAACTTGAAAGATGGAGATGTTGTTATTTTTCAAATGATCAATTCCAAGGACTTTTTGCTCAAAATCAAAGTATTTCGATCTTGAATGGTGCTAATTAGTTACTGGCTTAACTAAGTTTGATAATGTTGTTGTTGGAATTGCTTGTTATACTTTGACATGATTGTACATTGCTAGATGTAATTTAATTCTGCAAAAGTTTTTTTGTACATGTATATTAGTGTTTAGTGTTTTGCCAATTCCACTGATTAGAATCCGTTGTATGGCCACCGGAAAAACCCAACTAAAATTTAGTGACCAATGAGAAACTATTTGGAAAATGAGTAACTATGGATCAAATCGTACCCAATAGGCCATATAAGTTAAAAAAAAAATAACAGAGGAAGCAGTCTCTCCTCTAGTAGTTAAAAATTAAATTTCATTAAAGGAAAAATTATTAAATTGGTGAAGACTTCTTATATATCTTTATAAAAAATAGAAAAATCTAATTGGTAAAAATTCTTGACATAATAGATTTAGATTTTGTTTGTGAACGGATGGATTTATGTCTAATATTACTGCTCATTTGCAATTTTCATGCTGCGGCCTACAGGGAAAATAAAGATCATGTTCTAATGAAAACATATATTTATTAGACAAATTTTATCCCAACGCAGAACTTAATGGTATGTACATATGCCACCTGGTAACAATTCAAATTTGAATCCTCTCTCAAGTATTATTAAAAAAAAAAGGCATAACTTCCCAAATCCAACCCTAATCAATCATGATTTACAATGAACTCTTAACACTTAATCTAAGAATAACAATCTGCGCCAAGTTCTTTTGAATTCCATATACAAACTTCTAATTCAAGCTGCCCAGAAGAATTAAGAAAATGAAATGGAATCAAAAGAAAATCCATAGGAGGGAAACTTTCCACCCTTCCAGGAAAGTAATCTGTCAATGACTTTAATCTTAAAGAGCTGACTCCTCTACCGGCTATAAGATCGTAAAAGAATTTTTCCTTCGATGAGCTTGGTCCTATACATGTAATAGTGGCTGTATTCCCAATGCTCTCAACACCCCTGCTAAGGAGAAAAAGAACACCATCCTCTTCTGCTTGAAGAACAAGGCATTGTTCATCCACACTCAATGAGACTGACAAAGGGCAGTTGTACCTGAAACGCCTTCCAGAGTCCCAATGTTTACTGCTGAAATGTAGTGATAATTGCTCAGACGACCCAATGAAGTTACAGTTTTGAAGTGGGCATGCACAAGGTGAAAAGATGCATGCTTCTTCGTGATTCTCATTATAGTCCAGTATTCTGTTGCATCCGTACTCTTTGTTTCGGCATAGTACTCTAATCGGTTCCACAACCACCTCAATTTCCCCTGCTACGATGCTACTGCTCTTAAGAATATTTGGAACATCTGTCTGCAGGCAGACATCAACAAAACTAATTGTAATAGAAGGGTATATATATTATCAAAATTTATATTAGTCAACCAATTTGTGTCAGATAGTGTGTCCTAACTAAAATAGTTTATGTTTTCATTTTAATTCTGATTAAGATAGGATTAGTCTACGCTCCATTTAAACAATTCTTGTAACAGCTAAAAAGTTTTAGAATAAAATTTCTTTCCCAAGTTTGTATTATTTCCAGGGATTAGGGTGCATTAAAATTCTTGTTCTTAGTCGCTCCTGAGACTATATGGTATTATCATTAAATAATACCATGCTGAAATTTTACCCACAATAAGATATTGAAATCCAAAGAACCAGCACAGCTAGATAAACAAAAGTTTTTTAAACTTGACATAGGGGATTTAAAAAGAAATGCCTAGTCAGCTTGCTGAAGTTGGGGAATAACAAGGTTCAACAAATGTATGAATATAATAAATACTGGTGTGGCATTAAAATGACTACCTGGTCTTCATCCTGTTCAAATACAGAACTATGTGCAACTCCAGTGCTTGTTTTCCCTGTTGGAGGACCAGAAAGTTGGCTCCTGCTCTCTGATGACTCCAAACAGATGCATCTATCCTTGGATATCACCTGCATGAGTAGCAAGCTTAGACAAATCCATTTCTGACTTTGCAGCGTCAGATGTTGCATGTTGTAAATGTTAATTACCTCCCCAAGACCATAGCCACCAAGTTCTCTTTCTCGTTTTTCTCTTTCAGTAATCTCTTCCTCGCCCCATGAAGATAAACATGGCGCTGGAGCGGGGACTAAAGCATCAGATCCCTCAACGGAGATTCTCTCATAATAAAAGAGCTGAGAAGCAGTAAAATTTCAGAGACTGGTCCCAATTTATATAGATGAATGTCCAAACATAATCATAAATCAATTTTCACCTGAAGGAACAAAAGACAACCACCAACTGCACGTTGCTTCCCTTGGCGAAAGCGAGATACCTCCCGAACTAGACGGTCAAGTAAGAACTTTCCCCAGTTATACTGATGGATAACATCCATATCCGTTAAGAAGTGAAGAAATGAAGGGCTAACATCCAGCCTTGCTGTTGGGCATAAGAGAGTGCCCAATGCATATAGGACAAATGATCTTTTAAATTCTTCACCTGCTTCTGTAGCTTTCAACCGCTCTTCTAATAGGCGTACTGAAATACCACGATTTGTAGCATTATAGCTTTGGCGTAGATCAGCAATTAAATCATCAGACCCTGAGTTAACCACATCCTTCCCACTTGCCGTTAATCCTATCACAAACTCCACATCTTTTGGAGATAAAGGAATTCGCTCACCACAAATATCCAAGCTGCGTCCTGTAGTATTAAACCTCTGCAGTAGCCAAAGACACAGACTGCGGCGCAGAGTCCGGCATCTGAGGCCAAGAAGGCTGCCAAATCCCATGCTCTTCACTGCCTCCTTTTGTTCTGAGGTAAGGCTCTGTAGCACATTAAATAAGCGGCCAGGAGAGCATCTTGTGACTAGCTTAGTCTGCATAAGTTAACTGTCAGATTCATCTGACATAGTGTATGTATATTATATAGACAAAAATAGCCAAAATAAGCACACACCTGTTTCCTTGGCTTGGGGATACGGGCAGGAGCTGTGCTCAAGTAATCATCCCACACCTCACGAGCACGCCTAGTATACTTTGCTTTCTCCTCCAGGCTCATTGACTTCCAAGCATCTGATGCTGCCTTTGTGGCCTGAAATGGCAAAAGCCATTGCGTCTATTTTTGCCTCCAAAAATATATTAAGGTATTTTCTATCAATTTTGGAAAGGTAACCAGGAGGCTCACAGCTTTAAGGCCAGATGACTCAGGATGTGAAGCACTATACTCCTTGATAAACTCTCGGCTATAATATTTGATGTGGGCATAAGTATCTATGCAGCTAAGGACAACCCAAAGATGAATCTGCCCTAACTAGGAAATACTTTGGTGGAGAAAGTCCACTCACCTAAAATGCACCCATGAGCATGCAGGACGAGGAATACCCAAATTGTTTTTCTTCTTTTTCCTTTTTCTTTGTAACTGATTATGCTCTTCAGCCTTTCTCTTTTCCATTGCAAAATCTCCATCACTTGGTACCTGGAGTTTGGAGTTGAACGAATCACTGTATTTTAGAAATGGCAGAGATCCTGATAGAGATTTTCCATCATCAAAAGCAAAAAACATTTCCCCTTCTAAGGACAGACTGAGTAGTAGCACAACTAGCAGAAAGGCACTAGTGTTACACTATGGACAAGTATTATCATAGATTTGTTGCCCTTAAAAGTAAAAGGTGCCATATGTATGCAGGCAAACAAATAGAATAAATTATATATGTCCACATCATGTTACATACAAGGAATCAATTTCCATCAAAGCAGAATTAAACACAACAAATATAACAATAGAACTAAGTTAAAATTTTCAATCTTCTCTTTTTATCACATTTTCCAGTGCACTGAGAACTGTGACTATCACTGCAATATCCTTATCTTACTATCTCTTTTATCCTGTCCCTTTCTTAATTTCTCCCTCCCAATACCCCATCCAACCTATATCTTGTGAGATAGTTTTGACCAGAAAGCCAAAACAAAATACAAGAATTAGCATTATTCTAGTTATCATAGTCACCCAATCCAAACCAACTCAGCACAAGATTTTAATTTCCTCTATTTCAAAAACAAGACATTTGCTGCAAAATGAATTGCTCAGGCTATACATAAAGTTTTGATTTCTTATTTGCTAATACTTCCATAAAAATTAGCAATAGAACTTGTGGACATGTTTTTGCTAATTGGTATCACCATGAAGGAGAAGAGAAATAAAAGAGTCAGTCATTAAAGTTCACTATCTGCCAGCTGATATAAAATTAGCAATCGAACTTGCAAAGACATGATTTTGCTAATTGGGGTTACAATGAAAGAGGAGATATTCATGGGTAGCAATCATAAAAGTTCAATATCTGCCAGCTGATAAGGGTTTTGTTTAAGTCCTATCTAAAAGCAATAATTGAATATTAGATATTTAGATGAAAAGCGAGACTTAGAAAGAGCCCACAAGAATCATATCTCAATGATGAAAAGTTAAGTTGGAGGGGATGGGATGAACTTGAGGCATGAATGTCTGGTAAAGTAAGAAAGAGAGTAGTTGAAGATATAAACCTCCAAGAAAAAGACAATTAAGGAATTGTGAGATTGGTTGAGGCAATCCTTTTTAGCTTCATTCAGGTAGGACAAAGGCTCTACCCACCATACAAAAGTTAAAAGCACGCATGCATATGCATGCATACATTTTATGTATGTTGTAGGCAGTGTTATCTATGTCATCTTCAATGCACCATGAAGTAACCATGGTGCTCTTAAGTTATGCTGCATTGGATCCATCTACAAGCCTATGTTCTATTCCAGCAGGTATATACCTATTCTTTCAAATTGAAAGTAGCACATGCATACTGGAAAGAAAGTCAGCAACTTGACACACAAGCATCAGAAATGTAAGATGTTTCAAAAAAGTAAACCCAAAATTGGTAAGGACGTCAATTGCCACTAATCAGATGTACCAACACAAATATAAGAAGCTGTAAGGACAACAATATAAATTCAATGAGGAAGCATTCAACAATAGAGATAAGATATTCAGGTGGATCATTAAGTTTAGCACAGTGCTTTATTCTGTTTCAATAGCAACATTACTACTCCAGAACAACCTCTTTTATTGCTTCAAGCAATGCCCACAATGCCTCATGCCATTCGAGGTTATGATTCATGTCTAATTTACAGTTCTAGGATCCAAGTTTTCTTTCTTAAGATTTGCAAGTGCTTTGGCCAGAGGCACATGATGTGTGCCCTACTGGGTACAACCACATTCTAACCACAGCCTGCAATGCTATTTCCTTCATAATAGTAATGTTATAGTACTCACAACTATCAAGCAGTTCAATACCATATAACCATATATTATTCGAAGTAGCAGGTTCCTGGGTTGTACATCAGACGTTCAAATTAATAGCACATATCAAATCAAACTCGCACAAAAAAGAGCAAACCACTCAAACGGGTGGTATCTCATGATCTTAATTACTATTCTTCTTTCCTTTTCCTTTACATAAATGTTAAAATTCAACGTTTCAATGTCCTACAAAGCTTAATAATGTGATTTAATAATCATGATTCCAAATAAATGTTAATCAAACAAGATAAAAAAATTACAGATAAATAAAACAAAAAATAGGGTTAGAGAAACAAAACCATTTTCTCCAAGAGAGAAGAAAGTATTGCAGTTAAAAACAGGAATAGGGAACCCCAGAGCTGACGGATTAGAATAAAGGTTTAGGTTTCTGAAAAAGGGAACTAGGATTTGGCACGTTTAAAAAACACTCGAATAAAATTGCAATTGACAGAAGGATCAACAAAAGGGAATTTCAATTATACAGCTTCCATCTTTCTGCTCTGCAATTCCAGTCTGCGCTTATGAGTTGCAGAGTCGCAGAGCTCTGAACTATGAGGTCATGTTGCGCTGCGCTGCGCTGCGTTGTACTTGCTTCCCGATTGTTTTCTTTCTTTTTTTTTTTTTTTTTTATATAAGAGGTTTTAGGTTTCTGAAAAAGGGAACTAGGATTGGACGTTAAAAAACACTCGAAAAAATTGCAATTGAACAGAAGGATCACAAAAGGGAATTTCAATTAAGTAACAGCTCCATCTTTCTGCTACTGCCAATTCTCAAGTCTGCACGCTTATGATTTGCAAGAGATCGCAGAGCCTCTGAACACTAAGGTCATGTGCCGCTGCGCTGCGCTGCGTTGTAACTTGCTTCCCGATGTCTTTCTTTTTTATTTTTCTTTTTTTAATGTAATACCAAGTTTCGCAGCAAAGATGTATGATTATCCGATTTAACCACTTGAATCTTGAGAACTAAATATTGCAATTCATTCAAAAATTAACTTTTGGTAATTTTTTTTTTTTTTTTTTTTTGAAGATTTTTTTTTTTTTTTTTTTTTTATGTAATACCAAAAAGTTCCAGCAAGATGTATGATATAAGATCCGATTTACCCTTGAATTTGAGAAAAATATGCAATTCACTCAAAAATTAACTTTTTGTAATTTTTTTTTTTTTTTTTTTTTGAGAATAAACTGTTTGTAAATTTACCAGTGAACTTACATTAAAAGAATAAAAATCTCAATTTTTTGGTCAATAAAAATAAATACTGTAGTTGATTAAAAATCAAAGATAATTAAATATTTAATTTAAATCAAATATAATTAAATAATAATTAAATAAAATAATAATAAATAGTTTTTCAACCCAGTGTTATCCAATATGATAAAGGATTGCCGCTCCAAATTTTATTGGACTTCAGCCAAATTGGAATGCCAGGATCCACCATCGCCATTATTAACACAGAAAGCTAAATTCCTATGCTTAAAAATTGACATGTTTGGTGAGAAGATTAAAGAGGTTACTTTCATGGGCTTCTGCCCTACAGATAGGATGTTTATCCAGGCAATTATCAGTTTCTCTGGGTCAAATTGGAAACATAGAATTGAGGTTTATGCAGGATGCGGTTGGTCCAAAGATGAGGTTTATCAGAGAAGAAAATAGTTGGTGCTATGGATTTTCTGGTTAATGTGATCGATTTGAAGCCCTTCAGCAATAGTTGCAAATTCGGAGCTTCTTTTTTCAGTTTGAAGAAGAGAATCATTCCTTGGGGTTCAGTAAATAAAATTTTGATGTTGAAAGGTATTTTGGAGAAGAATATCAGCCTCTATTCTATGTTGATGTTGAGTGAGAAATGCTTCTTAAAAATGCATGTGGACAAATACCGGAACACAGTCCTTATTTTGTGTAATCAAAATATATAAACACCAAAAACAAGAACAACTCTAACCAAAATGTCAAGAAGATTTTCATTAACAACTGCTGTAAACTGCTCTTCTACTACTCCAGGAAAGTCCATACCAGAAATTTCCTCTGCCTCTGCTATACCCCAGATCACGTGCCCACGTCTGAGCCCTCGGATATGGGCGCTATGCAGAAATGGATGGTCTTTTTATTATCATCTTCGGAACCACCAGGACAAAGAAACAACCCTGCTAAAGGAAAGTCGAGACTATCATAATTGTTCTGAATGTTCTTTGTAAAAGAACGAAATATGTGAGTTGTTTCTTCAGTTCTGCTACAAGATCATACGAATGAACTTCTTTCGCTGAAGGAGCTCCAATGCGGCTAACTGAGATAAAGTTTCCAATCTTTTCTGATCTATTGCTCAAAATAAACAGAACACCTCCTCTCTCTCGGAGAAAAACAAATTTGTCATCAATACTAAAGGAAATAGTGAAGGCGTAATCAAATATGAAGTTTGACACGCAATCTAAATGATCTTTAGTACAATGTTCGTATAAATCGCTAGCGTTGTCTTTGCTTTTGCATCCTTGAATAGGACATGAACATGGGAATTGTGCACATATCTTCTCATGCTCGAAAAAACTCTTACCATAGCTGAAAGTTCTGAAGCACCTATATTTCACATTTCGGCAACGAACTTGAACTGATTCAAGAACCATCTCAATTGCCCGGCAGCGGATGGAGCCAATAGGCATTGCACAAGATGGACACTTTTTTGCAATGTTCTGGCAGCAAGAAGAGCAAGCTGTATGTCCATTCTCACACTACATTTCCCAGCAATCAAACAAATGATTAGTTATATGCATCTAACAATTGAAGGAATCAAGTAAAAATAGCATTGAAGGTCTACACGGAACAAAGATTATATAAATTAGAAGTTAGAACTACTGGTAGTAACTGAGAGTTGATGAAAGCAAAACCTGAAAGATTGGAATGTCAAAGGGTTTAAAGCAAATGGGACAATCAAGCAATTCCATGTCAAAAGATTTCACAATCACTGAGGAGGATCTTTTTTTACTAGAATTGAGCGAGCTATTGTTGTTTGTAGCTCCGTCAGAAAAAGCGCATTGCCTCTTTCTGCTTACACTATTTAGAGCAACGTCGTCAGCTGGCGATTCCATTCCCTCTGTCTTTGTTTAAGAGTCTCCCTGTCAAACCCTTTCAGTATTTGTTTTGAGTAATGCTGAATAGATAGAATTGGTTCAGTCAGAAATTTAATATTCCTCACTGTCACTCATTTATAACTGCAATGATTTTCGGATAAAGGTAGGTAGTAATTATCCATTTTGCCCTTAATTTTTAAGGTTTAGTGAAGTGAGAGAATGAAAATTTGAAATTCAAAAATTACACCTTGCTCATAAACAGACATTACAAGTTCCTTCTGTTAAGTCACATTTTAAATTTAAATTAAATAAAAAGAGAGATCTAGAGCAGATCGGGAATTCACTGCGGGGACGAGGCGTAGTTGTTGAATATGATTGGAATGAAGGGGATGAGTTAGATGAAGAGATAGCCGCCTCGCCGAGCCTGTTTACTTATTTTTGTTTATATTTTAACGGCTACTAAGACGTCAACATGAATATATACAACCTTTTGCATTTAAAAGCTGCTTGTGTTTTTATTGTTACATCATGGTGAAATTTTCAGTTAAAAAATTTTCTAATTATGTAGTTTTGCAATTAAGATATAGCAGGCAAAAATTATAACTGCTATGCTTTAAAAAGACCGAAAATCAACCATATATTATTAGCTAGAAAACTGAAGCTGCACAAAAACCATTACCAAATCAAAGCCTTTGCACAAAGATTGGAACTATCTACATATAGAAACTTCGGCGGCCTCCGCTATGCATACCTGTCAACAACATCAAACAGCATTGGTAATTCTTTGGGTATTGGCACCTGTGCTTCTTTGAATGAACAGAACATTTCTTTGAGCATTTGTGTCGGTATTTCTTTGAATGTTTGCAGGACATGTACCATAACGCCATATGCAGAGATCCAAGCTGATCTGTCCATAGGATCCAAAGAAACTAGCTGGAACTACAAGGAAATCCTGTGAATGAGGGTCATCATCATTAACCTTTCGAATATTCTTTGTAAATGACTGAAATTTGAGATTGCTTCCTTCCATTTTAGCTGCAAGCTCATAAAAGTATCCCCCCTTTGGTGAGGAGGGGCCTATGCAACTAACTGTAATAATATTACCAACAACCTCAGCAGTATTGTTCAGAATAAATAGAACACCTTCTTTCTCTTCTCGGAGAATTCGGGATTTGTCATTAAGAGTGAAGAATACAGGAAAGGTGTTGCCATATCGGAAGAGTACTGCAGCACCCTTGTGTTTATTGCTAAAATGCTGGTATATCTGCCTAGATGAACCAACAAAACTGCAACCTGATGAAGGGCAAAAGCATGGTGCATGACTGCAGATCTTCTCATGGTCAACTTTCTTGCTGTAGTTAACTATTTCTTTGCACCCGTACTTCAGATTTTGGCATGATAGTCTGACAGATTCAAGAACCTTCTCAATGGCTCGGCAGCGATTATAGCCAATAGGCAACGAGCAGGTAGGACACTTCTGCAAAAGTTTTTTGCAGCAGGAAGAGCAAGCTGTATGCCCATTCTCACACTGAATGGACCAGAAAATTCCCAAATATGTCATCGCATATATAATATGAAATGAACCATATAATTCAATGTGCCAAATGTTGTAAATTTACATATAGCACCAAATTTCATGTTTTATAGTGGTAAAGAGCCACCAAGTTCTCACATCAAAAATATAAATCACAAATCTCTATCAGATTATGAAGTTGAATGTCTTTTAGAGAAAGACCTTTGCAATTTGAAATGTTTAAAAAGAGCAAGAATTTTTAAATATTTAATAGTATTAAGAAGCATGGAGGTTTAAACATGTTCTAGATCATGATCAGTAAGTTGGAAACCTCAACATTCCTCCATTCACAGCTTTGAAACTTTTGGATATAATTAGAACCAGAGTACATTTTCTGGACCACGGAGAATGAATACTTTACAACTACAAATAAGAGAAGCAAGATAAACATGCAACAACAAGAGAACACACCTTAAAATCCAAAACCTCATAGTCTTGCTTGATCATTTACGGAATAAGCTTGGGCTTAACTTTGAATATCAAAGCCATTTTCTGTTTTTTTTTTTTTTTTTTTTTCCCCTTCTTTTAGATAAGCGAGCAACTGATCACAAGAGTGTACACAAAGGTATGCAATAAAACACATTCTGTCTTCCAAATAATTCTTAATAATCAAACTCAGTTGGCAAAACCTCTAATCCTACTTTTCCTAATAATAAATCAAACTTGATGGATTTTAGAAATGACCAACTGCATAGCATAAAAGCAGCAGCCAAAAAAAGAGGCTGAGGCAATGCAACTTCAAAATATGAAGTTTTAGTAGAGATTGTGCCACAAATATTCTATCCCCAGAGAGAAAATTAAGATCATATTGCACCACCGTTAAAACAATGGAATCACATATTACCAGTATGACTAACAGCCTAAAAGGGATAGACAAATTATTTACAAAGATATTGCCAACAAATAGCTATCAGTTACTAATGCATAAGATTTATCTGATGAATGAACTGGCAAATATGCCCCTACTGATATCCACAGTCTCACTCTAGTCTCTAAAAAAAAAGTTCACAATGCAATAAACAATATAGATAATATATATGTAAGTTAAAAAAGCAATTTAGAGTTCACACCCTACTAATCTGCCATATTGGTTAATAGGTTTATAGCCAAAAGGGTAAAATCTCCACATAATGTACTTATTCCAAGAACCATTAAAAGGAGTAGAAGGAAGAGGATGCTTTTGGTAGATTTGCTTTTAACTTTTGTGAATAATTTAGAAACTACATCCTGACTTGTAACTGTGAGTAAATTCCTTAGATTATTGTCTCACGTGATATTTTCAATTTGAAGGCCACTGATATTCTTTGAGCAATCAACAAACTCAAGTATTGCGTCAATTGTTGCTGCTGCTTTGGAATGCTAGTTTCTCTAGAGTATATAATCGAAGAGTTGTAGTGCTGTTTCTTTCTGCTGCTATGTTCTGAATAATAAAATTTGTATTAATATTTGGTTAGCTACTCATAAGATGTTTGATTTTGTTGTCGTTTTCAATTATAATTGTCTAGCAGATATATCAAGAACCTTTCAACAACACCAATCACCCCTTCTCATAACATGCTTAAACCTAACAACTTTCTCCGAAGATTAATTTATTATTATTTTTCAACACAAATTTCCTGAAACTATTAATTGCCCTTTAACCTCCAGCGAAGAGACTGTACAATCATGATACTTTCATTCATTTGCGTAGCACAATATAAGGAGCAAAAGGAAACAATAAAAAGGATGCTAACTACTAAGTAATTAGAAATGTTTTTTACCCTTCAAAATTATTAAAAGGCAATGCAATTAGAAATAAGAATAAGAACACCCTCACACCCTGATTTCAAAATACAATATAGCAGAGCTTTTTTTTTTTTCTCCATTGAAGACCAAATAAATAAAAAATGAAATTTATAATAACTAATAACCGGAAAAACAAAATTTCATTTTCAAGAAACTAAAGCTATAGTCATAACAAAAAACCAAAACCCAGATACAATTTCAAAAAACCAATCTGAAATTTTATGTTTTCCGCAAATAACAAATACGCAAACATTATAAAAAAAAACATGCAACTTAAAAATAATAACATTAAATGCAATACGGCTAAAAGAAAGAGAATAGCAAGCAAGAACAGATGACAATACCTGAAAGACAGGAATGGTCAAGGACTCATAGCAGACGGGGCAATCAAGCACTTCTGGATCTGTTAGGGTAACGCAAATTCCACCATTTCTAGTAGGTCCGATAGGGGCACGAACGTTCGACATTGCAATTTGATTAGTTACAACCTCGGTTGTTTCTTCTTCTTGTTCTTCATCATCGTCGTCGTCGTCATCACCCTCATCGCCTTCTTCTCCTTCCTCTTCCTCCTCCTCTTCCTCGTCGTCGTCGTCTTCTTCTTCACTTTCGTTCAGTGGTTCGTCGTCTTCTTCGTCTTGGGGTTGATGCCAGGAAGTTTGTTGAGAAGACTCATGGATCCTCTGTCGTTTTGGCAAGCTTGGGCCTTCATCTACGCCGACTGAGAATCTCGCCATCTCTCCCTCTCTCCCGTTCTACCAGTAAAATTTGATTTTGGACCGAAGTCCCATTCTCCTTATCGCTTACGGTGGTGACTGACCATCTTGCGATGCGTGTGCAAAAACGCAGTGTTTTGCTTTTTACAATTTTAGGTCTATTAACTTTTAATATTTTCTTTTTTATTCTTTTAAAAAAATAATTTTCAAAAATTAATAGTATGTTTTAATATTAAAAAATTATTTATAATTTTAGGTCTATTGAACTTCTAATACTTTTTAGCCAAAAAAAAAAAATTGCAAACTTGTTTATTTTTTTAACCTCCTAAATTTGCTTCAGCAGCGATATTAAAAACTCTCCTAAAAAAATATTGACTCTACGACTCAATCCTAAGACCACCAAGTGAAATTTAATGTATTTTAACTATTAAATCAAGCTATTTTGGATATCTTTATATACAACAACACGATAACAATTAAGTTTTTGTATCAAACTAGATGTAATAAGTTATATAAATTCATTTTTCAATATATGCTCTCATCAAATAAATATCAATACAAAGTAAAATTTAAGTCGAACAAACTTTAAAAAACTTTTTGTAGAAAAAAAAAATTTGAACAGAGAATTTTAAAATCGCAATAGCAACAACAACTAAGTAATAAATATATTTAATTATGGATTATTGAAATTTTTTAGTACATGATAATGAGAGTTGAGTTGTATAATTAAGAGCATACCTATATCTATTTAATTTCACCCATCCTAAGTTTGAAGGAATCCAAGAAACCACAACACTTTGCCAACATTTAGGAGTATTTTTTTTTCATTTTTATCATATTTTCATTATCAAAATTCAGTAAAATCCAACACCAATGATTTTTTTTATCGTAAAATTAATATTTATTGTGTTTATATTATAAGGACAAATTATTATGAAGTCTTTTAGATTTGACTAAAATTATTATTTTGTTTTTGGAAAAAGTTTTTGACTTTTGGTTTATTAAATTACTTAAAGCGCGTTTGGTTTAATTGATTCATATAGGTAATAACTGACTCAAACTGAAATTCTAACTTATATGTATTTGGTAAGCTTTTTAATAAACAATAAAAGTTGATAGAAGTTTCGAACAAGTAATTTTACGAGCTTAAGTCTTTAGAAGTTTTTTTTATTAGATCCTAGTTGATGTGAATATTATTTTATTTCAATTCTATTTACTTTATAAAAATAACTACTAATAAAATTTTCAAATTATATTTTTCATGATAATTTCATTTATAGTTATTTAAAAATAATAATTTTTAGTAAATATTATTTAAAAAATAATTACTTTTTTAGTTATATGATATATTAAAATAAAAAATAGTCGACTTTAAAAATAAAAAATTATATATATATTCTTTGTGGTCATTTTCACTTTTCAAGAGCAATCGTTACCAAAATGTTGTCAGACATTAATATCCATCAACTAGGCCTACCAGCCACTAACTACCCGCTAAGTATCCGCTATTAACAACTGTTCTGAATTATTCGTTGATAGAACAATTAAATCAAACGGACCTTTAGTCTTTTCATCCAAAATTTCATTTTTTGATGTTAAGTAACCTATAATATATGCAATCTTTTTTCCTTTTTTTTCTTTTTTTGAGTTCATATGCAATCCCTTGTATTTACTCTTAAAATATTATTTAGTTCCTTACTTAACGATAAAAATGATAGAAGCACTGATTAATTTAACAGGATCAAACTCAGAGACTTTGTAGTAATTTTTCAAATGGCAAGGATGGAATAGTAATTTTAATCAAATCTCAGATAAATTGAAATTCAGGGACCATAAGATGTATAAAGATAAATTGAGGTACATTTGTGAAGTTAAGTGACTACCTGTAACCGGGACATGTGTAAGAGCCAATTCGGTCAGTCGCCAAATTCTCAGAAAAGAAAAGAGATAACAAGGAAACCATTTTTAAGGATACTCTAATTTCGAATCAAACCAAATCAATTACAGAGATTGTAAATGGAGAGAGGTTTGGCATTTGTAGCAGCAGGAAAATCAACAAGCCCTCTATGCTTCTCCAATCACAGTTTTATCCACAAGCAGTTTCTGTTACCTAGCAGCACTACCACAGATGGTAAAGCTGCCATTATCAGTAAAAGAAGGGAATCCATATCTGTTAAAGCCTTGAATACATCTATAAGACGAGCGACCTTATCGAGTAACTGGGACGTTACAAATTTATCTTCTTTTGCTTCCTCAGCTCCAACGCTGCCAAGATTTGAGGAGCTGGATACCACCAATATGCTCCTTCGTCAACGAATTATCTTCTTGGGTTCTCAGGTCTTGCTCTTTTTTCACTTTTCCCAAATTAATTTGTGTATTTTTGGTTTGAATTGAGTTGACGTGAATTTTGTTGAGTTAAATTGATCGATTTTCTTGGTCTTTCGTTTCCTGTGGAGATTATTTCTTTGAAGTTTTTATTGCTTGTTAAACGTTGACTGGTGGTTCTTTGAGTGGGGTTTTACTCTTATCTTTATTGAAAAATAATATGATTTAGTTCATTAGTTGGGTTTCTTGGCTTTGATTGTTGGATTTTTTAGCTGGGTTTTTGCTCTTTTATGTTATTTTCAGAATCTTTTTTTTTTTTTAGTCATGTGAATAATTGGAATGGGTGCTTGGGTTGTTTTGCGTTTGGCATCTAAGGTGAGGTTTTGCTCTTTTTTGGTACCTTTGCAGTGCAACATATTTGTTTTGTAAGAGATATATTAGTGAGGTTTCAAATGCTGTTTTAGTTCCATGATACGGTTTTTCATTTTGAGAATGCACATGTGCAATACGATTCTGGAGCAAAACTGTTGAATCTATAAGAAATCTGGTTAGTTCATAACAGTTTATTTGCATCTATAAGAAAACTGTTGTACACATGTATACATGTATATATGTTTGAGATACTGGAAAGTGATTCCAGGGTACTCTCATTGTGTAACAGGTGGCTTTTGAGTGTTAGTTAAGCGGTAGGGCTGCATGTTATTGGTTATCAACGACTTCTTGTTCTTTATAAGAAATGGAATTCAATATATATATATATATATGCAAATGTTCGCTTAAAAGTTATTGGTGATGTTCAAATTTTCCTTTGTATATACATGCTTTTAAGACTGAAGAAAGGTTGTTTGAATTGCGTATTCTCATTGATTTGGGCAGGTTGATGATATGACAGCCGATTTTATCATAAGCCAGCTCTTATTTCTGGATGCTGAAGACCCAACAAAAGACATCAAATTGTTTATTAATTCACCTGGTGGTTCTGTCACTGCTGGTACTTCAATGTGTTTACTTAGCATACCTGGTTTTATGGTCCTCTCATTCTTTGTTTTGCATCTTCTTTTTAATTTTCTCTTTATCTTTCTAAATGTTCTCAGAGCTATGACACTTCTAACTGAGTTGATTGTGAAGGATAAAGTACTCAAAACAATCTAATAACATAAATAAAAATAAAGACCAACACCTTGTATATATTTTATGGTAGATAAGAAGTCTCAAAATATTATAGTGAAAGCACCTAGAATCTACAGCGGGATGTTAGTTGTCAATCATAAGAGCCTTTTGATTGATTATAGAATCAATTAGCTTAGTCTTATGCTTTATAAAAGGATAGTTTTTCTCTTACAGTATCCTAGCCATTGCATCAGTATATTGGAAATATGAGGGTAGTTAAAAGATTTGATGTTAGGCCTTCATGGATTTCAAGCTGGAAGAATCTCAGGAATGACTGCTAGTTTGCACCTTGGATTTAGTTTGACCTGGCTATTTAGCTGGATATTTCCTCATATGTTTTATGGTCTTCCTGCTATAAAAGGGTAAAATATTTAGAGTGAGCAGAACTTCTTCAGATCTACCATTGATATTTCTACCATTGATATTAATATATAATTAGTAACTATGGCCCCTCATTATCACATTTGATCTTTTGGTTGGTAACTTCATAATTTGGCCCTTGTTATCACATTTGTTCTTTTGGTTAATTAATAATTAATGTCAGATAAAATCTTCTCTTCTACCTGTTTTCTATCTGCCCTCTCCCTTTTGGCTTATTCTGTCTGTGTACATGTATTTCAATGCTCACACAAGGATTTTGAACTCCCATTTTGGCCCATTCCAAAGTTGCTTATCCATTGTATGTCCAGCGGATATTTGTTCACAATGCATAAGGAGCACTTCCCTGCCATAATAAATTGTATTTTGTGTGCGTGAGAGATAGATAGATTGCTTTACCTCTTCTTTCTTTGCCTAAACATTCCTGTCTGCACATTATGCAGCATGGATGGTGATAAAACTGTACAAAATATCAGGGTAGATCATCCTCAATCCCATTAATTCACAATAGCTGACTCGTTGCCAAATAAAAGGGACAATTAATTCTAGAAAGTTGTATTGGATCAAGGCCTGTTACTTTGTCTGCACCTTCTTGGCTTAGGAGAAGATTTAGCCCGTGTAGCCCATTAGGACTTAGTTGAAGCTACCTTCCTTCTCCTAATGAGCATTGACAACTTGACCTAGGCCACTGTTGGAATGTATGCATTGGTGAGAGTAAAATGATGCAGGGATTTAGTTGTTCATCTTGGGGATACAAGTTCTCTCCAGTCCTCGATGTGTTGGATATCAGTGACTTGAAATCTGAAACTCTACTCTCTAACATGATGATGTTCCATAAGGGCTAAATACAGTTATATGACAAGAAAGATTCATATTTTCTAATCTGAGGTTGTGATATAATCTCTATTGGAGTTACCATGATTACATTCTAACTTCCTTTACTTTATCTATTCTGCATGAAGGATTGGGAATATATGATGCAATGAAGTTGTGCAAGGCTGATGTTTCAACTATTTGCCTGGGTCTTGCCGCATCTATGGGAGCGTTTCTTCTTGCTGCTGGTACCAAAGGCAAGAGGTTCTGCATGCCAAATGGGAGAGTGATGATACATCAGCCACTTGGAACTGCTGGAGGTAAAGTAAGTATCTAGTTTATGCCTATGTTTGGGTACATTTGTCTTGAAATCCTTCTAACTGAGTGACATTAGCTGTAAACCTATCTCTTTTGTTCAAGTTCAACAAAATGTTTTTCCTGAGAAAAAAAAAAATCTGCCAGCTTTTATTTATATGAGAACCTTACAAACTATTCTCCGTACTTGGTATGGTCTATTTAAGTAAGCTGCAGCTACTTGGCGCGCGCGTGCGCACACACACGATGTAGGCATTTATTTTGCACAAGCTACTGCTTAGGTTTTCTGGCCGATTTGAAGGGTGAAAAAAGAACCTTCTACTGAGATTGTGGGTCATTGAGGACATCAATTTTTCAATAGCTAACAATGATGAATCCTTATCATTTTGTCTTTTTGGTTGAACAACCTTAGCATCTATACCTTTTAGTTAAGCAGTATTGACTTAAATCTAGTGTTTATCATGGTAAATTTGTTTTCTAAAAGAGATTGAATTTATGTTGCTCAATTTTACAAGCTTATATCAGTAGCGTTCAGAGATATTGACACAATGTGAGTTTATATGATGCTGTCTACTTGACATGCCTTTTTAATAAGTTGTTTTGGGTTTCAGGCAACAGAAATGAGTATACGAATAAGGGAAATGAATTACCACAAGATTAAGCTTAACAAGATAATGTCAAGAGCTACTGGGAAGCCAGTGGAGCAGGTTGGCCATGGATGATATTTCCTTGTATCTTTCTTCCTCAATTTATCTCTAAGTTTTTTTTTTTTTTTTTTTTTTTTTCCATTTTTCACAGATTGAGGTTGACACTGATCGTGATAATTTCATGGACGCTTGGCAAGCTAAAGAATATGGGTTAGTAGATGCAGTTATCGATGATGGAAAACCAGGACTGGTTGCACCTCTTGCAGATGCTTCACCTCCACCAAAGACCCGGGTGTGGGAGTTTTGGAAAGTTGAAGGGAGCAAGAAAGCTAGGAAGAATTTGCCATCGGAGCATAAAATTTTGGAGAATGGATATTTAAGGGTTCAAGGAGATGATGAGGATAGAGGAACAAATCCAGAAAAAGAAGAACCTGCTTCTGGATAAGTTTCAGCAGGTTTTCTGTATTTTACCTCTCAAAGCAGTTACCTAAAATCTTGAATTAGTTTAAGTTACTGACTATAAATTTTGAGAAATGGTAGGAACATGATTTTTATAAATTAAATACGTTTATAAGGATGCTCAAATTTCCGTCGGAGTACTTGTGTTTTGCTGATCTATGCATGTATAAATCCACATAATCGTAGCCCCATGATTTCAGCAGGCTTGTTCAGGTATAGTTGGAATCATCTAGTGAAATTATTGTTTTGATAGAGGATTTTCTGAAGAAAAATTTTTTATTATTAAAAGTTTTCATTAAGGAACTACTTGTTTCTAGATTTTCTGATATTTGGGGATGTTTAGAAAAACCAGTTTCACTTGTCGTCAAAGAGAAAACTAGTCTATTTTACAGGAAAATAGCTTTTCATGGTCTTAACGTTTTATAGATATCGATAAATTTATTATAATAAATTTTTCATCATGTACCACTGCCACTGCCATTGTGATTATTGCAATTTATTTTTTAATATAATTTTCCTTAAATTTAATAATAAAAATTTAAAATATTACATTCGAAATTTTCAATATTTTTAAATTAATTTTTAATATTATAATCATATAATAAAAATGAATTTTTTGGATTTTCTTGGAAATATTTTTAAGGACGAGCTATTTTGCGAAAACAAATGCAGTTTGAAAATTAAAAAACAAAAGAAATAAAATAAAAAATTCCATAATATGTCAGTAAAAAGATATGGAAACGCTTTTAAACAATTTTAAAAGACGGAAGAATTATTCATTTTGAAGGCTTTTAAAGTTTGATGCTATACTTATTGGTGAGGTGCAAAGGATAGAATTAGAAACCTGGACATGAAACGCACAGCAAATAAGAGAGGAATTTGATTTTATCTTGTTTGGGAAGAGGAAGAAGAATAAATAAGCAGGAACGAAAATATGTTTCATTTCAAAATCTTATTTCATTGTGCCAGTAAAGGAAAAGTAATTTTATTTTTCCTTCCATATCTAGGCAAAGAATTTCTTTTCAAAATCTTATTTTCTCCCACATTTTCCTTTTTTTTTTTCTCAATCTTCCTTTGTTTTCCCGGAAACTGTAAAGTCCTTTTACACTTCTAACATAATTATTTGCTGTTTTTCTATTTTAGTGATCTTATATAAAGTAAAAAAAAAAAAAAAAAATGATAATGAATTAGCTCTGCTTACAGGGATTCTAATCAAGTTATCATCCACTGTATATGGAGTTACTACTAAATTATTGGTCTAAGCAATAAATTTGATTTGTATTTTTTACGATTATTTTTATAATCCCCTGAATTTTACGGACCCATCATGATCTTACAATTTTATATTTCATTATCATAATTAAACCCCCTGCAAAAATATTTCATTTCAGCTAAGGACATAACTTATTACTGAAATGTGAAAATATAATCATAATTAAACCATTACAAAGTTAATCGGCTAAAATTCAAAATCAATTTATGCATTTAGCTGTAAATTATTTGTCATGAATTCCTTTTTCTTTGTTGTCTGTGGTTCGAAAGTTGAATTATTTACATATGTGGAGGCCAACATCTAAAACCCAAACTACAAACCAGAGACGCACGGTATAAAAAATCCATATTACATTCTGCAGAATAGTTTCCTTCCATATATGTACATCTTAATCTTACAAATATAGTCAGTGGTACATGCATAAATAACATCTAATCTAATCAGTTGATCTAAGAATCAACCATAGCCATCACTTAACCCATAATTTAATACATAAACTGCATTTCTATGAACTTCTAAGAATTACAATGATCTAACTAGATTCAAAGCAAGCTAAAATCTTAAGCTAACTCTATACAGTAAGAATTTGACGCACTTGGATTCGGCTCAAGACTCAAATACTACATCAGTCATGGTTTTACTTTTACGCTTCTCTCCAATCTGTATGCTGAATTCAACAAGACCTATATTATGTCAGCTAGTCATTAAAACTCCGTCTCTGACAAACTAAAATGATTCGCACCATTCAGATAGAGTTGATTGAGTCACTGTCACTACTTTCACTATCACCGCTACTGCTACCACTCCCACTTCCACTACCGCTCCCACTTCCACTACCGCTCCCGTTCTCGCTTGCACTGCTATCACTTTCACTACTACTGCTCGAGCTTAAATCTTGTTCCTTCCTCACTTCTGCATTCACCTGAGCTCTAAGGGCTTCTGCTGCATTGGGGCCTTTGTCAGTTTCATTATCACTAATATCCACATCAGCAATCTCATCATCTGTGTCAGCCTGATGTGGCAAGTTAATATCAATGTCGAGACCAGTGCGTGATCCCTTTGCAGAAACATTGTCTCTATTGGCTGTTCCGTAACCATCATCATGGACATTGACTATGTCTAAATCCTCCTCAGGTTCATAATCCTTAAGATCCGGTGACACAGCTGATGCATTAGAAGGATGTGATGGAGGCTCCAGAGTCTTCTCTTCCTTAGGTTCTGCACCTAGCCAGAGAGAAAATGAGTTAGCCATGCCATATCCAAGAAAAAATTATGCATGGAATTGCTAGACAAATATGATAATATCAGGTTTAGTTGAAACTGAAAAAAGCAACAAAAAAAAAAAAAAGCTGACTATCCCATGTATAGTTTTGGGTCAGTTTAGATTGACACAATTTGTGTGGACAGCTAATGCAAACTCAACCTCATTTATTACAGATGGAAGTGGGTATAGTTAATTCATTTTTCTTCAAAAGATCACTGTTGATTCAGGTAAAGTTAATGTGGGTTCCAGTAGAAAATACACAACCTGAAATCAAAGAGTCGCAACTTGTTTACTAATCAGGCATGATAGGATGAAAACTTGGACAATGGTCAGACTTGCAAGGTCAAGTTGGATGCTTCCCAAGTTTAACGATGCACATATGACATTTAAAGCAAACTGCAGCCTAATTGCAGTTATTTTTAGACCTTTAGACTATGTTTGGTATAAAGGAATTCCACAAATTTCAAGATTTCATGTTTTGTGCAAATGAAAATATTTATTTAACTCCTAAAAACTAAAATTTACTGGCTTCAACATAACAAACCAAATCAATAAATTCTATACTTTATACGAAACACAGGGTTACTGCACTTATAACTGCTCAGCCATCAACATTCTATTTAAGGAAAAATGGAAAATTCCAAATTGGCCATCAATTTTTTAAAATGAAATCCTGAATTTCATTTTCCTATCTTATATCATTAGCAGAGGAAGAATAGCTTTCTCATTAGTGAGGCACTGGTTTAAATCTAGTATATCTTGAGACCAAAAGTAGATGTGTCAATGCAAATGCGCTATTCATGTTCTATTCAATCATTTTAGCGTGTGCATATGTGCATGTGCATCAGAGTATAAATTGTCCAGGCCTTAATGCATCGAAGCCATGACAGCCATGTCTTAGGTGTAAACAGGTATATACCGTAATCGATGCACATCTTTTATCGAAATTGCATATATTAACTTCTTTAGTAGTTATTTACTTAAAAGATTCCATACCTAAGCTCTCTGAGTCACCAATGCCAACCTGTTCAACATGAGCCTGCAGAATTTAATGGGAAACAACATATATTTAGACAGTGAAGTAGCTATCTCAAAAGGGCTTTGTTCATGATAACATGCATTCTAATATCCCCCAAACAAAACATGTTTTATCAGCCACAGATTAAAAGACAACTTGGGTATATAAGATCAGCTCCAGAAGTTCCAATAAAAAATAAGCAGAGTAGATGCAAAATCAGCAGTTTATGGACTGACATTGAGAAAGTAAGAACGCAAAGAGTAACCTATTAACAGGAAGTTCCATACACCTTCTTTCAGCTAGGCATTCATTTTAAACCAAATAAATAGAGCAGATGATATGTGATATGTGGATTGCTTACCACTCTATTAGAATAAACTAGGAATTTATAGTAGCTGTTTTGTGCTGCATGGCCATGGTAGGACTACCACACATGAACATTATTCAATGATTGGGCAGCTAAACATAGAATCTAAATAAGTGATAGGATAAGACACATAGTGCAATTATAACCAAGACACAAACTAGTGCTGACATAATTAAGCCACAGACTTATGAAAACCAGCCTAATTCTGGAAGTTCTGAACTTTCAGAGAGGAAGAAGAGGGGGAGTTGGGAGAAGTCGAAATTTCAACATAATATGAAAGTTTTCAAGATAATAACAGCTTGGATTTCTGTGCCCAACATCTCTCCCTCTATATTAGTATTCTTGGAAGCAATACAAGGGAAAGAAGTGCAAAATCAAAGTAAACTCACTTGCATTTGATAAGCTATCCCTTTGTTCAAAGACTGTTGATTTGTTGCTTTAGTAACTGGTGGAGAATGTGTTTCAACTGCTGGTGCAGCCAATGTAGCCGACCCCACAGCAGCTGCATTCTCACCTGGTAGCCGAACATGCCTTAACCTCTTTACTGCACGATGCAAACGCTCCAAGCGAAATGTCTCTCCATCAAGGAAGAAAACAGCATCATTTTCCTTGTAATCCTCACTTACACCCTCAAATGTTACTTTGGGCTTTCCATATTGGTTGTTGTGATACTCGACAGTAACCTTTTTATTTTTTCCCTTGTGGAGAGATCCTGGTTGACTCTTATCAATTGAAGCTGGTTTAAATTCATCTATGGGGAACAATATCACAAACAAAAGTGAAAAAACAAAAATCTAAATTATTCTCCTACACAAGTTCATTAAAAAAAAGTGTTTTGTTTAGAAAGATGACCAAAAAACGTGTATTACCTACTGCTGCTGGTGATGAAACAACCAAAGCTATACAAAAGAGAATATATACAAACGATAGCAGCAAAAAAGACCATGGCCAGTCCAAATTCATCCATGTACTTGCAAACATTAGAAGGTAAACAAAAAGCAGCACCTAACAGTCTATTAACACCACTTTTCAGATACAAAAACTCGTATTTTTCTCAATCTGAGCCTTTAAAGTACCGTTGCACAGTTCATGAGTGCACCTAATTTTTCTAAAAAGCAAAAAGAAATAGAATAGCCCACAGAATTTGTAAATGAGCTTTTGAAGTTTAAGAGTACTTACAACGCAAAGTGCAGAACTTGGAAGAGGGATGGCTACGGTGGTCTTTAAAGGAAGGGCCTAAGGTTATGTTGTACCAGCGATCTGGCTCTGGAGCTGTATTTGGCTCCTCGCTGTTGCTGTTGTTGTTTCTAGCCATTTTTCTAGCTGAATTAATGTTGATATGATCATGTGAGAGAAAATTGAAAACACAGAGTTCTAGGTTTTTGGCGGTCGCTTGCAGAGCAGATTGGGGGAAATTGCTTTGATGAGGGTAGATTGGTCTTTTTAAGTTATTAGTCTTCAAATTCTTTGACTAGCATGGGCCGGAGTGGTGCATGTGTCCAATCCAATGTTTTGATTGTTTGCTGGCTTATTGATAATTTATTTATAATAATTTCCATACAAAAAGATGAAAATTTTAATTAACATGTAAATTGAAATATAAAATCATGTGCAAATATTATCAAGTGATTTAATTAAATTCATGCAAAAAAAAGTGATTTAATTAAATTTTAATTAATTTCATTCAATATGTTCTAAATCTGTTCTGAATAAAATTTTACATATTTACTTAAATATTGATATTTTAAAAAATAAAGAAATAAATAAAATATTACATGTATAACTCGTTAAGACATAAGTAATATATTTTTCTTAAATCATAAAAGTAATATAATTTAGAGTAAATGTTAAATATCACAAAATAAAAAATTTTTATCAATTAATTTTAGGTACGGTTCATGAGAAACTGAACTGCGAGTTGAATAATTCAGTTTAATTCAATTTTATATTGATTCACTTTGATTTTAATAGAAAGAAATTAAATATATTTATTCAGTTTAGTTTATTAATCTTAGAAACTAAAAATGAATTTGCTCACAAAAAATTAAAATTAAATTACAGTGTAGGGCTGAGCATTCGGTCAATTCAGTTGATTTGAGTAAAATTTTTAACCGAAATAAATTAACCGAAATTTTTTTGAACTTAACCGAATTAATTTTTTAATCTACCCATTTTAACCGAATTAATTTTGATCATTAACCGAACCGAAGTTAAAGAACATGAAAGCTTAATTAACCAATCAAATTTAACCGAAATTTATAATTAATCGATTTTCACCGGAATAAAAGTTAATCAAAGTTGGTAACCACTACTTAATCAAAATAAAAACTTAAATATTTTTAATTTTTAATTTTAGTATCTACTTAATCAAAACGACATAGTTTAGAAAGTCGGTCAATTTGATTAATTCGGTTAAATTAACTTTTAACTGATCACATAAATTTTAATTTTCTTTAACTGAATTTTTAACCAAACATTATTCACCGAATCGAATTAACCGAATTAATCGAATTGATCAAAACGAATGCTCACTCTATCAAAGTGCACACACTAATTTAATTCAATTAAATTCATATTTTAGAAAAAAAGGCCCATCTTTGATTTATATTTTAAAAATTTTAGTCTATTTAATTTGTATTAGTGCTGAAAGTCTGAAACAATGAGAATCCCTCACATAAGAAACTAAAAAAAGAAAAAAAGAAAAAAGAAAAAATCAGTTTAAGTTAAATACAGGCGTAAGTTGGAAAATAGTTCCCAGGTGCGTGATACGCTCTCACATTGTTCGTTACTGACGGTTAGCATCTTTAACCACCGTTTTTTCGAACCCTGAAAAATCGAAGCCTCTACTTTTCCCCATAGTGCAAGGAGGGGGACATGGCCTTCACCATTCCCAACTATAGACTCACTTGCTTTTCTACCTTTAATCAAAACGCATCGTATTATGTCCAATTCCACTGCCGGAGACCGACGGCGACACCGCGCATAGAATCACCGAGATTGCCAGTAATTCGGTGCTCAAGTATAAACCCTAACGGCAACGAAACTCTGAGAACGTGCAAGAACTGCAAAACCCAATTCGACCCTTCTCTCAATCATCCTCGCGCCTGTCGCTTCCATACTGCCCATTTTGGAGGTAACTTTCACCCATTTAACTGTATTTATAAGATTAAGTGGTTGAACTCTGCTGTTTGAATATAGATGGGTGGTATTTGAATTCAAAGTCATTTTGATTTAGGAGTTCTTACTTCAAACACAAAATCCAAATTGACATGTAGCTTCTTTTTTTTGGTAAGCTAGGGGTTATAAATGCAACCTGAATTGATTATATTTTGATAATCTTTTTAACAAGAGCAGTCATACTGATTTTAGTGAATCTTGTTGCCATCGTCATTCTGCTTCTGTTATTAAAAAAAAAAAAAAAAAAAAAAAAAAAAAAAAAAAAGGTATGCAAGATATGAGCTTTTCACAGATTTTGCCAGTTGTGGCTAGTTATGTTCTGATCAACAAACAGAGACATTTGAGTTTTGATGCCTTCATATAACTGTAGTTTTTATAATGACGGATGGCTGGAAAGGTAATTTTGATTAATGTGAATTCAGCGACTACTTGAATAAATATTGAATACAGATTGCAATTTGCTTGGTCGGGTAGTACCCTTGATTGGAAATTCTATCAAGTTGGGTTTTTGGTTCTTTTGTTTCAAGATGAGATGTTATGTCAGTCTGGGTGGGGGTTTAGGAAGGTAGCAATATCACACATGACTTGATCACTAACAACGGATGGTAATTAGGAATAGTCTCTGTAGAGTAGCCATTTGAAGAATAGTATACAAATTGGATTCCATAATATTGAGGATAATGGAAAGTGGAAACTAAGAAGGTGCAGGCCAGCATGAATTAACCATTTGACTTACTGCAAGTTTATGGGGCTCCTCATCTTTGTTATTGCCCTGCCTTGTTTTAATGCATATAGCATGATGTTATTGATGTTTTGACCTCTATTGTAGACCATCAAATGCAGCAAGTACAAAAGGTTGAGCATACTTAAATTGTGGGAGCAAGGAAGATGATAGGTAAATATAGGATACAGGGAAAAAAGGATATTCTTAGTGAAATGGAGGAGAATGATACCTCAACTAGATTGCATTGAGATTGACTTGAGTTAATTGAGATTTGTGCTCCATAATTTGAGTATTGGATTTTGACATGGGACAAATTTGTTTCTGGGGTTGTTTCTAGTCTTGCTTCACCTATGGACTATGTTTGTTTAAGTTTTTTCCTTGCTCCAACATTTATTTACATTTTTAGGGGAAACAAAGAGGAAGTTCGAGAGTGTTTACAGTGGAGGCACTATGGATACTCCTGACTCTGGCCAAGTTTTTCAATACTGGCATTGCTGTGGCTCTGAAGATCCTTTTGACCCCGGATGTACTGCTGCTCCTCACTCCTCATACGATGACTAACGTAGTTGACTTTATTCTTTCTGCAACCAATGCACGATTCTGTTTATGGCATAAGATTCTCATTGTTACTATTATTTCTGTTTTCCATATGAAAATGCTCAATTCTATTGGATGTTTACCATAGCCATAGAGATTTCAGTATTGAATTCGTCCTAAATTGCAGCCTATTTGAAAAGTTGTACCAATACATACTTTTTGGCATATGTTTTCATTTTTTCATTTGTTCAATGGCTCGAATAAGCGGCATGATCTTTCAAGTCATGCTACTGAATATAACATAATCAGATTATCTAAAAAAATTTCCATCTCTCTCCTTTCTCACGTACATGACTGACCTGTTGCTTGTTATTCTCTAATGGACAAAACTCATTACTGATATATCAGGTCCAACAACTGCAAATGCTATTTGAGAATTTAGAAATACTGTATTGACTGACTATAAGTTAGAAATACTGTCCTCAAAACATCTGCACATTGTATTTGTTGATTGAAATAATTAATTTTATGATAAATTTGTTTTAGAAATAAAAATTTCAAAATAATTAAATAACAATTTAACAATGTCAAACGATTAGAGATTATTTAAAATTTGTTTTCAAGATGAATTTCACATATAAAACAGCTCATCAATCTATTTTTTTTATACCGCCTTTTCTGGACATTATTTAAAATAAATAAATAGTTTCAATCAATAATAATCTGCAAAGAATGAAGTATCCATGGTTGACAAAGACGATTGGGTGTATTATTTTGCGAATTATTCATTATTACGAGGAGTTTTATATTACTTTTATTTATTGAAAGGAAGCATCGACTTAAAAAACTAGCTTATACTTAGGCACAATTATTTAAATTATTGAATTTTAGATTAAATAAACCAGAAACCTAGCTTAAAATAAAGAAAACACTGCACCGTCCTAACTGCTATCCAACCAATGGCATCTTGACACGTTACACTTTGGATCTAATTTAATGTAAATTAACAAAAAGACGCGTAAGAGGACACGTGTCAATAACTCAACAAGGCATCATTTTAAAATCTTTAGATTCATTTCATTCTTTGTGTCTATAAATACCAGAACTAAAACTGCAATTACTATCAAATTCCTTTCTTTGCATTTCCAATTCTTGAATTGAAAAATGGAATCAAATTCCCTTTTCTCCTCAGCGTCTCCCTCACTTTCAATTTCTTCCCCCAGAAAGTTACATTTGCAGAAAATAATGAAAAGGTCGAGCAATAGCATCGCTTTGGCCACTAGAAGAGATGATTACTCCTACGGAGAGATGCTTGTAGATCAAAGCATGATAGTGCTGAGAAAACGCATACATGAAATGAAGATTATAGAGAGAAATTACGAGCCACCAGCAGATTGGATGGATTGGGAGAAGCAATTCTATGGAAGCTATGATGATTTTATATGCAAATTTGTAGGTTTTCTGCAATTGCATTTGATGAATACTAGGCCTTGTTTGGCTCTTGGGTTACTATTTCTCATTTCAATTAGTGTTCCCATATCTACGATCACGATTGCCCTGCAATTCTTCGAGGCAGCTAATGGAGTCATCTCAACCGTTCATTTGGGTTGACTTTAAAGCTTCTTTCTTTTACTGTGTAGAGATTAGATTTTTAATGTCTTTTGTATATAAGGATGGTGAAAGGCTTCTTGTAATATTTTTCTTTTCCTTCGAATTTTAAAGGAGGAGGACATGATTATTTGGTTGTCTTCCTTTAACGAGATTCAACACTTAAAAATTTGTTATTTGTTGCTTATAAAGCAGAGCAAGTGCAGGCTCAATAATTTTCCCTTTGAGCTTGAAGAAATGCCATTAGCTTTTTGAAAATAAAATTTACATATTTGAAATAAAAACTAAGTAGTTTAAATTATATAATTAATAATAAAAAAAAACCTGAAATTGAGATGTTTCACTATTAATTAATGTGGGATTTCATTGCTTTTTTAAGGTAGTCTGTAATATTCTGACTAGAGTCAGAACACTCATCTACTAATTATACTGATGTAATATTTAGTATAGTAGTTTTAGAGGTTAGAAATAAAATGAATACGGAAATAAATATTTAAATTCAAAAACATTTAGTTTAAATTTATATTTTTTTAATATTTGCATAAAATTTAATGATAAACCTAAAAAGTATATGTTATTTTAAAAAAAATTCAAGTATATTCAAATCTTAAAAATTCAGGTCAGATTTCTTATCAACCAAACAAGAAAATTGAACTTTTTTTTTTTTTTTTTTGAAATAGCATTTCATTTCTAATTCTTATTTGTCATGATCGAGAAGTTGGCCTGCAATGAAGGCTAACGTTAAGAGGAAATTAAAAAAAAAAGATAAAATATATAAAAATAATTAGAAGGGTACACACATCACATGATTCTTCTAATCATGACTTATAATACTTACGTTATACTTTTCAATGATTGAAATTAATTGTTATTTTGTTAAAAAGCTCTTTAAAATAATCCCTCCCGAAAAATAATATCATCCCGTTAATTTATTAGACTTGTAATATATTAAATCAGCCAAAAAGATTAACCAAGTTGATGTTATAATTGGAGAAAAAAAAAATTTAAGGATGTCATTCAATACATATAAAAGAAAATTGTCAAGTCAAGTGTAATTGGATTATTATTTTTACTTTTTATAGAAAATGTGACAGTGAAAGGTTTCAAATTTAAAACATTTCTGTTATAAAAATTATTTAAATTAATGAAAATAGTAATTTTTTAAAATTATTTATATTTTATTTTTTTATTAAAAAATTATTCATATTTTATAAATGCAACTTGCCAAAAACAGTTAAAAGGTGCACTAACCGATTTGGCAACTAGCTGTAGCTACCTAGCTGGCAGGTAATTGGGACCCATATAGTTTCTAAAACGACAACCAGTGAATCCACTAATTTTAGTTTAATTGCCAAATCAACTTTTAAATAATCGTATTTAGTCCTCCTTCAATGTATCCTTTGAAAAGTTTTCATCGTCATTTCTTCCATTCACCCTTCTTTTTCTTCTTAATTATATTGTCTTTGTCTCTTTCTCTAAGCCTAAAACCTACCCTTTCACTTGAAATTAAAAATTACACACGGAATTCCCCATCTCATTAACACGGTTTTACACTAATTAATCATTTATAATTAATTAATTAGGTTTCTCAATGTATTTTTTCTTTCTTTGGTATTGTATAAAAATATATGTTTCCCCTTCATTTTATCTATGCTTAATAACACTTTTACACTAGTCTTATCACTTAATCTCTCTCTAATTCTCTCATTCCATCAATGGAAGTTACTAAATTTCCATATTCTAACACTCTTCCTCTCAAATATTTTTCATGCCAATATAATAACAAACAACTAGTTTGTATTACAATCAGAGCAAAAAGAGAATCAAGTGGACGAGATTATGGAGGTAAGCTTGTTGATGAAGACATGATCACTCTTCGAATGCGGATTCGAAATTTGAAGACTAGACATGATAATTATCAAGAAGGATTGCTCTCCTCAGATTGGATGGAATGGAAGAAAAAGTATTTCTTGGACTACAATGAAAGTTTACAAAGTTGTGGGGTTATTGCAGAATTATTTGATAAATACTATATGAAACCATTTTACTTAATAAATGATATCCAACATAAATATTCATCTCTTAAACATATATTTGCTCCCGTTAAAAAAAAAAAAAAATCATTCCCAATCTGCTTATAATAATTTATGTATAATAAAAAAATACTAGTAATGTATTTTTTTATATATATTTTTTTATTTCGGATGCACTTTGAACAGGTGTTAAATATGGATCCATTCCGTCCCCAATAATATAATATTTAATTCAAATGAATAATAAAATACTTAAAAAAAATTATTTCGGACAGTTCAGGTCCAGTCGGGTTTCATATCGGGTAATAGCACTCGGTTAATCATTATTATGCAGTCAAAATAATTAGAAGTCTTTAAATTTTAACGGAGTTATAACACTCAATTAACCATTTAGACTGCTACAAATTGTTGTAAATTATATATGCCAAAACGGCAAAGCTGGCTAGTGAAAAGCAATAAACGAATAAAAAATTCAAACTTATATTGAGAGTGGGTCTGTACGTGTACGCAAATCACCATCACCATCACCATCTAATCTTAAAAACTTAATTCCTTCTTCACCGTCCATTCCCTTCATTAACTTTTGTATTATCTACGCATTCTATTGAATAGTTGTACCTGCAACTTCCAAGAACTTTTTTCTATATTCCATTCCTTTGGACTTATCTCGCCTATTTAGAATCTTTTTTCTTCTTCCATTTCGTTTCTTTCAAATGATTAGTAATATATATATAAACTAATCATTAACGAATACAATTATTTTCATCTGTATTTTTTTATTTTTAAGATATATTTATTATTTTTTTAGTTTAATATATTACATAAATAAATAAATAAACACCAATTCTATATGAAAAAGCTAACTGATGAGGAGTTTTTTCAGCTGATTAAAATTCTAACTAAATATATCTAGTCTAACTGATAGGTAGAAGTTGCATGAAACAACAGAATCAAACGCGATTAATTAAGACCCTTGCTGCATTTACATTAATGTCCCTTCCAACCTTCTTCTCACATACATCATTGAAAATACAGAAGTATGACCCACAGATACCGGAAAGAAAAAAAAGGATTGGTGCAAGAAAAAGATACCAGTAAAAGACAAACACATGATACTGTACACGCGTTGTTATGCCACGTGTTATTCTCATCACGGTTCCTGAGGGACCAAGCAAAAATACCTTTCTCACTAAGATTTTTATTATTATATATACTCCATATATAATATAATATAATAATAAAATCATATACTTCCACGTAACCGTCCTCTTGTGTCCCTATAAATTAGTGCTCAAGTAGATTACAAACACAATTATCTCCTTGTTCATATTCTCCACCTTTGCTAGCTACACTACATATAATGGAAGCAATCCAGTTGTTCTCATCATCCTCCACGCCTTTCCGGCAGCAACGGTTGCCATTTCGCCGGAAAACCAACCTCGGACCAGTCATCGTAAAAGCAAGAGGAGAAGCGAATTATGGGCGAGATTATTGGGATATGAGCGTAGATGAGAATATGATAACATTAAGGAAGAGGATTAAAGAAATAAACATGTTAGAGAAGAATGATGAACCGGATTGGATGGAGTGGGAGAAGGAATATTTCATTCACTATAATAACGATGTTTGCGAGGCGATGGGATTGTTGCAGAACTATCTTATGAGTGTTAGGCCAAGTTTGGGTATTGGAACGATGATATTCGTCACCTTTTGTATTTTATTTTTTGCTGGAACGGTGTCGTTTCATGCTTTAGAGATCGCCAGAGGTATTGTATCTCAGTTCCATTCCATATAAATTACGTTCGTATGTATTGGTGTTATTTATTACACTAAGCCACTCTAATTAATTACAAATATGATATATAGAGATCTCAAGTTTTAGGAGAACACGAATCTCTTCTTTCTTCTTTCTTATCTAGAGATCTCAAATTCGAGTTTTTAGATAGGAAGTCTCTTTAGATTTTTGGGAAAGCGCTTTGTTCCTCTTTTGATAAATCTACACAGCAAAAACACGTATTACTCAAACAATTAGAATCGTGAATAAACACAGTCATTCTAACAAGAAAATAATGATTGTGGACACAAGATTTCCAATTTGCACATCTCCAAATGAGATCTCATCCATTTTAGGGTTCTTCAACTGGCTAAAAACATTCATGCACCTCTCCTTTAATTCAGGAGCACCTTAATATTATTAGCCGACAAGAAGCAAAGGTATCATCACTCTCATGATAAGACTTCAATATTATCCAACTCATATTATGAAAATTTCATGTCTAAAAATTACTGAACTCATAAATAATCTACATCGAAAGATGACTAAATGCATATAAACTTTTTGAAGGTCATATACGTAACATCTCTTAAAACGACTGAACTCAAATTAGTCAAGGCTTTGTTTGAGAAGGGTTTTTTTTTTTTTTTTTTTTTTTTGTCTTGAAGAAGGGTTTTTGTTTTTTTTTTTTTTTTTTTTTTTTTTTTTTTTTTTTTTTTATGAAATAAAATATGAGGAAAATTAAAGATTTTTAATTATTTGGAAAAGATGAGAAGATATCAAAGAAATGACGATAATAAACAATTTAAAGATATAAAAAAAGAAAAAATGATGAATGAATTTTAAAAATTACATTATTAATGTGATATATAACATATTTTTATTTCTCTTTTGTTTTTCACACCATCCAAACACATATCGAAAAATAAATTAAGGTAAACTATATTTGGATGATAACTAAATTATCCTAATTAACACTTTCATTCCTTTGCTTCTGAGAAATTATTATGAAGTCCCTAAGTTTTGCTACAAACTGATTATCAAGTTTTTCTATCTAAAAGATGAGCATTATCAGTTGAAAAAATAAGTATACTCCGTTCAAAACGTGAGTTTGACTAATGGTAAATAATTATTTTTTGGACAGAAAGACATTATAGTTAGTTGAAAGCAAAAATTTGGAATGTCATAATAATTAATTTCTCAAAAATAACAGGATAAAAATATTAATTATGATGTAATTTAAAAATATAAATATGATCTTCTCCATAACTAAAAATAAAAAGTAACATCTCATTATTTTTTTCTTCTTAATTTCCTTCCTACTTGCTTTCATTTTTCAAAAGAAATCTAAAAGTAATGATTAAAGGTTTGTTTTTCTTTGTCTTGTATATGTAAATCAAAAGGTCAAAAGTTAATTTCTCATTATGATGCAATGTCCCTTTGTTTTTATTCAACTTTCTCTCTTTGTCTTGTATATGTAGTTTTAATGCGCCCTAATCCAAAAAAATGGGAAAAAAAAGGGTGAAAATTACGTTTCTGCCCATGACTAAAATTTGCTAAAAACGTTTTCTTTTCTTGAGGTGTCATTGATAAGCTTTAACTTGTCGTTATTTCTATTTCCTGTTTGCATTTTGTTTTTCTCATTTTCAGTTCTTTAAAATGTTTTTCATATTTTAGGTTTAATATTTTCAAATCTATCTTTATTGATTGATCTTCGGGTTGTGTTTAGTTGGTTGAATTTTCAAATCTATCTTTATTTGTTCTCTCTAATAAAAAATCTGCGTTTGAAGCTAATTTGATGAGATTCGTTGAAAGGTCACAAAGTTAAATAGTGGTTATTGATCCATCCAACGATGGTTTGATAAAATCAATTAATTATGTATTCTATCAAATTCGTCAAATGTTGTATTGAATTTTTTTTTTTTTTTTTTTTTCAAATGTTGTTATTGAAATTTTTTTTTTTTTTTTTTTTTTTTTTTTTTATAAATGATTAATTTATTTTTGTAAAGAGAGTAACATTGTAATTTGTATTTATTTTCATGTTTCGTTTTTTAAATGAATGAAATATCTCTTTTTTTTTAATTTTTGAAAAGCCATAACGTGGCAAGTAGAATGTTTAATGATTCTTGTCTTTCTTACGCTAGTGCTTTCGTTGAAGTTAAGGCCTACCGATATATTAGGTATTTAGGTGTGACACATTTTCTCAAAATAAATAAATAAATAAATAAATATACTATCTGAAAAATGTATGGCCGCCGTTCAAGATTATCACCACGGTTTCTTTAAAAACATGTTTTTTATAATTTCAAATCAAAATTTTTGATTTTAAATTAAAATTGCTAATTTTGATTTTCAAAAATAAAATACTGAAGCCGAACCTTAAGTTAGAATTTCAATTACAACTTATAATCAAGAACAATTACCTACGATTTAGTGTCGATTTTGACCAGTTCGATTTTAATATACTTTTAGTTTGAAATCAAATTGTGGGCATACGTACAGGACAATCAATTCTCAAGCACGACCTCATTACTTGCAGATTTCTTTTTCCATTTCTCTTGATTGGAGTTTAATTTTCATTTATTGATAGTATTTTCCTATAAATTGAGGATAATTTCCTTTTCTTTATAACGTTTCATATCTTTTTAAGGAAATTATTACGCAACAAAAAAAAAAAAAAAAAAAAAGCAACAAAAAAAAAAAAAAAAAAAAAAAAAAAAAAAAAAAAAAAAAAGGGTTACATAACCGCTTTATCTTCCTTTTCTGTTAGTAACGTTCGCATTTTGTTTAGCTGAAAACCAAAACTAGTTTCCTTTAGTCGTACATATCAACATTAAAAAAAAAAAAAAGTTATCTAAGACAATTCTGTTTAATAGTTAGTGTCTACTAAGGAGTAGTATTTTATTTCTCTAATTTTGAGAATAATTTTCTTTATATTCCACGTTTTTTTTTTCGGTTCGCATATATATTTTCATGCTCGAGTCAGAAATAGTATTTAGATAAAATTCGTCCAATTGTGTCGATCCAAATTTTGCATATATGATGTTATAAATAAAGTTCACCTATAAATGTAATTATTTTTGTTGATCTGACTTTAAGTATTATCTCATCCGTATCATCGAAACAAGACATCAACTTACATTTATAAATTTTATTTTTGATGTAAATTGGAATTGAAATAAACTATACAATTGTGAAAATTTTTCTCCTTATACCTCATTCAGTATTTAAACTTATCTTAAGGCTTCATTAGTAGAAAACCCAACTCTCTTTTTCCTCTTCTTTTCCCTTGTTGTAAACTAGACGCATGGCCTATGAATACGATCCTTCAAAATGAAGACTTCACGTTAAAGCACAAAGTAGAGTTGCCTATAAGAAACTACATTGCTTCTCTTCAGCAACTTGGTCTCAATAAGGCTAAGCCACACGGCACTTCAAACTGTTGCTACGCGTTCGTCTTCCATTGTTAACTAATTAAATACCCCATTTCTTTCCCTTTCTTTGCAATTAACCACACATAACAGTACACGTCTTTCATCAATGGAAGCAACAAAGTTTCTCTCCTCCCCGCTGTTCCTCCGGCAGCCAATTTTTCGCCACCGAAGAAGCGCAGCCATGGCATTTAATAAAAAAGAAAACGGTGGTAGTGCTGTGGATGAGAATATGATTTTACTTAGAGTGCGTATTAGAGAGATGAAGATAACAGAGGAATCTGATAATCCACCTTCTCATTGGATGGAGTGGGAAAAGCAATATTATGCATATAGTAACTACTACAATGATGTTTACGAAGCAGTAGGGCTTTTGCAAAACTTTCTGATGAATATAAGACCAAGTCTTGCTTTTGGGATTCTTGCAGTAGTTTTAATTAGCATGTTTATCTCTACTGGAGTGGTTTTGTTTCAGTTTACAGAGATCACCACGAGAATTTTAATATGGGCTTTATCTTAATTACTTGATGTTCCCTTGTAAAAGGTATATAAATTTTTTTTTTTTTACTTCACATATGAAAACTTAAAAAGAATAATCATGACATTAAAATTGTCTGTTAAACTTCGATTTGATATTGTTTGTTCATTTTCAGTTAGCGGGTCACCAATTTCTGCAGAAGCTTTGGCTTGGCATGAAACCCTGTATGGCTTTATCAAGAAGGATTTTTTTTTTTTTTTTTTTTTTTTTTTTTTTTTTTTAATCTTTTTTTTTTTTTTTTTTTTTTTAATCTTGTAGATATTGAAGTGGATTCTAAGCATGTCTTCTTGAAGTTAGTCGAAATGAAATGGGTCAGATAATAATCTTTGATTGTTCATCTCTTTGCGCCAAGATTTGGATTTTAAAATGTACTGGGTTTCGTGGACAAACAAATATGTTAACTCACTCCCTTGCTCGAGTTGCCATTCCTTATCTGTTGAACATTCTTCACTGGATGTCACTGTATTTGGTCTTTTCACTTTACATTTCGGATCCAAGGTTTTGCACCATAGTCTTTTAGATACAATTTCTAAGTTTTCCAACCCTAGGTTTAATTTCTTTATTTATTTTTGGTAAAATCAGAGCATAAAAGTTTTTGCACTTCAACAAATCTGTTTTGAGTAATTTAACTTGGAATGGATTTGCCTAGACCGAGTTCATGATCTCACCCATAGAACAAATCAATAAAAATATAAATTTTTGTTAAAATATGAACATTCTAACCATACACTAAAAAAAAAAGATAAATAGAAATATTATTTTTAATTATTATTTTTATTGATTTAATCTATAGATGAGACTATGGATCCCGTTTAAATAAGTATTTTCTATCAAACTTATATTCACATCTTACATGGATTAAGATCCCTTATTACATCAATTAACACAGTTAGATTTTACGGTTTTAGTTAATAATAAAATGTTATTTAAAAAAAAAAAACGTAACTTTAAAGATAAGATTTGTCTTTAATTTTTAAATCCATTATGCATTAAAATTAACTTAAAATTATTCAAAAAAAAAAATCAGTATGCATTAATTAAGCCAATAACCAAATTGCTCAGGAAAGAATTATATATTTCTCTTCCTTCATGCCCATTAAAAATAATTTCATAACAGTAAAAAATATATATATAAAAAAATTATGCATATATAAGTATTAATTATTTAGAGAACTGATAAAAATTAATTCAACTAAAATTCAGTTATGCAAGAAAAAAAATCCAAATTCATTATGCATTGATTAATTAATTCAATCATAAAACTGCACGGAAAAGAATTACATATTACTTCATTTTCTTCTTTCCTTCTTGCCCGTGAAAAATATTCCATAAAAAGAAAAGAAAATAATAAATCAATAAAAAATAATCACAATAAAAAATATCAAAATTAATAAGTTAATTGATAAAAGGTAATAATAATTTGAGAGTAGGTACAACGCAATCCAGGTCAAACAAAAAAAAATTAAAAAAAAATTTACAGATTAATTGTCTATCATAAACAAATTACATATCAATTAGGAGAACATATATATTATTGGTTCCTCTATGGTTTATTTAGCTTATTGTTGTTGTTGCAATATACAACACCAACTGCTATTTTGCCAATCAGTTGATGAAAGCCTTTAAAAACTATGTTACATAGTTTGATCTTAACTAAAAAAAATAAAAATTTTATACCATGTTAATTTGTATGTTGTTGTTTGATTACCGTGTAATAACTAGATAAATCAATTTTTGATGACCATAATAATATTTAATAAATAATTTAGAATTCATTAATGCAATTTACTTAACTCAAGTTAAATTGTAGGTATAATTTATTATAATACTTAAAAAATGAAAATAAATTGAATTTTAAAAATTTCAGCAAAAATTATAAATCTTTATATATATTCAAGTATCTCAAATATAAAGATTATTTAATTAATTAAATGATTTAATTGTACTCCAATATCTCAAATTTTTATATTCAGAATTATTATTGTAGGCAACTAGTAAGTCATTTTATATTTCAATAAATAATTTCAGATATGTGATGAGTAAAATGAGTTTAGTGTGAATATATGAAAATTTCAGTTAAAATATGAAACTTGTGATTTTGGTTACTCTCAAACATACAAGTATCATAAGAATGTTTTTAAAAAGAAAAAGAAATTAATAGCTCCAACATAAAAATAAAAATATGACCTACGAGCTGTGACTCAGTTGAAACGCAGGTTGAATATATAGGAAGAGTTTTCGGGTTCAATCTCCACTAAACCTACTGAAGGGTGAGGTCCTGGTAATGGAGTCTGGATACCGGTTGTTTATAAAAAATAAAATAAAATTGTGAGAGAAACACAATAAAAATGTGTAAAAATCTAAAAGTTAAAAAGATGTGATCCAAATTAATGTAATAAAATATAATAAAAAGCATTTTTTTTCCAAACCAAAAGCATTTTTAGTATAATTAAAAATTAAAAGAATAAATAGGAACACATTACATACTTTTTATGAGATTCAAAAGGGGCATGTTTTTTAGAGTAGTAAACACTATGCAATTAATTATCTAATACAAGAATTCAGAAAATAATTTAAATCATTTCCGTGTTCTTTAGAGTTTTTGATTCTACAAAAAGAAAAGAAAAAGGACTTGTTTTGTTACCTTGTTTTGGTCTATACTCTTCTTGGTCATGATAGGCCCAGAACTTATAGTGGCCATAGAGCCCAATAGTAATGGACTTAGAGTTCATATATAGTGAAGTAATGATAGCAAGGATAGACCAATCAACTCCTCGTTTGTTTTTAAAATTGTGGATAATGGATTAATCTGATGCCATTGATAATGGATTCATTATTTTAGCATTTTGATCATAGTAAAATATTATTTTTTTTTAGTTATAATGTTCGATAAAATAATATATATAATAATTTTTACAGATTAAAAAAATATTTTTATTAAAATGTTATTCCATTTGATATTTCGCGTTTCACGATCATTTTATTTTATTTTTTTGGTTGAAGGAACAGAACAAATCTCTTAAAGAGAAACAAAGGAATTACATGCAGCATCTAGTGTGAGCAGCACCACTCATATCACATGAAAGTCATAAACTAGTATTTGAAGGAGGAGAAGCTAATCTGTGGGTACCAATGGGGCATGAACTTGCCAAGGTAGCCAGAGAATCTGCAGCAAAGCTGGCCTCACCATATACGTGCTTCAAGCTGCAGGACCAATCCCGTGAGAGCATTTCTTTGACATATACAATGAGAGGCCTCATGCTATTAACTTGGAGATCGGGTCTAAGACTAAACAGACAATAAAGGCATTGTCACATTCTATTACAATAAAATTTAATGAATAATTTAGAATTCATTAATGCAATTTACTTAGGTCAATTTAAATCGTAAGTATAATTTATTATAATCCTTAAATGATGAAAGCAAATAGAATTTAAAAAATTTCAAACAAAAATGAAAAGATTTTATATGCAAATATCTTAAAGATAAAGATATTTTTAATTAGTCAAATGATTAGGCAGAAGATTTAATTTTACTCCAATATCTCAAATCTTTATACTCATAATTATTGTTATTGGTAACTATTAATTCATTTTGTGCTTCAATCAGTAATTTCAAATATGTAACTGAATAAAATTTATTTCGCATGAATACATAAAACATTCAGTTACAATACAAAATTTGTGATTTTTTTTATTATAAATCTACAAACTTTTGTCAAAAAAATTTTGTTAAAAGGAAAAGAAATTAACAGCTACAACATAAAAACAAAATTGTGATAAAAAAACATCATACAAATGTCTATAATTAAGAAGTCGTACTCAAACATAATATAATAAAATGTTATTCAAAAATATTTTTAGGAACACATCATACAATTTTTTTATGAGATTCAAAGGAAGTTGTATATAATGAGATTCAAAGGAAGTTGTAATATATATATATATATATTATAAATATATATATATATATATATTATATTTTTTTTTTTTTTTGAAATTTTCGTATAGCTCTCATACAATAAGTAGTTCGATAACTATTCAACTAAAAAATGACAGTGTACGAGTAATTATATGTGATTTGAATGGTCCTTTTGACATGAAGAAGTCAGAAGTTTTCGAGTTTGTGTTCTCTTCACTATATAAATTATATCATTTAATGAATGTTATTCAAAAGAGGGAGACTACCTCTGCTGTATAGCGCCACAATTTTATTTTCGATCTATTGATCTATATATCTATTTATAAACACACACGGTCAATGAGTCTCTATATAATAATATATATATATATATATAAAAGTAATAATATCAGTAGTAGTGTATATATATATATATATATATATATAAAAAGTAATAATATAGTAGTAGTGTACTATCTACTTATAATACAAGAGATAAGCATTTAACATGTTATTTGCTCATTTAGTACCTGGCTTAGAGCTCATATATGATGAAGTGATGAGTTCAGCTTTCATCCAACCCATCAAAAAACAAAGAAATCCAGAAAAATAATGACCTACTTGAAGACGTTGAGAGGCCTTTTATTACGGTAATTGAAATTAAAAGAAGTAAAAACATAGTCCGTATAGCTCATCTTCATGAGTCTATGTACTTCATCTCCTGATTAGAGAGGTCTTCCATTCTGATAACCGGAAGAAACAAGTAAAAACTAAAAAATTTGACACTGAGGTTTTAGGATTTTCAGTTGTTTGATAAACTTTGTTATGTTTGAATAGTTAAGATTTTGCAAATATTTTCTTGAATTTTCATGCGCAATCTCAATCAAAATAGCCCATGTATGAGTAAATTAATAATATAATAGTATAATTTCTACTTATAATACAATACATAAGAGATCTAAATCATTTAAATAACTCCGAGGTTTTTTAAAAAATTTTAATGTCAAAAAAAGAAAAGAAAAAGGACTGAGATGGACATTCGATTTGTATATTTTTATCAATTGAATATTTACCCTTAGCAGTAAATCAAGATAACATCTGAAAATTTTCACTACATAGAGAAACAAACACTTCAATACAATTTGGTCAAGAAGACCACAAAAAAGGGGATTAAAACCTCTATCTGTTGCATAAAATGCATCCTTGGTACAACCCTTACAACTTTTGGATAAGGTTACAGTGCATGCAGTAGTCTCTGAAGCAGTTGAGAGTGCATGCAATATACTTCCTTTCATGTTCGAAATCAACCGGATTTTGATGAGTCACTTGGAAGTTGTACTTTTAATACCTTCCTAAAGAAATCAGACAACTTTGCACAGGCTGCACGGCCTCGATCTAGACATTTGAGGTATTCTTCCACTGTAACAAATTTAAATATGAACAGTATTAGAATCAGTTCAGGCGTTAAAAACATTGAACCCTAGGCAGCCATAAAAAATCTCAGCTTGGGAAGTCTAACTATTAATAAAAAAGCTTGTATCCCCAAATAATTTATTATTGTGTTCAACTTAAAACATTTAAAATCTTAGGTAATGGGATCAGATTGTCTCCTAGTAAAGGGAGATCTAATGCACGAACCGCGAAGCATCCCACATGTGTAGCCTTTTGGGAGGATTGATGTATGCAGCCTTCTCCCTACTATTTTGCAAAGAGACTGTTTCCATTGCTCGAAACCATAACCTCCAAGTAATAAGTGAAGTAACTTTATTATTACACTTAAGCCATCCTCCATCAAAGGGTATCCTAATGATAAAAAAATTCTATAAACAAACAACAACATTCAATTTATGTTTGTTAACATTAAAGTTATGATTTCATTTCACTCTGAGGCCATAAGAAGAATAGAAGAGTTGATAAAGAAATTAGATTTTATAAGTTTCTATCTACCTCATTTGGACAAAAAAGAAGAGAGATCAGGCTTGCAGAACTTCCACTAGACATGATCAGTAGGTACATTAATGTAATCTTAATTATTAAAAGAAATCCAAATAAATGCTCTTTTAGACCGCTCAGAGAAAGCAATTACTTCCCATCCAGTGTTTTGCTTAGAACTCAGATCTTTTACGTGAATTTGATCAATTCAGGCATAAAGATAGGAATTGCCTTTGATGTCACTTTGTGTTTCTTTGTGTGTTTTTCAATTTTCAATGAAGCTTTCAGTTGAAATGTAACGTGAGATCTCTAAAACAACATCACATAATTAAGGTAGCATTTACCTGACATCACACCATGGGTGACAGAGGTGAGGATCCCATGTTCAATAGGTTCACCTTCCACCAACGCTGACCCTTGTGGCAGAACAGACTGAATTGAGTTTGGAAAGACTAAATATGCAAATCCCTTCATTTTCTGCCAAGATATAAAATAATCATGCAGAAATAAGAATATTTCAAGTATTAAAAAAAAAGCACCAAACTGGTCCTAAATACAAAACCAATAAGAATGGGTGTGTTATTATAAACTTAAAAATTTTAAATTTATAAAGAAAAAAGAATTTTCTTTTAGGACAGTCTCCATCACAGCCAGTCAAATTCTCATCATAATTTCAATTAAAATAGTGAAGGCAATGTAAATTATGAGATCATATTGTAAAACCTGTTCTTCCAACTTGGTTGGATCCAGTATAACGTACCCACCTTCTGCCAAACAACAACAGATTGCAACTGCACAAACCAGTAAGGGATTAGTCTCACATCATCAAACAAACAAATGAAGGTGATGAAGACTGTAAGTCTCAGTTACCAGCTAGATGCCTCAAAGGAATTCCAGCATCTACAAGGGCAGCGCATGCTGCATTTATGGCACATGTCAGAAGCTAAAAATTCCAGTCAAGGATATTCTCATAGTATTAAATATTCACAGAAAAAGTAGATATAAAAGAATGAGGAGAGAGCCCACTGGTCATCGTAGCAAAATCCGTGCACCATGGTCAAGCAAATTTGTATAATGTTTTTTCATAGGCTAAAAAGGAACGCTATCAGGACTAAGTCTTTATGAAACAAAAATCTTTTGTGGCAAATTGAAATCATTATGAGAGTTTCGAGAGGATAAAACAGAAGCGAAGGAAGGGTATGGATAAAAAATGTAAATGGGAGTTCACTTTGTTTGGAAGATTTAAAAGGAATAGGAAGTTAATAGTGTAAAACTAGTTAAAACCTTAACATTCCACCCTCTAAACCCCGAATTGGAGGTTAGGAAACGTTGGCATTTGGAGATTAATAGATGTAAACATTTAACCTCCATTAGCTCTCATTTATACTAAAAAAAAAAAACACAAAAACAAGGTTAAGATATTAAATATCCTTTTTTTTTAAAAAAAAAAAGGAACGGAAAAAATGAAAGAGAAGAAGAAGAGGGCGGGAAGAACAGTTAATGAGCTTGCTTGCATGTGAGCTGACGACATGCTAGTCTTTCAACAAATAAAGATACACAACCATAAAGGATACAGCACCATCATCATGAACAACCTGCATATAAATGGAAACATTCAATGATCAAGTATGAGACACACTTTTTGGTATTGACTTATCAATAATACACAATATACTCTATAAAGGTTTAGTTAGCATTATCCTTATGCAAAATTATTTAAGCGTAGAAAGAGCTAGAGTCTGTGTTTGTCCAATCAAAAAGTTCTAACACTTGCATAAACAGCCCCTAAGGCTAATGCTCTTTCTTCCTCTTACTTGATTTCAATTAACAGATTACTATGTAACATTGAAAACGAAAAAATCAGGCCTGTCTAGTCTAACCATGTTGAACACCAAAATAAAAATATATGCATACAGGAAGTAAAGAAAAAGACTTTCTTGGAATTCTGATTTCTAAGTGGCACTCAACTTCAAATTCTTTGAAAGTCTAAAGTCCGCTACTAAAGTAATTAACATGGTGACACCTATGCGAATCCATCTCAAATTCCTGGTAAAAAATATTTAACTCATGTAGAAGCTCACTTACCTGAATTATAACTGATGTCGTTGTATTTGGGTTAATAGTCAAAATGCAGATGCCTTGCAGAGTTCTTTTCAGTATCATCTCATATTCCTTTTCCAGTTTTCCTATACAATTGGGAACTTCCATTATTACCAATTATCATGTACTATCACAAATTCTTTGCATTAGAAATTCTATTAAACAGTTAAAACTCACCGATCTGTCCAGTTTTAGGCTTCCAAATAACTTCAATGCATGCCTTCTCAGGGTTCTCATTCTTCTTTGTTCCAGCTTTAGGTCCATAAACAGCAGCTAAAACCTTTGTATCTCCTGAATTCAATAAAATACCCACATAAAAAAAAAAAAAAAAAAAAAAAAAAAAAAAAAAAAAATCCTCAAAATACACAATTGCACATCATCTGAAAAGGATCAAATAGTAGCAAAAACATTAGCCCATCAAAGGAAAACTAGAGAAACTGAAATTTGATAGCTAATCCAAAAAACCAAAAGAAAGTGAAATTACCTTGAGACCAACTAGCTGAGCCATGGGCACGGTGGAGAACGTTGCGGGAGCAAGCGAGAGGTCTCAGCTGGTTTGGTGTACGTCCATCGTCCCTACTGATCTCCACCATTTTGACAAAACCCAAAATTTTTTTTTTTTTATTTTGGAATTGTAGATTTGAATAATTAAGCAAAACCTCGATTCAATGGACGACTAAGAAATTGGGGGCAAAATGTTATCCAATCATGAGCAAAGATTGGTGAAATGAGGGTTTTTCAGGGTTTATTGCGGTGAGGGTTTTAGAAACTTTTTTCTTTGGCTTTTACTACCATCCATACGAAATTGGGATAGCAGCAGGGCGATGCCCACCAGAAATAAACTACCTGAACCCGATTATTAATTTTAAGTACACGAACCCGCCCCGAATCTGTTAAGGAATAAACCAACAGTAACTAAATCCGTCCCAAATCCGTTTAGAATTACCCGCATAATACTCGAACCTGTTTAATCACCAATTCATTCAATCCATGAAACCCGAACCTGCTTAGAACCTGAATCCAAACCCAATAATGGAACAAAATATATATAAAAAATGCATTAAAATTCAACCTGTAATATTCTGAAACAACAGTAATGGTAATATTAAAATAGAACAAAAGAATTAAAATTCAACCTAAATAAATAATACATACAATCAAACCAATATCTCAATTAAATAATTTGACAATAAAAAATCTATTAAATTTAAATAGCAATAATAATAACAATACCAAACCAAAAATCAATTAAAACATAATAAACTATAATAAACTATCATAGAATAATAAGGTGTCGAGATATTGGTATCATTTTTGCTACTATCTTTGCAATCTATACAGACTATACTCTCAAACGTTGACATTATATCCTACAAAATAAATTCTAAGTTTAGTTACAATATATTTAAAATATATAACATTATTAAATAGAAAAGGAAGACCAACAACAATGTAGAACAAAAAGAAATAATCTCATTCTCATAGTCTAAAGTAACTCAGTTTAGACAAAATAACAAATAAATAGTGAAATTATTATACATGAAAAGTATGACTAAAAGAATAGGCAAATAAATTATTATACAGAACATTTTTTCCTAATTTAAAAAATAAAAAGCAACAGTTTACACTAGCAAATTAAACTAGCTACAGCCGAGTTTACATGTTCCTTGCATGAGTTTAAGTCTGGTTCAATACAGAGAATAAACAGGTCAAAACTTGAAAGCAAGAACAAGATGGTTTCTTTGTCCATCTCAGCTTCTCTACACAATATTAATCATTATTAACAAATCAAACTTTGAATTAACAAACCGAACATGTCACATTTCAATCATATAGCCATGAATTGGCTTATATTAACCATCCTTTTGCCTTTTAATGTATAAATTTTCAAGAAATTAATTGGCTTAAACATGCACAAAACCCACAAATAAAAAAAAAAAAAACATATAATTGTCGGCTGAACCCACAAATTAATTCAACAAAAAAAAAAAAAAACATATAAATTGTCGGCTGAACCCACAAATTAATTCAACAATATATTCAAGTAATTCCTCCTCTTTGTCTATGTTTATGTATTTATAAAGAAAACAAAAAGGGACGAAGGAGAACGAAAAATGAATGAAAACGAAATAAAAAAAAATCAAGAATTGGGGGGAGGGAAATGGAGGAACCTTGGGCATGGTAAAACATGCACAAAACCCACAAATAAAAAAAAAAAAAACATATAATTGTCGGCTGAACCCACAAATTAATTCAACAATATATTCAATAATTCCTCCTCTTTGTCTATGTTTATGTATTTATAAAGAAAAACAAAAAGGGACGAAGGAGAACGAAAAAATGAATGAAAAACGAAATAAAAAAAATCAAGAATGGAAATGGAGGAACCTGGCACTGGTACTGCGGTTGAAGGGGAGGACTGCTGCGGAGGCGACGGCCACGCACGGAGCGACGGGAAGGTAGAACAATAACACTGTGAATGGGTATAAGAACCGTAGAAGGAGAGAACCAGTGACGCGTAGAACAAGAGGTTGAGTTGAGACTTGAGAGTTGAGAGTTGAGAGTTGAGAGTTGAGAGGATTTTTGTTTTCTTTGTGCAACCCTAAGCTAAAACGACGTAGTTTTTGTGTATTCAATTAAACCACTTCATCAAAACTACGTCATTTTGATGGCAAAATAAGTTATTATTATTGTTATTTTGTCCACCATAATTTTATCCTTTTTCTTTTCCCTCTTCGTTCACGTGGGATATTTTAATTTAAAATTTTAAAATTCATATACCCTCTGAACGTATTCTTTCATTAATATTACTAATATCATGCAAGGGGGTTCCCGAAATTGTAAAGGCAATGGCACTCCAGACCTGTTTATTCTATGCATGTGATGATCTACCTTTCAATGGATTTGTGCTTTCGGATTGTCAAAAACCAGTGCATTTCTCTTTTGATCGGAAGGATATAATTTAGTGGTAATATATAAAATATATAACAAAATAAATTTAACATAATGTACAAAAGTCAGCTGTTGTCTAGACAAATCAAAATATATATTATTCAAAAAAAAAGTGAAAGGAAATGCATTAATAAAAGCAAATAGAATTTCAAAATTTCAACAAAAATGAAAAAATTTTATATTCAAATATCTTAAAGATAAAATGATTTCACTAATTAGATGATTTAATTAATTTCTAACCCTTTAAATCTAGCACTAATTGTTAACCATTAATTGAATTCCTTAAAAAGCTTCAGAACATGATTTGAAGACCTAATTCGATCAGGTTAAACTATTTTTCTCTCTCCTCCTCCTTTTCTGCAGACCTCTCTCTCTCTCTGCTTTTCATTTTAATTTTTCTCTCTTCTCCTCCTCCTTTGCTGCAAATCTCGTTTTCTCTCTTTGGAAATTCATTCTATCAATACTATTTTTCTCTCTTTGCAAAAACATGAATAACCCAGTAGTTCCTTTCAGATTTTTTTAATTATTGGAAAAACAAAAGCTTACGAAATTTTTTATTTTTTTATTCGTTCCTCCTACCTATTTGCAAAAAATGTTTACCCTTTGAAGCTCCATTGAAACCCGAATACATTCTGCATGTGTAAGAATTGCAAAGTCACATATCATTCACTTTCAGAGTATATGCTTTCAGTATACTCCAGGAGCTTAGTTTTTTGTGTTATATTATTCTTTTATGAAATTCTTTCTTTTCCTATTAATTTTCTTTTTAATTTTCAAGTGATGCTTGTATTTTTTAAATGATAATACCTAGAGTTTTCAGTGAAATGGACACAAATAGTTCACTTCTTTTCATGTCCTAAACATACAGTGTTTTTAAAAAACAATATCGCAGATGAAGAAGCAAGCCAGTGGATTTGTGGTGTTGGTGGTCACTCTAATGAATAAAGAAAAATAAAAATCTTTTTGACTCTAATTTTTTACAAGTCAACATTTTTTTTTACACGTCAACGCGCTTGAAATTCAAGCATTTTTGTTCACTTGGATGGGTATTTAACAGTTGTAAATTTACAACTTTAAGAAGTCACGAGGTCATTTTTAAAGTAAAGGAGACCACAAGATTTTTTTGCATAAGTTCGAGGGCAAATGATATACTCGGACTTATTATATTGATGACTTGACCATCATTATAAATAACGGATTCTCCTTATTATTTTTTGTTAGAATTGAAATTAATTTGAAAACTGAAAATTGATAAACTGATAAATTGAAAACTGATACTAAGGATAGATCCATCAATTCAATACTAAGATTTTGCAAATATTTTTCATTACAATAAACCTTTGAATATGATATTTTTAATTATAATTAGTTGAATTAATTTTACGCCAAAATCTCTAGTTTTTATATTCATAATTATTATTTTAGGTAACTATTAAGACATTTTATTGTTCAAGTAAATAATTTCTAACATGAAAACGATTTTAGCATGAATGCATGAATAATGCATATGCAACATAAAATTTGTGGTTTTTGTTCCCATCAAACGTATTATCATAAAAATGTTCTTAAAGGGAAAAAGAAATAAATAGCTCCAAAGTAAAAATAGAGCTATAATGATAAAGACAATCAAAATGTGCAAAAATTTAAAGTCAAAAAGCATCAATCAAATATAATACTCCTTTCGGTCTACTTTAATAGCAACATTTGCACTTTTTGTGATTGAAAATTATTAATTTTTTAAAAATACATTATACAATGTCTAAATTGCCCTTCTTAAATGTAAATATAAAAATAAATTACACTTAATAAATATAGGTATAGTTTGAAAAAAGTAATTAATATAGTTTTAATATCCTAAATGAACACTTAAAGTGTAACAAGGTAAAATGTTTATTTTATAGTGTAATTAAATAAATAAATTAAACCAGTTACAAAAAATTTTATAGGATTCAGAGGAGCTTGTGTTTTTTCATGCGTGATTTTCATGGATAAGTAAATTAATAATCTAATAGTAGAGTACCTACTTATAATACAAGAGGTAAGAGATTTAAATCATTTAAATAATTTTCATATTCTGTAGAATTTTTAATGTTACAGAAAGAAAAGAATGAGGACTATGATGGACATTTGATTAGTCTAATTAATCATTTTATCGAATTTGCATTTATTGATTTATCGATTGAATATTTATGGTTTAATGATCGGTCTATACATTTACCAAATTAAAAATACATTGAATTACTAATTTACTGATGGAGTTTTATCGTTTATCAAATTGATCGATTTATTATATTTAATTGATTTTTCACAAAAGAAAAATTAAAACGACATCATTTTAAATAGATCGGTAAATCAAAAATTTCAAATTTTTTGAGCACTAACCATCTAACTTTTATCAAAAATTTTGTCCAAATAATTTAAGTAGAAACAAATTCAGTGAAATAATGACCACAAGAGAGGTATGATAATTGATAAGGAGTAATTAAGGACCTACTTCTTCAAGATGTGAGGGCAAAGAGCAAGGCAGCAGCCTCACTTGCTTAGTCGGTTGTTGGGTGGGCAAACACTTGTCATTTTCAAAAATTAGCACCTTATACTCACTTATTGACTGCCATTAGGCAGCAGGAGCCTTCGAGTCCATGGCTAGAGGGATAAGTGGTCAGTACTTCAAGAGCATAATTAGAGATGTCTCTCCGCAACTCACCACCTCCTTCCCCGTCTCCTCCTCCCCTCTGATCGCTTATTAATAGAGGGCTGAGAAAGACATGAAAACGATTTGAGGGAATTAGTCTTGTTCTGGGACATGAAAATATAAGTAAGATACCACACAAAAATAGTCTTGCAGAGTAAAATTGCTACATGCATAGTGCATACCGAATAGCAAGCATCCTCATGTGGCTTCTTGTACTTGTCTCATATATACATGTATGAATGGCCCAATACATAAATTTAACGTTGTATCCTACTTAAAAAATTTTATGATATGTTTAACTTTTATTTTGATCTATTAAACACTTTAACTTACAAAATTATATTTATATCCATTAATATTTTAACTTGCAAAATTGTTTTATTAAACACTTGAACGTGTAAAATGAGATCAATTAGAATACTTACTGGATAATTGAAACATGTAAAAGTTGTTATTCCAAAAATTATATTAACCATATATCAAGTAGATATTTTGCATATAAATACCAAAAATACCAAAAAAAAAAACTATTATTGTTGATATGAAAATGATATAATATTACCAAAATTTAACTTTAGAAGCATAATAGGTATCTCGTAAAGTTTGAGGTGCCACAATATTTTTTTAAAGTACAAGAGTAAATTTACTCATTTCACTAAGTATAAATGAAAATACTTTGCTTAAATTGTGTCTGTATACCCTCCTCATACATACAGTTAATAGTTAGTTGTCATCTAAAAAAAAGTATTACTTTAAAAAAAAATAAACAAAAAAACTCATATTCTTAGTCAATTATTACATTAGTAACTAATATGCCGGATTATCTCGACTCTATGAGAAATGATCAAATTTTTCAATAAAATTCATTAAAATAACTTACTTTTTTTTTTTTCGAATTAAAGATGAGTTTAGCTCATAATATTACTATCAAAAGATAAAACGTCATAAATAAAGGAGGGTGTATCCTTTATTCACAACTAGATATAGCCACCTTAACGATCGTATGAGCAACTTGATTTGCTAGCTTTTTAATAAAAGCATGAGAAATAAACTGAAGCTCTTGAATAAGAGTTTTACAATCATTAATAAGCATAGCAAAATATAAAATAAAAAAAAAAAAAAAATCAAAAGGAGAACTTAAAGCATGAACTATCACTTGACATCCAGTCTCCAATCGAATAGGTTGAAACGATAATGACTTGATCCAAGTTAAGACTTCTCTAGAACATAAAACTTCCCCTACTTGAGGATCATTAATCCCTAGGCTTCTAAGAAGCTTCCCTGCACAACAAACTCCATTACTATCCCTAATTATCATCTCCATTCCGCAATCACTATCTTATAACAAAACAACATCGACATTACATGAATAAGAACCTGAGACAGTAGGTAACCATTTGGTTTGTATTGGTAATACCTGACATGCATGGGGCTGAAAGCTTAATTGGCGAGTGCTTTCCATTACGTTAACATTGATCTTGCACAAGTTAAAACACCATGGGGTTGTTGCGTTGCTGCCATAAAATAGACATTTGATTGAATTTCTTTTTACGTTACAAGCATTTACTTTTCTTGCAGTTAATTAATGCGAAATGACCTACAGATTCATGCATTCTAACAATATCTTATCTCGGGATGAAAGTAGGGTGCATAGTCGCCGATCTTAAACTAATAGTACATGTATCCATTTAGAATTTTATTATCCATTTTGTTTAAATACTATATTTTGAACTCATTTACAACTTTATTACTTGTAACTGTCATAAACGCATTTTAAATACCTAACCTATAGAATATACACAAATTTTAAACTATCAAAATCCGAACTTATTTAAAATATATTTTTTATTAATAATAGATAGGGTAAATGCGGATACTATGACCAAACCCGTTTAATATAACGGATAACTGGTACTCACAAATCTACACCAATACCCTACTCAAATCCATTACATGTAGTAACATCTCATATATAGCTATCCTACCTGCATTAAACAAATCGAAGGGAAGCATGAATACCCCTTTCCACTTTCATTCCTAACTTTATCCTATTTGATTTGATTATCTAAAATTTGGTTAATCTAAAGATACGCTTACGTGGGTTCAACTTCAGAAATAATTAATGGTCATGGATTGAGTATTATATGAGTTTGTTGCTACTCCTTTTTTCTTCCCTTTCACAACCACTTCATAAGTAGCTTCCTCGTCAGGGGCGAAAGCCCTATAAATTTTTCTAATTTTATTTTATGATTCAGTAAAAAAAATTTTTTCTTCATTTTCATCCCCTTAACTTTTGAAATTTCTATTTTGGCCTCCCAAGTTTTATAGTCCAGCTCCGCCCCTGTGCCTCATAAGAGTATTTCGGGTGGGTGGTGGGGGGATGTGATGCCATGTGCATATTAAATTGTGTCCCTATCATGGAGGTTTACCGACATAAGTTTAGTCAAAAAAAAGCTTTCCATAGGCTAAATTGCTTACCATAATATATGAACAACTTAATTCTCCAATATCCAGTACTGTTATATACTTCAATAATTTTCACAATTGACAATAGATCAGATCCTGAGGTCACCTCTGAACCCACCTTAGATTGTTTTGGCCTACAAGAATTTCCAAGCTCTAACATTTCCAAGATTTATAGCATCACATTTATCATAGCTCATGGGTCAAATATATTGCCAATAAATATAGTACAAGTGTCGATGAATCCTCAATGCTGCCTAAATCAATCCAAATTGATTTAAAATCATAACAATGTAATTTGATTATTAAAATTCATATTTGATTTATGATTTTGAAATCAAAACCGCCAAAATCAAATTAAAAACTGAATTGAAAGATACTAACATTAAATTTTAAAATTCTTAATTTTTACTTAAATTTTTTTAGTACATCAAACTGTAAAATAAGTTGTTGTAAGTTTTCCTATTTTAAGTTTTCAGAGCATGGATGTGATGGGTAACTGGTGTCTGGTACGATGAGCTGTATCTTGACATTGTGGGCTTTTTAGTGGGAAATCGTAATCGCATATTATAATTAACAATGCATGTAAATGTTTTTTTTATGAGCACATAAATTTATTGTATTAACTTATAATATTTAGAAAAAAATTATTTTATTTAAGTACTGTTAGGAGCTAATAGGCCCACATAGATACAACCTAATTCAGGTAGCTTAAGTAAAAAAATCTAGTCACAACATCAATACTCAATACATGTAATGCTAATGATGTCTCAACTCTTAAAAGTCATTAATTAAGGAGGGTGTTTTAGATTAAGAGTCTGTTAGATTTTAAAATTTCAATGTATTCAATCTAGATTCTTTTAGAGTCTATTATTTATGGTATTCAATTCAGACTTTTATAAAATCCATAAAAATCTGATGATATTCAATTATAACTTTTTAAAACTCTATACAAATTTGGTAGTATTTAAAAAATTGCTAATTTAGAAGGATTCTATAAAATTATTGATTTCATTGGATTTTAGAGTGCGATGTATGAATAAAAAAGTCATTTATAAATCCATCCTCCAACTCAAAGATTTCAAAAATCTTTTAAAATCTAACGGACTCTTGATCAATACACTTCTTGATAGAACGAAAGCACAGCAAGTACCCGCAAATTTTAAACTACCTGTATAGGTATCCATTTAAAATTTTACTAATTCCAGACCTTTTTTAAAATCCATAAAAAATCTGATGATATTTCAATATAACTTTTTTAAAACTCTATACAAAATTTGGTAGTATTTTAAAAAATTGTTTTTATAATTTTAGAAGAAAAATTCTCTAAAAATTATTAGATTCATTGGATTTTAGAGTGGCGATGTATGAATAAAAAAGTCATTTTATAAATCCCATCCTCCAACTCAAAGTTTCAAAAAATAAAGATTTCAAAAATCTTTTAAAATCTAACGGACTCTTGATCAATACACTTCTTGATAGAACGAAAGCACAGCAAGTACCCGCAAATTTTAAACTACCTGTATAGGTATCCATTTAAAATTTTACTATCCGTATCCGTTTTAAACTCGTTTAAATACTTATTTAAATACCTACATTTGAAACCGTTTAAATATTTACTACATATATCCATCCAACAATCCATTGAAAATACCTCTTAAATGGGAAGGATACTCACGAATTTTTAAATATCTAGATTTCGAACTTTATTTAAAATACATTTTTTACTAATAATGGATAGGGTATCTTTTTTACTAATAATGGATAGGGTATCTGCTGCCGAACCCGTTTATTATAGCAGTTAACAGGAGCGGGATGGCCGACAACGACATTGGTCATTATAGACCTTTCATTGTCTGTGGCGATAAATTTTTAACGAAAAAAAGAATAATCTTGGAGAAGATGATATATTTTACTTTTTAGTCCCTTATTGTTTTCAGTTTTTTATTTGGTTCTAGAACCTTTGATTTGTTCAATTAGATCCTGAAATTAATTTTGATTGGATATATAAAAATTATTGTGATTCCATCAAAGTCAATAAAAATCATTAAAAAAAGTCTCACAAATTCCATAAAACTCTATGTAGAATTCTAGTGAAGTCTGTGGAAATCTTAGGAAATCCTTCAATTCCGTCAAACTCAATAATTCTTTTAAAATTTAACACAATCCTAATCCAATACACCTTCTAAGTTTTAATTTCCATAAGAACATGTTGAACATATAAATTCATAGTTGAACTTTACAACTTTAACCTTGTGTCACCCTAGACTTTGCGAATGACCTATCATATACTTAAATTTGTAAATTTTGGTAATATTACACATTTTTCAGTTTTAATATCAATAATTTTTAGAGTTTTGATTTTTATCTATGAAATATTGACTTGATATATAGTTAGAAGGTGTTGGGATTTTTATCTATGAAATATTGATTTACAGTTTTAAGATTGTTATGTTGCATACTTTGTGTGTGTGTGTATATATATATATATATATATAATTATATTTTTATATTATATATATATACTATATTAAAGTATAATTTCTCTCTTAGATTAATATTTATATTTTTTTTTTTTTATAAGATTTAAACAAGCAAATACAGGGCTATGCAAATTTTTTTTTTTTTTTTTTTTTAATAAAAGAAATATTAAACAAAGCAATACAGGGAAACTATGCAATTCAAATGAACCAAATAACAGTAGGGGAGTTCTGAGAACTGTACATATACAGTAAAAACATAATCATAATACTACTGTTTACAAGAAATATATCACAATCTGCATCAGACAGTACTACAATTTCAACAGACTAACAGAGTTAAAATTTTCAGATATGAATTACATTAAATAAAATCTATTAAGGACAGTCTAAGCTATAAAAGGCATAAATAAACATTGCAAATAATTTATTATTGGAAAGGGGATCTGAACCATGAGTCCATGAGTCCATGACCCAATGACCTCCACCCTATCCATTGGGCGAAGGCTCCATAGGTGTGATAGGTCGATCTGAGAGTAAATCAACCAGAACATGTTAATCTCCACTGAACCCAAACATCACCAAATTATGTTAATAACGTTTAGCATTTTAATTAGTCAAAATGCTAAAAATTATTTAAAAAATTACTGCCGAACACATTATTAACCATGAAATACTCCATCTTCTCCGTTTCAATAGTCATTTTGGAAGATTATGAAAGTACTATTTACTATTTTGAAACTTTACCCTTATTTTTTAATATTTAGTTACTAATTGATAATTAAATCAATTATAATTATTTTTTCTCAAATTCATTTTATTTATTATTATGTTACTACCTTAAAAAAATACTCACTTCGTTTAAATAAATATCACATTTACACTTTTCTCGTCCCTTAATAAAGTCATTTGATTTGTTTAATTTGTAATAAATTATTAAGTAAATTAATTATATTACACTTATTTATGATAAAAAAAAATTTTGAGAATTACAACAAATGATGTCCATCATTTGAAAAGGGTAAAAATGAAAATTTTATTATTTCTAAAATCCACGAATGCGATACTTATTTATAAATGTAGAAAGAGATATTCAGTCGTGGATGAAAAAAGAAATAAAATAAATTATGTATATAAAAGTTTATAATGTCTGCCGTGTATTAGAACTTAAAGTTATTTCTCTTTTCCTTCAAATTGATCGAATTTGTATACTTATTTTGGCCGAGATTGAATTTACTTGTCACCCCATCAAACGTCTTGCTGGTTCATTGAAATTATTTTTCATACATAAAAATAATGAATAAATTCTCTATTCCACTATAAGGTGGGAACCCATGTCCAAGCTTGGAATCTCGATGACAAATTTCAATTGTTTTCTAAATTGAAAGGGAAAGAGAAGGAAAGCCTCTCACATACACACTCGCACAAGCCAAGCAAGAGAGGAATCATGGTGGTGGTCGTGGGTGTTGTTTTTTGCAGTTAGAATCTCCCTGACCTTTTTTCCCTCCCCATTCTCTCATTTTCCATATATGATAAACGTAGAAAACGGGAGAGATTTTTATTATATTCTTTTTTTTTTTTTGTAAAAATGCGTAGTGTTTGAGATATGGGTGAAATCAAACAATAGGTTTGTCACATTAACAACAACACTCAATCTCTTGCTTCGTTTCGAGAAACAAACACCAAGAAGAAAGGGAAAGATTGTTGCTTTATTTCTTCTGGAGAAAACAAAATCCCATTACGTTTTCTTGTAAGCTTTTCTTCCTCTTCCATATTAAATCTTAATTTTCTTCACATGGTAGCAATCAATCAATATATGTACTTTCGTTAGTGTATTCATTGTCAAGGTGATAGCTTTTCTCAATTTCTTTCTCTTTCTCTGAGTTCTGAAAGCTATTACAGTTGGGTATTGGATTCGTTATCTGAGTTTCTCTTTTCCACTTTTTAGTCATTTTATTTAACTTTTCTTCTTATTCTTTCCACCCTTTTTTCTTTTTAAATTATTAACATGGTTTGTCTTATTTCCTCTGTTTAATTTCTATGCATGCGCAAATATTATTTGTTTATATTTATAATGTGTAGTAAATTTTAATGTGTTGCATTATATCCATGCTTTTGCTTTCTGGGATTTCTTCTTTGATGGAATTCTTTCCATTTGTAGATAAAAGGTGTGGCTATTTTCCGTCTTTTCCCTTTTTATCTTTTTGTTGTTTGGCTTTGTATATATAAATTTCCTTCTCTTCTCATCTGGTTATTTTGGTTTTGGTAAACTAGTACTTATCTGGATGAGTGACCAAAACACCTTTTTTTAAAAAATATCTATTCCGCTACGTTTGTTTACATGTTCTGTAGGTTCCCAATCTCATAAACTATCCATTTCACTATCCTTGTGTGCATATACTAGGGTTTCTAATCTTGTGTTAGGTACTGGCTTATTTCCTATTTTGTTCAATTTGCTGAGATATCAAGAGAAAGGCAAAGTAAATTTTGTTCTGATATTTGCTTGCTTTATTTAAGAAACTTGTAAAATTTTCAGAAACTAAGTCAGATGATTGAAATGGTTATAGATTTGTTTTGATACATTAAGATATATTTTTTTCCTTGATTACTTTTGCTATTTTACTGTTTCTAACTTTAAATTTTGTTCTAACCCTGAAGTTTCTTCTGATTTTTTTTTTCCTTTTTTTTTTCCAGTATCTAAAATCTTGGATGTTTGGTTGAAGAGTACAGATTGCATGTATTTTTGGCTTGGATCTTTAGTATCTGTTCTATTTTCAAACTCTTCTGAACCCTTCTTTATTATGCAACTTTAAGAATGGGGGATCATTTTGTGTTGCTGGTAGATCGGTTGCTAACTGAATCCACTCTTGAAGCTGCTATTGAGCGCAACAGCCACTGGCAGCAAGCAACTCGGTCTGCAAGTGGAGATACTACTACTGATTTTTCACCTGATAGGATGGACTTAGATTTTAGGTCATCCTCAAGTAAATTGGTAGAGTGTAGGATTTGCCATGATGAGGATGAAGACATGAATATGGAGGTACCATGCTCTTGCTGTGGCAGCTTGAAGGTTAGTTGTAGTTTGATCTGCAGAATTGATTATTATTTGGAAATGGCACAATTGGTCTTTGAAAATGCAAAGTACTTTTGATCATTTTGTGACTAATGCCTAAGTACTGTTATACTATATATTGACAAACAATGCATTTTATTAAAGGCGGGGATGGTACTGAGGGGTACTACTGGCCCCATTAGTGGTGGGCATGGGGCAGTAGTGGTGGACCATAGAAGTGAAGGTAATGTTATTTGCATTCCGTATAATGATGGCAGTAGTAAAATGTAGTTGACATTATGATCTGTTATTATATTTCTGTTCACTAGAACAAGATAATGAGACTTGTATAAGACCTACCAACTGTATCTCAAGTGAAAAAGGTGCAATGTTTTGACACTAGAAAATCTTAGATAAATTGACATGCTATGGAAGAATAGCCTCTGCTCTAAACTTTTGAATTTAAGATGCTGTCTGCACATTTATAAAGTTGGCAAATCCCTGAATACTGAAGTTGCATGAAGAATTTTGATGATAATGTTAATTGTATCATTTATTATTTTATGCCTAAGCAATTTTGGTGATATTGTTATTTGTATCATTTATCATTATCTATCCAAACAACTATTGGATGGAAATGATGGTTAAAACTAGTTCTTTCTTGGTATTCAAAGTATTTCTACTGTTTCTATAGTGCCCAATAAGGTCAATAGTTCTCATTACTTCTATGTTACAGTATGCTCATCGGAAATGTGTTCAAAGGTGGTGCAATGAGAAGGGTGATACTGTCTGTGAGATCTGCCACCAGGTGCAACAATATATTATTTTCTATTTTGTTCCTACGATTTCTACATGTTCTACCTTTGTATCAACTCGAAATAAGTCTTGCATAAAATTTGTTAAACTGCAGCAATTTAAGCCTGGTTACACGGCACCACCTCCTTTGTTTCATTATGGTGGCATTCCCATGAACTTCAGGTTTGTACTCTTTAACCATACATCCTCTTCAACCTAGATTTTTATACATTTTTCCAATTTATTAAGATATATTTCCCTTTACCCATATGTACTTGTTTGGGGACTATTTTCAGGGGAAATTGGGAGATAACTAGAAGGGACTTGAATAATCCTGGATTTATAGCAATGGTTACCACAGACCGTGATTTTGTAGGCTCTGACTTTGAAGATTATTCAGCTCCCTCTCCTAGAAGCCTCATGTGCTGTCGAATTGTTGCTATTATTGTACATCTCTCTTTCTCTCTGTGCGTGTGTGCGCATGCGCGCGTGCGCTTACACACATTTTACTTCACCTCATATCACATGCAGTTTTTTTAACCAGTGAATTAATGAAACCAAAGATTCATCTTTTGGGCCCTATTAATTTGGTCCAAAATTTTTCTGAACTTAGTGGTCATACTCAACAATTTTGCTGTCTAAAATATGCTACCCATAAAACACACAGGCTTTATTATTTGTCCGTTGGTTTTAGCATCATCTGCCATTGCACAAGGGCATGATAGATACTAGTATGATCCTCCAGTAGTGCATAGAAGGGCTAAAGCAATTGGTCTTCATATTATCATTGTGAGAGTTGTTTGTAACCACGTCTTATATTTGTTTATCGATTGTAACCATGTCTTATTTTTGTTTATCGATTGTAACCTGAAATTCATACTATGAGGGCATAATTTCTTATATAAATTTGCAGTTTATGGTTCTTCTGGTTTTACGCCATACTCTTCCAATCATTATTAGTGGAGCTGGAGATTACTCAACAACGTTGTTCATGGTGAGGCTGTAGATTCCTTGTCTATTATTTTCATAAAATGATTAATATACTATCTAGCAAGTGCTGCAGAGTAAATATCTAAACATTTCGGCTTCTATTGCAGTTGCTGATCTTGAGGACTATTGGGATTCTTTTACCCATTTATGTCATGGTTAAAGCATTTACTGCTATACAGCGTCGCCGTCACCAACAGGTAAGTAGTGATTAATGTTTTTGACTTTTGGGTAAAATTTTGCTAAGCTGTGGACTTATTTAGCAGAACCCCAAAATTTCAGCATTTGTTAGGTTATGCTACATGATTCAAGCCTGGAAATGGTTGCCAGGTCTTGGACTATTTGGGGCATTTCTAGTGCTATATGTTTGTTCAATAATGATGGCAAGAAACGCTCAGAGTGCCTCATGTAATCACACACACGAGGCATTCTAAATTTCATGATTCTCTAACTGTGGATCTTGATTTTTTTTTCCATAAGATGTACACATTCAAGTAATAGCTTTTGAGTTATCCTTCATTAATGTAGTGCTGATAATGTTTTTCAGATCTTAAAATTGAATTTTTTTAGCACTTTTTAGTTTTAAGTTTGATAACATTTTATCTACATGTCATTTTAAAGTTTCAATTGAATTCAAAATCCACATGAACACCACCTAAGATTGTAAATAGTAACATCAATTGCTTTCTGCTCTTCTATGCACTAGGATCCTCGTTTCTCGCTTGCTGCATCGGATGGAGAAAATGAGTTGCCACAGCTGCAGCCTCAGTCACGCTTTGTTCACATCCGGTAGTTGCTGCAACCACCAATCAACTAAATTATATCCAATAATGTACAGAAGAGGGAATCAAATTTCAGTCTTTACGAATTTTTTTCGGCATGGAGGAAAGCTGTTGCAATATCATCATCGCAATATGCAGACATGTTTTTATTATTTTTGCGAAAATCAGCAGGGCTGCAGCCAGCTAAATGCATATTATCAAAGTGTATGAAACTATGTACAGTTAGTTATCAAGAATTATATGGGAACTGCTCCTTATGAGAAATGAAAGGTTGTTGGAAAATGAATAGAAATATAAATCTTAATTCTGTAGAAATAGTTGTCTATTATTTGAAATTGCCTACAGATAAAATGCCTGATATTGAGACCTGAGTAGTGTTCTTAATAACAATTTGTTGAAAGAAATGGAATAGAGGCTGTGAAAAGGTAATACTTCTGTATATTAAGGTAGATCTCTTAAAAATTATCAAATTATTTTATATTTAAATAATTTAATTTTAATATTTAAATGACATTTTTAAATATAATTTTTAAGTGAATCAATTTATTAAGTTTAATTGTTTATATTTAGACATGCATTTTTATATTCTTTACAAGGTGAATCAAGCATTTCGTTTTTCTATTTACAATTAGGTATTCTGAAGTCAGTTTTTTTCTATTTACAATTAGGTGTTCTGAAGTCAATTTATATGCTGTATTTATTTATTGTGTTCGGTAATAGCTTTTTAAATAGCGACATTACTTTTTTAAGTAATAATGTTACTTTTTAAAGTGTTCGGTCTGATAACATAGCTTTTGAATTAACTTTTCAGTATGGTAACATAGTTTTTAAATTAACTTTTAAAGGTTAAGATTGCATTTTGTAAAAAATTAACTCATGTAATGGTTAACTTTTAGTATTTCAACTGTTAAATGTTACTAAAACAGCTATTAAAAATTAATTTTACCGAACAGACTCTTGATATTATTGAATAATAAAAAATATGTATCTCATTTTATTTTTTAAATAATTTGAAAAAAAAAACAAAAGCGGGTGTCCTTACATAATCTTTTTGACGGACATTTTCAATAAAATAAAATACATGATAAGCAATCAACACGGACTTGATTCGATGAAATGGATTGTATTCGAATTTTACCTGTAATAAGTGGCCAATCAATAAAAAATATTTTACTGAATATTACTTTAGTATGAATTTAAAGACATATAAATAGATTTTATTATGAAATTATAATATGGAATATCCAATTAAATTATTTCAAGAAAACATATAATTAAAAACTGAAATGATAAACAACTTTATTTTTTTAAAAAAAAATTGCTTTGACAAAAAATTAAATTAAATTATTGAAATTACAATATTCAAATTAAATGTAAGATATTACAAAGTAGAAAATGCTAATAAATATAGTATTTTATAAACCTTTTTGATTTATTTACAGGTCTATCTTTTTGGTTTTATGAAAATTAAATAAAAATAAAAATATTACATATTAGAGTATAAATTTAAAATATAATATACATTTTTATTTTTATTTTGTTAAAAAAGAAAAGCCAAAATCAGTTAACACAGGGGAGGTGGAACCGTCAATATCAAAATCATGTCCATCATTCATCTATTTCTAACATAGAACTTGCTGCACCCGACTTTTTCTCGCTTCTATCATCTCCCCCCAACCCCGCATAATTATTTATTTTTTTTATTATAATATCTCTGATAAATTAGGCAGAAAATTAAACATCTCTCTCTCTCTTCAAATTTCGCTCTCTTGAGGAACTTTGATTCAAGGTACTCGATCTCGATCACTGAATATGTTTAGTTTTTTAATAAATTCCTTTTCGATATCTCTCGCTATATACTTTAATTCTATGTTTGAATTGGGAAATTAGCGTTCGTTTTGATCTGGATCTATCAAATCTCACTAAATTGAAGAGAAAATCGCATTAAAAATGGAGAATTAATCATACCTTTAATGGATTTTGGCCTTTGTTATTGACCAGAATTTAAGATTTTCTATAATGATTTGGTAAGGAATTTAAATTTTTTGTTTTGGGTGGAAATATTTTTGTAGAAGTTTATTATGTCAGGCATGGAGGGTGTCAAAGATCAAGAGCAGGTGGTTGGAAATGTCCCTGGTTCCATGCCAACATCTCAAGATCAGGTTCTGATTTACTTAATGCCTGATTTTATTGAAGACCCTGAATTAGAATTAAATGCTTAGGAAACTTTTTTACCTAATAATTCAAGGGTGCTTATCATTGCAGCATTTTTTTTTTTTTTTTTTTTGAGGGTGGTCAAAAGATCAAGAGCAGGTGGTTGGGAAATGTCCATGGTTCCATGCAACATCTCAAGATCAGGTTCTATCTTAAAACTTAAAAGGCCGTGATTTTATTGAAGACCCTGAATTAGAATTAAAATGCTTAGGAAACTTTTTTACCTAATAATTCAAGGGTGCTTATCATTGCAGCATTTTTTTTTTTTTTTTTTGTGGTCTGTTTTGTTTTTTTTAGGAGAAGCTATAAAGAAAAAATATGGAGGAATCGTGCCCAAGTTTTTTTTTTTTTTTTTTTGTGTCTGTTTTGTTTTTTAGGAAGAAGCTATAAAGAAAAAATATGGAGGAATCGTGCCCAAGAAACCTCCACTTATTTCTAAGGTGATTTCTTATTAGAATTTTACTGACTTGTATGTTGAGTCTTGGTTGGTATGCTTGTTTCTTTCTTAAGCTTTGGATTTAATGTCAGGACCATGAACGGGCATACTTCGATTCTGCTGACTGGGCACTTGGAAAGGTATTGTTATTTATCTGTTGTTTACTTAGATTCTGATAAGATTCTTAGCTATTGTCATTTGATATATGTATGTGGGTATTATCTTTTTCTATCATGGCAGCAAGGTGGTGAGAAACCTAAAGGACCACTGGAAGCCCTTCGGCCAAAATTACAGGTATCAATTTAAAATTTCGGTGCTTGAACATTCTTCTTCTTCCCTTTGCCTTTTCTTTTCCATGCATTTCTGATTTTCTCATATGTTTTTTCTAGCCATTCTTTTATCATATTGCCAATGGACGACACTTACTGATATTGGTATTACTAGTCGGTATTATCATCTAAATGTTTATTTCTTGTTTTAAAAAATGTTTTGGTTAGCAGTATGTACTCGAAGACTTATACCTAGATTGCCTTTCCTATTGAGTTAGAAAGAATTGTATAAAAGAAGCAAATGAGAGGACTTCCTATATGAGAAGTGTTGGATACAAATACCTAATCCATAAAAGAAATTCATAATAGAAAATACCAAAATTTTTTAAAACCTAAAACCTTGGGAAGGAAAGGATTAAAAGAATTCAGAAGAAGCAGAAAAATAAATACAAATTTATTAGGACTTCAGTTTAAAATCCTTCACTGAGTGCTTTGTTGTCAGACTGCTTTTGTTCCGCAAACTTAATGAACATACTTGGCAACACGTTGAACGCCATTTTGGGCATTTGGAAAATTATAACAAAATAAGCCAAGCGCATATATAAGAGGTTTTGCTTGGACCACAGTAATTCAGTGAGCATGGTCCAAGTATGATTGAAATTGGAAGCAGGCCAATTTCTAGCTCAGCAGTTTCTGATGCTATAATGTAAATTTTTAATTAATTCTACCACTGTAGAAGCAGATAACGTGTTGGTTTATGGAGCAAGGATTTAGTGGGAAGTAGCATTGCTCTTAGTAAGAATTCACAATGACAATTCTTGTTTATGCTCATGCACTGAGGTCAACTTCTTTGGATCATGAAATGTTGATATAATAGCAGATAATGGAGCACTATCTTCTTTTGGGTGGGGTAGACATGCCAGTGATTGAAGAGTGAGAAATAATGGGCTCTTAAGGAAGTGGATCTTTATTGATGAAATGATCTATCCTTGGTTATGTGGGATGGCTGGCTGTTTTAAGATTCTGTACATCCATCTATTGGACCTGCTATTAGAAATCTAGATTTTAGTTATTTGTTTTTTGTTTCTGTTCTTTTCTTCTCTTTTCGTGCTGTATTACATAATTCTCTAATATTAGAATTGCATTGCTGTTTTCAGTATCTTCCTGAGTAATTCTCTAGCAGGGACTAAGTGATAACAAAATGAATAATTTTGTAAGATGATGGTGATTGTCCAATCAAAGAATTGGTGCCTTCTATATGCAATCTCCAGCAGTTTGATTCGTGATGAAACTTATGAGTTAATTGGGTGGTCATAGAATAAAAATGCTGTTGTCTTTCTGCGGTTCATCTGATTCCACACTGATTTTTATTATAAAAATATAGCAGCTTTTCTTAGCATCTTCCTTTTAGCTATCCTCTTAACATTCCAATAAATTAATCTCCTTGTGAGAATTAGCTATCCTATTCATTCAATCTTTGGTGATGTTTTTTCCACTGTGAAAGGTGAACATCAACTACCCTTTGGAAGTTGAAAATCCTGATACTTTCCCTAACTCTTTGCCCTTGTATTTGCTATTTTTGTATAGTCGGCTCTAGAGATAACGCAATCTAAAACCTTTCTTTTCTTGGCCTGTAATTTAGATGTTCGGCTGATGTTATTAACTTATTAGTGATAACTTGGCAAAGGTAGGTCAACTCTTCAAGTGATAACTTGTCTATAGTGACACGGTCTAACTTCAACCAGGGACGAAGTCAGAATGTAAATAGAAGGGGAGCAAACCATATGATATATAAGTGAAGGGGGGCAAAGTGGTTGGAGTGCTTTGAAAAAAGTGGAGAAACTAGGGTTTGAATTGTGAAAATGTACAATTTTTTTTTTTTTCCTCCTGAGAGGAGGGGGGCAATAGACCCCCTCTTCCAATGAGTAGCTTCATGTCACGGAGATAGGATTTTGCTACACCTATCCGCGCGGCACTTAGTCGCCTTTGGGTGCTAGGACGAGCTAAGTAAGCCTTGAAGCACAATGGAGCAAGTATAGAAGCTAAGAAGAGAAGAGAACACAAGAGAGCTTGTAAGAACACTCAAATGCTTTGTATTGCTTGTATGAGCTTGGATGATTTACAAGTGAAGTGAGGGGTGGTATTTTGGATGATTTACCAAAGTGAAGTGAGGGCGTGGTATTATAGGCCACTTCCACCTCCTCAATGGACGGCTAGGATTTAATCTATAGCAAAATCAACGGTCTAGATTACATGGATAATTCTAAGAATATTGTAGATATTACATGAAATATTCTATTGAGTCTATTGAGTAGAATAATGTAGAGTAGTGTGGAGAATTCTAGAAAACGGGCTCAAGTGTGGCAGCCCAATTGGCACCCTTCTAAGCCTTGCCTATAAATTGTGAGGCTGCCTTGCATTTTTGTGTAGCTTCTTATGCGGGGCGTAACATTCGTCCCTCTTGAACCACATTCTCGATGTGGAACTATCAATGGAAACATTGGTTGCTGATACGATACGACCTGTGTTTATCCCTTTTCTAAATCTTGAGTGCATTGGTTGGGAATCGGCTTCCTTCCAGTCTCTAAACCTTCGTTTCTCTGAAGTCGTCCATAAGATGTTTAATTCAATGGCTTCTGTTCTGATGTTGGATGCCATGTTTCCTGGTTTGTTGTGGTGGGTACCTAAGTGATATTCAATTTCTAACTTTTACTGTTTCTTAAATCTTTCTTTCTTTTTGAAGTCTAATTCCATAATCATATCAAATTTGAATTTGCTTGTTCTTTTCCTGGTTTCGATTTCTTTTGGTTGCTTATTTCGCTTTATTATTGTCCTTTTTATTTAGCCTACACAACAACAGACGCGGTACCGGAAGTCTCCTTATGCCCCATCAGATGGTGAAGGTGTGTATGATTGTTATTGTTCAAGATTCATATGATCCATCTTGGTTGTATTTTTCTGAGAAAGAGATCCAAACTTACATCCATCTCTCTGTGCAGACGCTGAAGCTGCTCCATCCGAGGATGCAACTCCCAATGAATGAGAAATTATTGTTGGCCTTTTGATCTAGTAAAGGATTCTGATTGTTATTTTAATACCTAAATAGGCAATGAGTAATTTTCTGTTATTTTGGAGAAATAAAAGTTATGGATATTGTCAAAAAAAAAAAAAAAAAGCCCAGTGAATTCACCACAGCCGCCTACCTCCCTGTAATTGGAAATTTCCAAAGGAAAAAAATAGGCAATGAGTAATTTTTCTGTTAATTTTGGAGAATAAAAGTTATGGATATTGTCAAAAAAAAAAAAAAAAAAATTTTACACACATTTCATAGTTTGAGAGTGTACAAAATTTGTGTAATAAAAAAAAAAAAAAAAAAAGACACACATTTCATTAGTTGAGAGTGTACAATTTGTGTAATGGCGGTTCGCATTGCATATTCAAACAGCTTCATCGGTGTCATGAAACACAGGTAGGCTTAGAATCTCCAGCATGCATTATTAGTGGTTATCAGCTCCATGCGTAGAAACGAGGGTTTAAGATGCTCGAAGGAAATGAGGATACGTTAGTAATTTCTCTTTATTGGAAAAAGAAAAAGATTTGTAGATACAATTTTGAAAAGAAATTCCTAATTAATTAAGGTGAAATGTACTCCCTCCGACTCGTTTTGTTTGCTTGTTATTCATTTTCTAGATGTGCCAAAATGTTTGTAAGGGTAAAAATTACTTTTTCCATAATAACATACTAAGGGTAAAAAGTAGTAAAATAATATTTGTTGATTAAATTTTTAATGTGTATTTTATCAAATCATGCAAATAAAATGGGACAGACGAAGTATTTGACTTATTAATTAGACTAATTTTTACTTTGGTAAGGTGATATCCAATATAATATTTTGCTTATTATATTAAATTTAAATTTTGAATGCACTAAAATTAAACCATCCATTCTCTTTAAAAAGAAAAAAAAATTTATTTAGAATAATCTTCGTTTTTATTTGAAATATCAGATTGATGAATGAATTAAATTTTTGAAACTTTCAATTCCCAATCATTTTCATGGAGTCAAAAAATTTATAGCTTGAAATATTGATGACCAACAAAAATTAAGCCATAGTATTTGCATTAATGATTTTATTTGCTTGGTTGATGCAAATATGAGAGTTCAGAGAAGAGATTAGAAGCAAAGGAAAGTGGAAGGGGAAAGGTTCAAAGATGTTGCAGTCTTGTAGATTGCAAACAAGGGATAATGTTAGTTGCTTGCTTGTAGTATCATTTTCTAATAGGAATAATACCTTAATTTGTCCTTCGAAATTCAACTATCATGTACAATTTATCTAAAGTTACGTTTTTGGATTTATTTTAATATAAATTTTCAATTAGAAATTCGATTCGGCTTATTTTTTAATTGAAATTAATAGATTTGAGTTGATAGAAAGTAAAATCTTAACTTTTTTTATTATTTACTTCAGGTTGATTACCAAAAAATAAGCTAAATTGGTTTTCTAATTAAAATTTTATGTAAAAACAGATTTGAAAATTCAATTTTAATTTTGATTAAGCCGTATATCGCAAATAAATTTGAATTAAGCATTATTCTTTTCAAATATCATGAAGTTTTTATAGACCTAAAGAGGGATAAACCAATGGGCCTTTTCTATGTGCCCTAAGATAATGGGCTTCTTGTAATTATGTATCTTTTCGTTATTGGGTTTGTTCTATTGTTAAACAGGCGTTTACACTTTAATAAAATAAACATAACTTTTTATAATTAGAAAAATGGGAAAAGAATATTCAATTTCAATCAATCTATCTATCTATCTTCAGTATATAAAAAAGCTAAGGATTTCATCTTCTATATTTAATTGCCACCTCATCAATTTGCTGAGATGGTATCATGTTCTTTCTTCCTAAAATATATATATATATATTTTTTTTTGTTAATTTTTGGTTTATTTTTTAATTTACTTTCCTTTTAATTTTAATATCAATAGAGTTGAAATTAATATCATTAGCATTCATTTTCTTCTTTCTTTTTTCTCCATTAAAACGGTTAAGATATTTATGTATCGAGTTGGTATATTATGTTGTTTTTTGTCTAAAACATGTTCCTTTTTATTAATTTTTAGTGGATTTTTTAATTTTATTTAAAGATGTGTACAGCAACAGCTTTTTAAGTATATATTTTTTTATAGTATTCGGTATTATAGCATTTGAACTGACTTTTAGATGTTAGATAACGTGTTATAAAAAACTAATTTATATAACGTTTAGTTTTTAGTATTTTATGAAAAAACTACTTAAATCACTAACGACTATTAAAATAACTAATTTTACCGAATATATTTTAATTAAAAAATATAATCATAAAATTATAAAATTGATGTTTGTGTTTTGTTGCGTGTAGAGAGAATACAATGTTATTTAACTCTTCCAAAGACTAATTCAAGGCAAACTTTAATTTGCAAGTTGATAAAATGCAAATTCACCAGATTTTGTTTAGCTGCTATTGCTAATGCAACTTAATTATTATTAATTAAGATTGATTAAATATTTAAAGATTGAAAACCTCAATTATGGCTAACAGCTAATAGCTATTGCTTAGGCCAATGAAATAACTCCAAAATTACTTTCTATTCTTTAAAGCCTTTTATTTTGACTTGAATATAGTTTATTATAAAAAAGAGCAGCCCCTTATGTTAATTATATAATGGGAGAGGGCTGCAAGTGTGCACATGGATTTGCTGAATCTGCATACATTTTTCTGATTAAATAAACTTAATTACTAATTAAAAAATATTAACATTTTGATGTTTTCTTAATTTTAGTGCTACATTTCAACATTACAGATTATATATATCTTGCACTTTTTTTGACAATTAGTTTGCATCAATTTATAGTTAATACTTAATATACTAAGAATGATTAAATTATGAATTAGTTTTGAATTTGATATGATAGACAACCGTTTAGGTTTTTTTTTTTTTTTTTTTTTTTTTTTTAAATTAGTTTTTGAATTTTGATATGATATGACAACCGTTTAGGTTTTTTTTTTTTTTTTTTTTTTTTTTTTTTGCCTTCTTTTATGTCTTTTAATTTTTAAATTTTTAAAGTATAAAATTATCCAAATAATATTTTTTTTTTTTTTTTTTTTTTTTTTTGCCTTCTTTTATGTCTTTTAATTTTTAATTTTAAGTATAAAAATTATCCAATATATATTTAAGAGCCCAATTTAAAATATTTTAGCAATAAATTTATCTAATAATTTTGAAAAATTTCAGTTAAAAATTCAAAGTGTTTTAAAGATATTCAAAATTAAAAAAAATTAATGAAATATTTGCACACATTTTTTAAAACATTTGTCATGTGTCTGAGCGTGCGGAAGATATACACATTCTACCTTCTGGTATGTGTACTTCTTATCGTAGCTACAGTAGCAACTGACATGGCCTTGTACGTGTTATTATTCTGTATTTTATCAAATCCTATTTTCAAATAGATATTACAAAATCTAATAAAATGTTTTTTTGTTTGTCTCAATTAGAAAGTAATTATTTATTTCATCTAAAAAATTATTAGGATTTGGAAAAATAAAAAAAATACAATTATAATCATAATACGCCAAAAAATTCAAAACTTTTTTTATATTATCTAAAAAAATGAGAGTTAATTAGTAATAGTAATCATGAATTTTCCTTGCCGCCTAGGTGAATAATTTAATTAAATTCTTTTTGGATGTTTCATGACTTTACCCACATTTTTTTTATAGCAATATGTGTATATATATATACACACACTCCTATTTTGTCTTCAACTGCAAAACCTATGTTTGGCTTTGACCAACAAAACTACATTGCGTGTCTTTCATATAAAATGGGTATGAGGGTATCAAGTCATTCCAGAACGTGACCAATACTCTTCCAGTTTCTGATATTCTTCAAGAAAATTCCCTGAAACAAGATAAACCCATTTCAGAAAACAAAATTTCTTTTTCTGGGTTTCTTCTGTTAGAGAAAATAAATCATATATGTTTAGATTTGTTTAAAAATACTGATAGCTAGAAATTATCCACAGACACACGCACATGGCCTCTTCTGTTCCTTCTTATTTAACTGCGATCAAGAAATCTCACAAGCAAATAATTACTACTACTCGTCGTCAAGCCGTGCAAGTTAGAGCCCACAGCTTTAGAGACGAAGGTAACAAATAAATAAATAAAATATTTACTTTCCTTTTCTTTTTATAATGTGAATTTTTGAAAGAATTACTGATCATGGATTTTTTTTATTCTTCTTCTATTTTATTTTTTTGAAATTGGTTACAGGGAGTTCTAGTGACTTGGTTGAAGCAAATTTGAGTGTTTTAAAAGAGAGGATAATGGAAGTGAAGATGAAGGAGAGACTTGAGAGATGTTGCAAATGTGAGTATGGATGGAATTATTCATCTGGGTATAATTATAATTACAAGCTCAAAAAACAAGTGGGTTTATCTCAAATTTTTGATGTTGTAAGTCTGGTTTTTGGAACTATTGGTTTCACCTGTATTAGTTGTTCTTTTTCCCTTTTACTTGTTTCTATTGTAATTCATTTGAATCAATGATCAGGTTTTTGCATTCTTACTCTTGTAAACAAGATCATAAATATACTTATTTTATTTATTTATTGTATATGTTATTAGTCAAATGTTCATCTTCTTCTTAACTGTGAGTGTATTTCCATGAACTTAAAGCTAACTTGAATATACTTTTTATCGAATTTTTTTTAAAAAAAAAGAAAAAGAAAAAGAAAATTCTATGTAGTTAATGGCCTCACCTCACTACTCTTGCTTTAGAAATAAACTTGAGTAGTTGGGTTCAGCCTTTAAGTATGGCTGAAGAAAATGCGGAAAAGATAGAAGCAGCCATTTTGCTTTACAGCTTTTTCTGGTATTGCCAAATGTAACTTTTACGCATAACAGCTAACAAAAAAGCAAGAAAACAAGGAACAAAGTTGCAACTTGCACTTTTATAATCCAATTTGTTGATTCTCTTAGTGCTTTCTTATTGTATAATTTAATGTTCAAGCTGGATTTGTTCAATAAAAGAATTTTTAAGTTTAGGCTTTAACAAGCAATAATTAGTATTTTTTAATTAAATGTCATAGAATTATATCTCCAATAATAAATGTGAAAGTTCCTTGAAAAAATAATAAACGTGAAAGATTAACTAGTATATGGTTATTATATACAAATTTTTTTTTTAAAAAAAATATTTTATTTTCTATATTAAAGAGTTTTTTTTCAGTAAAAAGTTTACATTTGCATTTCATGCCAAGTAAAAATAAATTCATATGTTATTTAGAATTAAATTATGAATACAAACTCCTTTTTTTTTAAAAAAGAAGATATATATACAAAATACATTTTTATATCATGAAAACGAAAGATTTCATTTCAGAAGAGATGAATTTGCAGTAATCAATAACGAAATTTGTAGTTAATTTCCTGAATCCAAAGGCTTGAATTGCAAAGAGTGTGTTCCAGTTGACTCAAGAATTGGCCATCTTAGCTACAGCCAGTCCTTTTGAGCAACAATGCTTATACTGACCAATTCAAAGAAAAGAATTTCAACAACTAACGTATTATAAAGTTGAAATTAGAAAGAAAAGAACCCTAAAATGTATATAAAAAATATATATGTATACAGAAGGGACAATTAATTTCTTTTTATATATATTATTCCGTGTGGAGAAGAGATTGACCCTTTCAAAATATTTCTTCCACGTTTGGTTTTAACAACACAATTTGTTTAATATTTCAAAATTTTGTTTGGCTTTCCAAATTAATTATTTTTATTATTGTAGCTGTTAATAGAAAATGTGTGATGGATGTCCATCTTTTGTCTTCCAGCTGCGAGCTCATTTGAAATTCATGCATATCGTCCACCACGTTTAGCCTTTTCCTTATTCGACCAAAACAAAGAAGAACAACAAAATAACTATTAATATCTTTTGAGGATTACTTGTAACGCTTAGATTATAATTTCCTTTTTCTACGGTAAAGAGACCTAATTCTCATATTAAACGTTCCTTTTTCCAAGCATTTGACAACCATTTGTCTCTTTTATCTTATAGGGTATTAGTCATCTTGCATTATCAGAGAAGAGATCTCAAACTGCATCAATTTTTTTTTTTCGATTAGCAACAAAAAATTTTTATTAGAATTTATATATTTTCAGGAACCTACCTCATACCAATAGGCTTTCTCAATATACCCATAACTAGCCTGAACTGCAATATTAAAGAATGGAATAATATTTTATAACATCATTCAAAAATGACAAAATTGTATAATGAAATGATCGTGAAATGCATTACAAAATCGTATTTCATTCAGATATGCTAAAAAAAAAAATTGCAATGTTAAAATGTATCTTCTTAAGTATCTTGCGAAGTCTTTTACCAACATATGCAATAGTAAAAGCCATACATAATATGACCTAAGGATGTCAGGTTTGACATGAATTCGTCTAACAGGTGACATAATTAGGTTCAACACGACACGGCCAATTTAATAATTGTATTAAATTTATTGATATAAATACGATAAGAAAATTAAGTAGGTGGTACGAACACGACACGTTTAACTCGCCTAATATCACAAACATGCTAAGTAGATCGTATTGACCCATATACAATCTGTGTAACCCACTTAATATCATGAACATGTTAAGTGGATCGTGTCGACATGTATATAACCCACTTAACTTGCTTATAATATTTTTAAATTTTAACCTATTTAACTTTGATCATATTTAATGTCATTGAAATAAAAAATTAAAATTTTTTTATTTTGTGTTTATAATTTATTATAAATGATTATCATTTATTTGAAATATTAATGTATTACTTATTTAGTGTACTGTGTACTAAACGTGTGAATGTCCTATTTTTTCTAAAAAATTATCATATCTCGTATATTCTTGTATCTCGTATCCTATATTTGTGAAATCTAGCTCCTAGTATATGAGAATACTCCATACACCAATCTAATTAACTAAGATTTTTTTATTTTACCGATAAAAATAAAGTATTTTTTTAATTTGCTTTTGTGTCATTGAAATAAGAAATTTAATTTTTTTTCAATTCTTACAATTGTACTAAATTGTGTGAATTATAACATCTGGCATTCTATAATCCAAAATAATGTCAAGTGGTAAATTGTGCAACTTACACTCGGCTTCTATATAAAGCAAACTACCATACTTTAATATATTATATAGATAAATATAGATAGATATAGATTTTTAAACAGTGATAATAATTTTGAGAATTTAACTATTTATATTAAAATAAAAAATTAAATATTTTATTTTATGTTTTTAATTTTATGTTTTATGATTTATTATAAATGGTTGTTTTAATTATTTGAATATTAATGTATTACACAGATATTTAGTGTAGTGGTGTTCTAAGCGTGTGGATGTCCTATTTTTTAAAAAAGATTTCCGCGTATCGCCGTACGTTCCCATATTTGTCCCGTGTCCGTGCAACTATCTGGTATATAAGACTACTCCATACATCATGCTAAATCAATTAGATTTTTTTTTATTATCAGAAAAAATGGAAAGTGTTTTTTTTTTTTTATTAATTTGTTTTTGTGTCTTTTTTTTTTATTAATGAATGTCAGAAAAAATAAGAAAGGGACTAAATTTTTCGGAAAAAAAACTTATTGTTACTTATTTTCTTTGGATACAAAAAGAAAAAATAAAATTAATAAGAGGAAATAGAAAATGAAGTGTTTTTTTTTTTTATATTTTTTTAATTAATGAATGTAAAATAAAAAAAAAAAAAAAAAAAAAAAAAAAAAAAAAAAAGAAGGAACTAATTTTTTTTTTTTTAGGAAAAAACTTATGTTACTTATTTTCTTTGGATATAAAAGAAAAATAAAATTAATAGAGGCAAGAAAATGCAGAAAGTAAAGAAAATATAGAAAGTAAAGAGTTGAATTAGAAGTAAATTCTTTCAACGATTAGTTTTCGTCAAAGTCTAACTCTAAACGGGAGGGAGAGTTTATTAGATTAAAAAACTCATGAACAAGGAGCAAAAAAATTAGCCTAGCCAATTCGTTGAATACTGAAAAATAAAAGAAAGAACTAAATTTTTTTTGGAAAAAACTTATGTTACTTATTTTTTTATATAAATGAAAAATAAAATTAATAGAAAAAGGAAAATGCAGAGAGTAAAGAGTTGGGATTAGAATTTATTTTTTTCAATGATCATTTTTTGTCAAAGCATAATCTAATCTAAACGGGAGGTAGAGTTTATTGGATTAAAAAAAAACTAATGAATAGGGAAAAAAGTTAGGGCCAGCCAATTTATTGAATACCGATATTTTTTTAAACTAAATATAAGAAAAAAACTTATGTTAATATTTTATTTTGGATATAAATCTTATTTCCAAATAAAATAATTTTTGCTTATTAATATTATCAGAAAATATTAAACAACTTGTCTTCTTATAATTGTTTTTATTACAACTTATCTTCTTAAAATTATATTAAATAACTGCTCCCTTCACGCTTAATAATTTGAGAGAATTACCTAGCATTCATGATAGACTTGTCTGTTTATATATATATATATGGACACCGTCCAAAGTTTCTAAATCCGCCATTCCATATCTTTTTCTGAAATTTTTTTTAAAAAATTCCATCAACCCCATCTACAATCCTTTTTATAGACAAAAATTCACTGTCGGTATGCAAACAAGTCTAAATGTTAAACAATTTTTTTTTTTTTTAATGTAATTAGATTAGATGATTGTTGATAAAGTAAAGATATGGGGGCAGGATGAACTGTGTCCTCTTCATTGTCTCCTTATGCAGTTTGTCAATTACAGGAAAAACTATTAAAATGAGTTGGTACTTGAAACGCTTCCTTTTGTTAGACTCTGCTCTATCTCAATAAATAAATAATAATAATAATGTCGATAAATTCCAAGGAAAATGACATCAGAACGGTAATTTTCAAGCAGTTGAATGAATCGGTGCCGATTACTTGCTTTTCTTCTTCGATAGGTCTCTCCGGGGTTAGGCTATGTATGTGAGATGATGCACCACTTCTTTTTTTTTTCTTTTTTTTTTTTTTTCACGAATATTTTTACATCCTTTTTAAATATGTGATTAATTTCATTTTTATATTTTATAAGAATAATCATATAGTTTATTGTTCAAAATTTATCAACTTCTTTATTCTAGTATCTCAATTTTATTTTTCTATCAATTAAGTATCTGCATCAACAATTTGGTCTCATCCTACCCATTCACTTATTCAAATCATTTTTCTTTTTCATTTTTATTCTCTTTTATATTTTCTTTTTCTCTTGAAAACTGTAAAAAAATTTCTCTCTTTCTTATCTCTGAAATATTAAGAGATCAAAATAAACAAAAGCATAAAAGAATTATTCGTTTGAGTAATTGAATAACAAAAAAAAAAAAAAAATTAAGACATTTAATTAGAGAATTTGATGAATTTCAAACACAAACTTTACAATTATCCCCTCAGTTATATAGTTTTTTTTTTTTTTTTTCAGTTATATAGTTTTTTTTTTTTTTTTTTCTAAATATAAGTCATAAGTAAATAATAGCGTTGATGAAATCACTGGATTGTTTAATTTTTCTCACTTCATAGAGTAACTTTGACGACAGCTATTTGTTTTTCTTTACTTGTGGAAGAAAAAGAGATGGGTAATCCTGTACTTATGTTTAATTAAAAATTGTTATGGTCTTCTTTCCCCCTCCAAAATCTCATATTCTGTGTGGAAAATTTTCTTAAATAGAATTCCTTGTCGTATCAATCTTTTTAAAAGAAAAATTATTCAAACTTCTAGATGATTGTATACAACCTGCTCTTCCTTTTTTTTTTTTTTTTTTTTTTTTTCTGGTTAAATTTGGTTTTTTTTAAATGGAATCCAGGTTACTTTGGAAGACAGTCATTGTTTTTTTTTTTGTCGACATTTTTTTTTTTTTTTTTTTTTTCTGGTTAAATTGGTTTTTTTTAATGGAATCCAGGTTACTTGGAAGACAGTATTTTTTTTTTTTGTCACAATATGGTCAATTTGGCTAAGGAGAAATTCTTTAATATTTGCTAATGTTTAGCATGAGAAGGAAAAGTAACTGGTGATATTAAATTTACAAGTTTTGAGATTTTAAAGGTCAAGTTTTCGTCTGTGCCTTTTTACCTCAGTGATTGGATTTCTTTTCCACTATTGGTATGCAAGAGTAATTATGCATAACAGAACTGAAAGAGATTTACCTAAGCCTAGATTTTGAAATGTCCACCCGAATGTATTTAAAAGTTTAATATTGATGGGGTTGGGAGAGGAAGACGATGACCAACTAGCATTGGTGGGATATTGAGAAATTAACTTGGTTCCATTAGCTGTGTTTTGTATCAATTGGTCAGAAACTTAATTACTAATGAAGCTGAATTGTTGGCTATTTGAAAGTCGACTGAGTTGTTGTCATTCTAATTATAATTTCTAATCTCTAACTGTTGAATCAAACTCTAAAAATGCTATCTGTTGACTCTCTTAGAGATTAATAAACGACCTTAGCGATGGTGAGATCATTTTAAGAAATTTAATTTTTTAATATTTTCTATTGTGAATGAAAATTTGTCTAAAAAAGTAACAGCCTGTCTATCGCGAAATGAAAGAAATTCTTAAATTTTTTACTAAGATCTCATCTCCTATATCAATGAAACTTAAAAGTTCCTGACAATAATTGAAACTAATCTTGAACTGAAAAGGCACATAAATATATATATATATATACACATACATACAAAACAGACTTGGTGAGCCTTGGACTTCTGACTTGGAAATTGGTCTGAAGCCCTACAATACCCACCATCACTATCAAAATACCAAAGCGAGTTGCAATAACAACAGCAAGTTTCAAACCAAAAGTTAGAAGAGATCGTTTCAGGCCAACAAATTTTGCCAATTTCAATCCTGTGAGCCTGAAGAATTTTCAAACTCAATCAGCTGCTCATTCAAAGTTCGAATCTTCACACTAAGAAAGAGTCAAAAAATTTCTGCTAATCTCAATGTTTCATGAGACTTCGTTAAATCATCACTAATCCAAATCTAGACTTAGCAATTCATCTTAAACACAATAATGAGTCTTCTTGAAGGGGACGACTTCCATCATGCAGGGACACTAATACCTAAAGAAAACACAACAAAACCTAAACATAGAAACCCACTCGTGTGCCTAGCTCCGAAGGAATGCCACAGTTGCAACGCGGGATCCCACAGATCCGCCAAACATGAATGTCGGGTATGTTTGAACATGATTGAGATATCGGAACACAGTATGATCTCCAGATGCTTGGTCCTTTTGAATGTCTGATCCTTGGGACTCATTAGTCCTCTGGTTGAAATTTTCCACTTCTTGCACTAGTTCCTCCTTTGTACTGTTACACGATGTAATCACCTACCACCGTGACAGGAAAAATGCAATGGAAATTATTAATTGGAGTTTTATGTAACAAGGAGTCTCTTTTGCAGTAACTAAGCCTCAACAATGATGCTTACCAATATTCCACCAGATGCAACCAACTTCGAAACAGAGTCCCAGTAAATTATCCTGCAAATTGGATTGGAAATCAGGGTAAGTTTTCTATCAAAAACTTAAGGTTGATTGGCTCATAGTAGGATTGCAACATAAAAAGTGCAAAATACACAGCCAGGATTCCCTGAACAGTAGGTGATACTATTAGTTACCTTTTGATACGGCCATCAGGATGCAATCCAATGGCATCAAGCGTTCCTTTGTCCATGACAAGCTGGAATTGTCTTTGTAACTTTGTTTCAAGAACATCATCAACCTAAAGGGCAAGTGGAAGTGACAGAATAAATTTTAAACAGAAGTAAGCAGTCATTAATTGAAACAAATACTTGTTCCAATTATGATAGGTGAAATGCTCAGTTTACATGACAATCTGGGCAGACTAAAAACAAACAAAAAGTTGAGACCCCCGGGGCAGGGGGCCCGTGGGGAGGGGGGGGATTGGATTTGAACAGACATTCTCAATTAAATCACCATTTCTAAATAATTAATCATATATATAAAATACTAGAATTATTGATTAAATTACAAAACTCTATTAATTAGAATTAGAAAAAAACATATTTGCTAACAACTTAACAATTGAATATAATAAAAGTAAATGGGTTTCAGCAGATTCTGTAGCATTAATTGAGTTTGGGATGGCTATGGTTAGTGAAAGGTAAAATTTTTAAACAGGCTTGGGATGAGGATGGATTAGTAAAATTTTAATGGGTTTGAGTTTGGGTTCAGATATGAGACTCCAAGTACTTGACCTATTGCCATTCCTACACACACACACACACACACACACACAGAGACACACACAAGGGGGTAAAAAACGAACTCAGAAATGAAAATCGTAAAGAAATATAAACATATTTCATAGTTAGTGAAAGTTTAACTTATTATATATCTTAATTTATAGATATCTATGTTAACCATAATTTCGGTTTTAGTCAGAGTCATATTACATTATGATGAATCCACGCTTTGTTAAGAAATGGATGCTTGGATTGTAACAAACGTATTAAAACTCCAGTCATAAGGCAAGAGGTAGCCTGTCTGCTACCTATCTTGTATCTTCTTCAAAGGAATTTCTCAACATGAGGCCTCGCATGAGTTTAAGTTTGTTATATCAAACGACACCTTGGAGGAAAACCTTGTGAAATCTCAATTTAGATTCATTCTACAGCTTTAGTCTAGTGTTTGCTTCAATTTTCTGCCTTCAACTTGCTACAATTCTGGGGTTTAGTTAATGAAATTAGAAAGGACAGAGAAAAGAAAATAGCAACCTCTTTCAGAGGATTAGACATTCTTAAGCCGAAGCTTGATGCTTCAGTTTCTTAACTGCCAAAATAATTCTTTAAGCATTACATATTTATAGGACCAACTAATCAACTATGAATCCGAATCGTAAAAATGAAGAAAAGATAACTAGCAACATCATAAGGCCTAGCAGATTCCTACATCAACTACGAAAATCGTAATTTGATTACTAAATGAAGATCCTAACATATCTCCTACACCAAGAAGTTATTTTGATCAAAGGGGAAGTGTCCATACTCCTTAGCTAAGCTTTTGTTCTCTCTTCTGGAACCTAATACTTAATGTGAAACCTTCATATTTATTAAGTTTATTAATAATTCTTCTATTTAGGATCACAAATCTTAATAGGAAAGTAAAGTCTTTCAGTATGTTCAAATACAAAGGTCACAAATGTTTTATTGGCCTTTCAGCAATATGAGGATTTAATTTGAGTTTTTATCTGATAAGTATTTGGTGTGAACTCACATTTTTTTTTTTTTTTCAATCTTTTGGATCTCGCTCACATTTTCTTCTCCTCCCATTACTACTAGAATATTAGATAGAATTTGCATGCACAAAATTCTCTCTTACCCACAACCTAATCAGGCCATACAACCATATTGTCATATGATGATCATAGCCCCCCAATTCCCACATTTTCCTAATTTTCTCCACATACTGTGTAGCTCTCAAAACAATCTTAAACCTCAAGTTTCATTTGCTGCCCAGAAATTACAACACCCTGGTCCTAGCATTTCAGCCCAAAGAACAAGTGTCTCTAAAACTTCTAATACTCAAGTTTCCCATTTGCTGGCCCAGAAATTTACAAGACACCCTGTCCTAGCATTTCAGCCCAAAGAACAAGTGTCTCTAAAACTTCTAAATATATATATAAATATATATATATATATATATATATTCTCTTTTTTGAGTTCACGAAGAATTAGGTGTTTCTATAATTGCTTCTCTTCTCTCAGAAAGACTTAGACTCATAGAGCATTTGGTTTCTATTTCAGCCAGTGAGAATCCTTTTAAGTGAATCTTGATCAGTAGTGAGTAGGGTGGTGCTTGCCTGTCTAAGAAACAACCAAGAGATTATACTTCATTTTTTTGCAGGAGTCGGTGGAAATAAATAGATATACCCTTTGTGATGCAGTAGGGTTTGCTGAAGTTGGGAATAACAATTAGGGATTCATAACTTAGTGCCCAGGATACTGTGGACTAATAATTTTCTAAGGCTTCATACACTATAAGATTAGAGAAAATCATAGAGCATTATAGCATGCAAGTCAAAGGTATAAGTAATTTTGCACAAGAATATTAAAGAATAGTCCATAATTTAGAAGTTTTTTCATACCAAAAAGTTGATGTTGGAAAAACCATCACGATCAGCAAGGCTCCTAGCGAGGCCAATTGCTCCATCGCTATAATCAACCCCAGTTAAGTCAGAGAACCTGAAGCCAAAGACACCAAGATGACATGTCTTCACTATTTTCGTTGTCAATGCATATTAAAAATAATATAATGTAAATAAAAAGCAAAACTTAAACAAAAATTTGAATAACAGTTCTACAACAACTCTATGAAACTTTGCAGTATGGTTCTCCTCATACAGGAACAGGAACACACAAAAATGGGCATGCATGTGCAACTGAGAGTATATAATTCTTCTCATGTCCCAAGATCCAATAGAATTTTGGTCATTTCTTTTTTATTTCCTTCTCCTTCCATCTCACAGTCCTTGCACAAATTTGGTACATTTGCTTTCTTCTGTCCACCAAAAATCATGAAAGTCTATAATTCAAAAAGTTATGTGCAGTCCCAGTGATGAGAAACTGACAGATATTGAAAACCTTGATTCCCACAATATTAAGCATTCCAAACTCCTAACTAAGCAATCAAAGATCATCCACATAAAATTGTTAGTATAGATCACATAATCTGCATATAAGTGATGATTTATATCCCAAGAAGTACAAAAAAACAGCAAGATCATTAGTGAAAGGAGGACCAAAGTTGGTATAATTTTAATTTACATATTTGAAAAGGATTTATATCAAGTACAAATCATTCTGTTTCCTTCTCCACATTAAATCCTAATCTCGAGAAAGGCATGGAACTATTTAATGGTCACAAGAGTATTTCATAGAAAAGTTGATATTTTTCAGCGGACACCTCAAACCTGATTTATAGGGAGTTGAAGTAAATTTCCAAAGGCCTAGACTTGTTTGAGATATATTCCTTTCATAAATTTCTTTTGTTGATAAATTGCCCCTCCATACAGACAATCCCTGGTTTTAAATAATTCTCCTATTTTAAAATAAACCCTGAAACTAACCCAGGAATTTTCAACCTAAGATCCCAAACTTAGAAAGATGGTCCACTTATGTTGATCATAGCATACCCTAATTTCTTGATTTTAAGGCTGCTGCACTTAAACCTTCCCACTGAAAGAGAAACTTTAGACATAAAATTTTATTTATTTCCTTCAAGCTTTAAATTTAGCGGCCTTGCTCATATCCAATCCAAAACAACAAATTTATACAAACAATTATGCTGTTCTTTTAGGTAATTGGTGATATTGATGAGAAACTTGTCCTGCACTCCAAATCCTTTTTACAAAAATGAGTTAGAGATGTCTAGATACCAGATATGAGATATCTAAGAGGATTTACATGGCTAAGGTTCATACTAGCTGCATAAATTCTGAAGATTTTTTAATCAAGTCATAAATAGCAAGACAAGTGAGTTTGTATATGTGTTTGTGTACAAAGTCAAGCTAAAACCCCAACGTCAACCCTCTTAAAATTGCACATCTTCATTTTACTAAGGCACAATTATTTAGTATCTATGACTTCCAAAGGCATGACATTTGCAACTGTCCTACATGAATCTCCAAGTTGCCTATAGATAATTAGATCTTGTTCTCATATAGAGGGAAAAGTTTATCAGCATAAACATACTGTTCAATTTAAATATTTCATCTTTATGAACTAATCTAAAATGTTTTTATTGATTTAGCATATAATACCAGAACTACAGGCAAAATCTCAAAGTGTACCCCTGCTTAGCAAGTTCTTGAAGGAGCAAACCATTGCCAGTTCCAATGTCAAGCACACTCCAGCTAGACAAATATTTATCACCCTGTTCAACAGGTCCAGACTTGATATCATCAACATGATTTGGAATGTGACCTTGTGAAATCTCTTAGCAAGTTCTTGAAGGAGCAAACCATTGCCAGTTCCAATGTCAAGCACACTCCAGCTAGACAAATATTTGTCACCCTGTTCAACAGGTCCAGACTTGATATCATCAACATGATTTGGAATGTGACCTTGTGAAATCTCAATGCACAAGCTCTTGGTCCAAGAAACAACAACATCCATGACATCAGACCCAAACCTACGTGAAAAAGATAACAAATAACAGAGCAATGAATTTCAGATAGCAGCCATACACCATAATGACAATACATTAAAGCCTTGTCTTTGAATTGCCAACCCAAGATCCTCTACTAGCCAATTTGATAATCAAATGAACCTTATATTCGAACTGTGTGCAGCAAAAACGTTCATGCTTTATTTTCATGTGCATTTACAATGAACTGGAAAAAATTTATTAAGGAACAGCAAAGCGTTACCATATTTCACCAGCATGACCATGCTCACGGAAGTTTGCCAATTCATCTGCATAAGCAGCATCCCAGTAACTCTGAAGACCTAGCATTGACGTCACCCCTTCACCATCTGGTTCCTCCTTGTCAGAACTGTACATAAATAATCCAAATGTGTGCACAGCAGCACCCAAACACAACAAGAAATTTTTAAGGTGACAAAATAGTAACTAGCTCCGTTTCCAGCTCTAAAAGTCAAATGATATCTCGTCCCAAAGAACATGTATGAATTTTCGAACTTATATACTCACACATGAAAAAATAATTCATCCCTCTATCTTATATAACAGAAAAATAAAAATCACTGATGCATACTACAAAATGACTTGGAAAGAAAAATAATTGTACTTCAAAGTTCACATGCAATCTAATGTATAGTATTAAGCAAATTGTAAAGGAAGTCGAATGACTTCAAAGAAACAACTATGAAAATACAGGCACATAAAAATTAAAGGAAAATAAAAAAAGTAGCCCTTTACGATTTTACCCTCAACCGAAAAGTTCTGTGCTTTGGTGCATTCATAAAAATCTATTGAATATTCTAACGAACCTAGTAAAATAATAATTAGAAAGATTTTCATATTTTCAACTTAGTAGACAAATCACTCTCCAATGTGCTTAAAATTCGCAAATTCCTATTTAGATGCTGAGTAAAAAATTAGTAGAACATGAATCTTGCTAATCCAATGCGTTATACTACAAAATATACCAAAGGTTCTAAGAATTTTACACCAGTAGATAAAACATAAGAAAAACTAAGAACAAGAAAAGAAAAAAAAAAAAAAACTATTATGTTATAGTTCCAATATCCAAGAAGATAAATACAAGTCATACCAAACAATTAAGTCAATTAGCCACTAAATTTTTCACTTTTAGCAAGTACTAAGCCATAAAAACATATAAATACCACTTAAAATCCTCAATCCTAGCTCAACCAACCTAATTACTTACTCCACCATTAGTAATCCTGTAAATTTCAAAACCTATAACACAAATAGTCATTCAAGTACTTAAATTCTTTAGCTTTCCCAGATCTTTAAGCCACCAAACCAAATAAAGAGAAGAACACAATAGTCTTAACAGAAAAAGCTAGAAGTGAATTTTACTTGTAATCAGAAGCAGCACGGAAGTTGGCGGAGGAGAGAGCCTCCGCAGCATCGGCGTGGCGTTGATCATCATCAAGAGTGCTTCCATAGTCACTCTTTATAGACCAGGAGTCCGCCGCTACTGACCTCTCGTCATCTGAAACCAGATCGCCAGCAATGGACGCGGCAGCTCGGGCTTGCTGCTGTGAGACGTCCCCTTCTTCCGGTTGCAACCGTATTCCCGCCATCAAAATACAGGGATGCTCACAAAGACTTTGGGAGAAAACTTCGATTGTGATGTCAGGGATATGAGCGTCGGGAGACCCAAGAATGGGTCAAACCTTGTAAATGTGAAAATAAGTTAATGGGAAATTGCTATTTAATCCTTCAAATTTGATTATAATAACAATTTTATCTCTGTTAATTTAAGATTAGTCAATGAGATTTAGCAGTCTTAATGTATTTTGTACTTCTATTCAAAAGGTGTTGCTTTTATTTTGAGTATCCGATAATATTTAGTAGTTTACATTAATATAGTAGCATCACTATTTAGTTCTTTATTTTTATTATTTTATAAAAATGATTTTTTTTTTTAAGCGGAAAATTAAATTATTTAATGGAAATAAGCTTTAAGGATTAAATGGTGTATATATATCAATTGAGAGGAATGGAGAAGACTAAATAATTTTTTACCCATAATTTTTTTTAAAAAAAAGTATAAATAAAGAATTTTAAATACAAGGTTTGGCTAAAATCCACTATTGGATAATCAACAACGACGGAGCCAAAAATAAAAAGCAGAGGGTGCAAAAAAAATTTTCTTTTCAATTTTATCTATAAAATGGAAAATATTTTTTAAATAATAGATAAAATTGAAACTTTAAACATTTTAGGAGATAAATTTCTTTTAAAAAACAATTAGGTTAAGGGCAGTAGGTAATTCTTGGCACCTCACCTACGGATGAGCATTTGATTCAATTAGTTTTGCCAATTCAATTAATTTGTTCAATTCAACGAAAAAATAATCAATTAATGGTTTGATTTTAAAAAAATTCGATTTTCAATAAGATTAAAATTTCAATAATCGAGTCACTCAAATTAATCAACCTCTAAAGCTACATCATTTTGATTAAGCATAATAAATTAAAAAATTCTAAAGTTAAATGCTTTTGATTAATTATAATAATAAAAATTCAATGAAAGTCTGTTAATTACTAATTTTGATTAAATTTCCTCATTAATTAAGGTTTCAATATTTTGAACTTTGATAAGTTAATAATCAAATTAATTTGGCCAAAACGATTAAGTTAAGTTCGATTAAACTTAATTTAGTTAGTAAAACAGAATTGATTAATTAATTTATTTCAGTTAAAATTATTACTAAATTGGCGGAATGCCAATCCTACCCCCACTCTCCATCATTTGTAATCCACTCTAAGAGATTAGAGTTTCAATGTGTGAAAATAATATTTATGAAAAATAGCAATAACAACGTTTAAAGTAAGATTCATGTCAAATTGGAAAGTTATGTGAGGAAAAGTTTATTCGGTCTATCTCTAAATATTTGTCAAATTTTAAAAATTATTAAGTCCTAAAATACTTGTGGTTGTTGAAAAAAATGTGTGAAAATAATATTTATGAAAAATAGCAATAACAACGTTTAAAGTAAGATTAATATCAAATTGGAAAGTTATGTGAGGAAAAGTTTATTCGCTCCATCTCTAAATATTTGTCAAATTTTAAAAATTATTAAGTCCTAAAATACTTGTGGTTGTTTCGAGAAGTAATATTTTTTTTTCCATGTTTACTCTTTGTATATGATTAACAATTATTGCTTCAATTCTGCAAAAATTTAATGTTTGAATATATTAAATTAAGGGTAACGCAATCAATTTACTAAATAATTTATTATAACTCAGACAAATTTAATATTTTTTTAAAAGATGTAAAATTTCAAACGTGATTGTTATTTATGAACAAATGTAGTAACTAATACGTAACAATAACAGTTAAGAGAAATGACAATTGTGAATCTTAAAATAAGATTAATCTTAAATCCAAAATGATTAGGGGGGCAAAAAAGAATTTAATTGATGGATGAAAATAATATTTATGAAAAGTTAAGACAACTAAAAACCTAAAATAAGATTAACCTTGTATTTAAAAAACAAAGTGCTAAATACATAAATTTACTCATGTACTATATGTAAAACACTTTGTAGCACCTTCAATTAATAAAATTGCATCTATAAACATTTCAATTCACAAAATTTTTCTATTGAATATTCAATTTATAAAATTAGATTTACATCTAAAAAAACTTATAAAATTAAATTAATTGAATATTTATTAAACATTGAAAAATTTTCAATGTAAAAAGTATTATTTCAAATGTTGTAATTACAATTAAATTAATAAAAGAAAAGCATCCACCAAATTTGTCATGCCACGATATCTAACATCGTAACTTGTTTACAATAAATAATATGCCAACTAATATATATATATATATCATCTTTTTTTCGCATGTGTAGGAAATTGATTATCAGAAATGATAACTTCAATTAAAGGAAACATTAAATAATTTATGGAAGCGTTTTTCAGAGATTTTACAAGCTTACAAATAATAAATTTATGGAAGCGTTTTTTCAGCAGGATTTTACAAGCTCACAAATGCAGATCAAACAAATAAATAGAAATATATATATCATCAATTCAGCAAAATCCTAGTCCACTCGTAGCAACTATATGTAATTACACTGTAAAATATGATAAACAGAAAATTAATTATCAACTGATATTGCGTCCGCGAGTAGAATAAACATCAGTATTGTTATGGCTTACTCATGAAATGAAAATGAGTGATTGTCTGCAACTTTCTTGGCAAGGTTATGAAATAATTTTGGTCACAACTATTTTCACCCAACTCCAAAGTGTTCTTTTCAGAGACCCTCAAAAACTGATCTTGGTAAGCGAGACAATAAATTCCACAGAGGTTCTCTGGATCATAAGGTCTCTGGATCATATTTCACTGGACGACCTGAAACGTGTAAATTTTCAATACTAAAATGCCCATTTCTCTTAATAATTTCCTCTAACTCCTTTGGGGAAGAATAGTACAAAGGCAAATTGAAGGTGTCTACTTTTTCTTCACTTATCACTCCCTAAAAGAAATCAATCAAAGATAATATAAGATTAGCTTAATAATAGAAGGTCAAATGATAATAACATGAAAATAATGTCTTTGGTTCTTACCAATTTAGCCATGTCTCTGAGGGAATCCCCCCATAACTGATAAAGTAACCCAGCAGGTGTCTGGAAACATAAAAGATACCAATCCCTACGACAAGTAATTATATAGCCATTAAATGCACCTCCAATAACTTCTTCACGCTCTGGCCATTTAAGAAACTATCTATATCATTCTTGAATTGGTTCAAATTATGCCTCAAGTTCCAGCCCCCTTTACTAATCAGAGCAAACATAATGCTTCTTTATTCAAAGCTGGATCTTCCAAAATTTTTCCTGGAATTTTAGATATCCCAGTGCAAGGGATAGAAGGAATTCAACAAAAATGGATGGAAGATTTTGGAAGGCGACTGTAAAAAAGAAACCAGGCACTTCCAGCTTGCAAATAATTTTGATATGAATGACAGGGTTTTAAAAAGTTTAAAAAGAGTGTTAAAATCATTGTCTGTTTGGTCATTGAAGAGAACTTGGAATTCTAAGGGTGGTGGGTTTTGAAGTTGGGTTTGGTATTTATGACTTCTATTATGTATTTAACTGCAAAGAATGTATTGGGTCCGGTTGAACAACCTAAATCTGCTACTGTAAATGTGGTTAACTTATCAAAATTAGGGTTCTCGAAATCAAGGTTTTTCTTAATGCCTTCACACACCAATTCTTTTGCAGCATCTGCCCCTTCTTTCTATAGAAAATGCGAAGTAAATTCAGTTACTATATATCTTTATGATTTTACGAAGTATTAGTATAAATTAATAGTAGAGAAGAGAAGTACCTGATAGCTAGAATTTTGAGCATAGCTGTTAGGACCATCTCCACCCACCATTGGACTTGATTCTTTAACCATTTTGGTTTCTTTATGAGTTGTTTTTAATGGTTATACTTCAAACGCAGACTGCCTATACAGATATTTATAGAGATTACATATCCTTCTTCATCGTTACTAAATTAATTATCAGTTTATAACCTAATCCAAGAATTATTAATAATAGATAGTTTCCCATGCGAAGCAACCTATAATTATTTATTTATCCCAATTTTCCAATTAGTTGACTGCAGAAACATGTTCTGCGCGCAAATGTATTCAATGAATGAGTTAGATGATCAAGATCCAAAAAGTCAAGATCCAAAAAAGTTTTAAAAAAATGAAAAATATGTTCGTTGAGATTTACATTTCACGAAACACACCTTATATAAAAAAAGGTAGCTGTCTTGTAAACAAAAATTATTTTTTAGTTTTAAAGTTTTCCATATTCACTATCAAAAAAGGAGACTCGTCCTAGGATCACCGCTACTAAAATTTTAAATTTTATTTTTAATATATTAGATATTAGGTTGTATGACATATGAGATTTTTTATAAAAAATTAATTTAAAATTTGAAAAATATTAATCATATGAAGAATTTTTTTATAAAAATTAAATTTAAAATTTGAAAAAGATATTAATATTTTTTATTTCCACTTTTAGAGAGGCTTTATATTCGCGATAAGACAACAAAATCCATGACTTTTGCAAATAAATACAAAAATAAATTAAATAAAATTATGATTTTATTTTATCTAAGAACATTAGTAATCGTAAATAAATTACTAGAAAAATTTTAAAAAGAAATAAATATTTCAAATAATATTAATTTTAGACTAACGTAATCAACTCGTTCCGCTTTAATAAGCAACATTTGTTTACAAGAATTAAGAAAATTATTGGAATACATTGATAGAATGTCTAAATTCCATTTCTTAAAATTAAAAGCTCCACATCTAAGTTTGCTAGAAACCATCTAATAAATATGGGTAAATTTGAAAAAAATAATTGATATACTCTCAAAATTTTAAATGAACATTTAAAGTGGAATAAGTTGTAGCTATTAAAGTGGAACATAGGGAGTAACAGATTTTAAAAGGAAGTAATGTTGAACTCCCATATCTATATCAAACAATATAATTTTGGATTAAGTATTTCAACTTTTTTTTGCCTACTCTCACTTTTTTAGACGTTTAGTATTTTTTAATCAAGTGTATTATGTGGTAACATGCTTATTTAACTTTTAACTGAACATAATAGATAGTGGCTAAAAATTTTTCAAAATAAAAATTCAAATTTTGGTTCGAACCGAACTAAACTCCCGGTTCATTTTTAACATTAAAATGACATTAAATAGAGCGTGGATTGATAATTTGAATTCAAAATTATGAACTACCAATATTAATTCATATATTATGCGGTTTGATTTCGGTTTATTTCTGGTTCAAATTGAACCGATGGCCATCTTTATTAGTTAGCAATAATTGTTGTGGGGTCCCTCCAACATGTGAGACCCACAAAAGTTTGAAAAGAAAAAAAAAAAGGAAGAAAAAAAAAAAAAAAAAGGAAGAAAGAAAAACACGTTAGTTTATTTTTTACAAAAGGTTTTGGCAGCCAACATGTGAAAGGTTGGCATGCCATACTGACAAAGGAGTGCCGTGCAATTTGGTAAATGCAACGGCTCTCTCCCTCTGAAACCCTTCTCCTATAAATAGGAGAAAGGACTCTCCTTAACCAGATGTACAAAAACACACAAAAAAAAAAAAAAAAAAATAAAGATTATAAATTTTAGGAAGGTTTCCTAAAATTGGAAAAAAGAGACACATAGTGAGTGATTGTAATTTATTAGGATGTTTTTTGTTTAATACACTTAGTATGGGGGGACTAGAGTGCCACTATGTTTGTAATCTCTCTTTTGTACCCTACTATTTTTTAGTAGACGAAGAATTATTCGGAGTTTTGTCCCGTGGAACGTAATGCCCATACACAGTTTGAAGGGGTTGAACCACGTAAAATCTTCGGTGTTCTCTATTTTTTCATCTGGCATTTACGGAAATAATTATTTAATTTTTAATCGTGGTTATTATCTTGGTTATTATTTCTAGTGGATTCGATCGTCAATATCCAATATTTAATTATTGGTGGTATATGTGGTAATAGTAATTTTATTTTACTTTTACCACCAGTACTTTTTCCGCGGGCCCCACTCGGGATAAGTTATAATCCCAACAACAGGTATCAGAGCCTTTGGTTGGTAAATTCTGTCAAAGTTACTATTCACGTGAATAGTGAATTTCGTGAATAGTGAAATTTTGTCAGATTTAGATTCAACATGGCTAACGATGGGCAATGATCAAATTGATAGATTCGAATTATTCAATGTGGAAATCTAGAATGGAGGACTACCTCAATTGCAAAGATCTGTATGATACAATTGAAGGTGACAGTGCAAAGCCGGAAGAAATGAAAGAAAGCCAGTGGGAGAAATTAAAAAAGCAGACATTGGGTACAATACGCCAATGGATAGATGCTAGCCTGTACAACCATGTGAGAAGTGAAAAAGATCCCCAAGTTCTCTGGAAGAAATTGGAGAATATGTACGAGGCTACGAATGCTTAAGGAAAAGTTTTCATGATGCGTAAAGTCATGAACTTGAAGCTGTCAAAGGGACGATCAATTACACAACACCTGAACGATTTTGAAGGACTCGTAACAACGATTTTGAAGGACTCGTAAACTAGTTAGCAGTTAAGTGGCAATGTTCCCTTAGAAGACAAAGATGCAATGCTGCCTTACTGTTGGGTCGTCTACGGAATAGCTGGGATACTCTTGTGGGTATCATTGAGTAACTGCAGCTCCAAAATGGTGTGGTAAATGATTCTATGGTAAAAAGAATAGACTATTAATGAAAGACTAAGAAAGAAGAAGAATGTTGCCAGTACCAGTTCCTCAAGCCTTGTTACAGAGAATAGGGGCCCGGAGAAAAGAGTAGAGTAAAGTCAGGTGGTAGATCCCAAGTCCAGAGAGAATGAGAAAAATGTTACCATTGTGGTAAGTAGGGTCATCTCAAAAGAAATTGTCGTTTACTCAAACAGGATAACTGCAGACCGAAGAACAGGAGAATGACAGATACATCTGCTACACGTCTCAGGAGAAGATGGTGAGGTGACTTTAGTCACTCATGAGCAGAATTGCCTTGGTCCATGTTGGAGATGCCAGATACCGAAGTGGAATTAGTAGACTCCGGTGCTTCATACCAACTGTGTTCCAAAAAGGGAATACTTTTCCCACTTATAAAGGCAGGAGACTTTTGGCACTATAAAATTGGGAAATAATAGTGTCTCCGCAAGTGGTGGGAATCGGTGAATATCTGGGCATAAAGCCTGTGTCAGGTGCAAATACGACTTATAAAAAGTGTGCGACATATTTTTTCCCCGATCTCGTGAACTTGTTGTCTGTTGAGTGTACTGGACAAGGAAGGCTATCAACCATCATACAGGTGGGCGGTAATTGGAAACTCACCAAAGGGTCTTTTGGTGGTGGCGAGAGAAAAAATTAATGCTGCTCGCTGTATAAGATGCACGCAACAATATGTTGCGGGTCAACTGAATACAGTTGAAGATGATGCTTCAACACAAATTTGTGGCCATAGCGGCTGGCGCATCGTTAAGTGGAGAAAGGGTTAATAATGTTGGCTACAAGTAGTGCCCTCATACCAATTAGCCAAAAGGTAAAATTAACCCTTGTGATTATTGTTTTTGTTTGGGAAGCAACCATCGGGGGTCTCTTTTTTTGAAAAAAGCTCTAGAAGGAGAGACACAAGTTGGGGAGTTGGTACACTCTGACGTATGTGGTCCCATGGAAGGTAGAATCACTTGGAGAAGTAACGGTATTTTCTTAACCTTCATTGATGATTTCTCACGGAAAAACAATGGATAATATTTGTTGCGCAATTAAAAGACCAAGTATTCAAGCATTTCAGCATTCATGCTATGGTGGAAAGGGAGACAGAGTGGTTTTGAAAGTGTTTGCGCATGATAATGGTGGTGAGTATATCTCTAAGGAGTTTAGGAGTTTAGAGATTATTGTAGTCAGCACGGTGTCAGGCATGAAAAGACAGTTCCTGGTACGCCTCAACACAACGGTGTTGCTGAACGGATGAATCGCACCATTGTTGAAAGAGCAAGATCCATGCTCAAAATGGCCCACTTACCTAAGCCATTTTGGGGAGAAGCTATCAATACTGCTGTCTACCTAAACAACCGACTACCTTCAGCACCATTGGATTTTGATATCCTAGAGAAGGTCTAGACAGATAGAAATATTTCATACTCTCACCTGGGGGTATTTGGCTGCAAGGCATTTATATTTATGCATGTTCCAAAGGAGCAGAGATCAAAGCTTGACGACAAGTCAGTTCCTTGCACTTTTGTTGGTTATGGAGATGAAGAGTTTGGTTATAGGTTGTGGGACCCAGTGAAAAAGAAAGTCGTCCGGAGCCGAGACGTAGTACTCCACGAGAATGAGATCGTGGGAGAAACAACTTGTGAAGAATCCATAAGTGATGGTGTTGTTGATATTACACCAGGAAGCATTCCTACAGAAGATTCCACAGGAGGAGGAATGCCAGAATCAGAACAAGAAGAAGAAGAAGAGCTAGTCGTAGGGGGGGATGCAAGAGACAATCGTAATGATAACA